GTGTAACTGCACTGAACCCAATGAAATCACACTAGGATTGGGTTTTTACTCTTTCGTGTTATGTCCATATGTGGAGTTGTTCCTTACTCATCAGTTTTATTTTTCAAAAGTCTAAAATGTTAGTGTCTTTGGTTACTCAAGTATTTTGACCAGCTTGAGTACCCAGGCTGCTGACTAAACTAGGCTGAATGATATGATGGAGGGTGTCTCATGACAATACAGCTGCAAGAGAGATCAGCTACTATGCAGCCAACAAAACAAATGGAAGAGAGAGAGATAATTTCACAGGCGGATGCTATCATATTGCCATCCAAAATGCAGAGAACCGCCAGCTTCAACAGAACAGGTGTGGCAACTGCCGTTTGTATCACAGAAAACATCAAACTGTGCCCACGCTCCCTTAGTAATGAAACTTGCATACTCTGTCCAGCAGCATTTCTGTGTAAACACACACACAACCTCCAGTGCTGCTTATTCACTAGGGAAGGGAGATTGTCCATCAAAACCAGGAACTTTGTGTTATGGGATGGCTCAATAGTCACCTTATACCCCCAGGCTTACAGAGGCACAAGGACTGAGCAAGCAATCTCATTTGCCTACTATCCGGATAATGGTGTTAATTTATTCATTTTTCTTAGTATTAGCTAGTCACAAATTTCCATAGCTCATATGCCGTTTGCAGATGCTCCAAGTGTCCCTATTTTCCAGGGACATCCCTGATTTAGAGAAGCCGCTCTGGTTTCTGATTTGATCCCAGAATGTCTCTTAGGATGTTCCTATTTTCATCGGAGAAATGTTGGAGGGTATGCATTTGGATTCCCATTATTTCCTGTATATGTTATGAAAATGATACAAAATCCTACAGATATCATGGTAAAACGGGGCTGGGGGCTGGGGATGAGTGTGCTCACTATGGACTTTGTCATGGCACTTTTACCAGGGTGGGGCAGGGGATGGATGCATATCGCCAGGCTTTGTGACTTCTCTTTCTGCTAAATTGGCTGCTCCAGGCCTGCCAGTATTCTTACAGTTTGAACTGGATACAGAAAGGCCCCCCCCTCCCCTAAACCCTTCCCAAGGACTTGGTTCCTTAAGGACCAGCCTGAGAAAGATCAAATTACACTTGTGAATATCTCCTTTCCTGTTTGAAAATGACACTGTATATTCATTTACTGGTGAGGGCCACTTTATCAGGGAACCATTTTGTTCAGATTCAGATGAAGGGCAAGCCATGGCGTGACACAGTCTACTGCAAACTTTGAAAGTGTGAATAATAAGCAAATATTACAGTTTGGTTTGATCCTATATGACTTGCAGGCATAACACTGACCCTTCGGCCAAGTCCTTGTTATTGCTGTGTGGCCAAACCCTGAACCTGTTCATCTAACAACTTTTTTAAGCGCTACAGCCTAGCACTATATATCAGTGGATGGGCTTCACTTGATTGGCCAAGAGTGTTGCCTGCATTTATAGGGTGAACAAACCACAAAGCATAGCCGATCTATCGTCAGGCACTAGGGCACACACTTTTATATTTCATAAATATATTTCACAAAGAACTGAACATCTAACATTAAAGAGATTAAGAGCTAGAGGAAGCCTTTGCCCAACAGTCTTCATCAATTTCAGACTTTGGTTACAAAATGGTGTCCTTGTTCCTGACGGTGAGGGAAAGATCAGAAGGATTTTAAATAGGGAAGAGGAAAAAAATGACCTCAGTCAGGTCAGATAGACATTTCATGCCAGTATCTCCCCTGGCATCAATGCAGAGGTAGAATGATTTCTCTCTTTACGTGATATTTTGGCCTTGGATGAATCTGATTCTGGGAACAGCTGTTGGGCATAAAAATATGCCATACATCCTCAGCCCAATCAAGTGATGGATCATATTTTGCAATATTGATCTGAAACAGATAGTCAAACCTTGGTTCTCGAACGGCTCCATTGCCGAACGTTTTGACTCCCAAACGTAAGTGTTCCAGTTTTCGAAAGTTTTTCAGAACTCAAATGGCTTCCAAGGCACGTTTTTCTTTTTCTCCCCATTGAAATTGCCAACAGCCCACTGATTTTCGGTTTTCAAACGTTTCAGAAGTCAAACGGTCTTCTGGAATGGATTACGTTCAAAAACCGAGGTTCCGCTGTAACAAGAACATATGGTGAATGGAATTCTTGATTTGGATCCACAAGATTTAGGTTCCAATCTCTGCTCAGCCATGAAACTCACTGGTTGGTAGTTGCAACACACTAGGGCTGCACCCACACCACACATTTAAAGCACATGGCTTCCCCTAAAGAATTCTGGGAATTGTAGTTTGTTGAGGGTTCTGGAAATTATAGTTCTGTGAAGAGTAAACAACAGTTCCCAGGATTCTTTTCAGGAGGCCATGCACTTCAAATGCAGGGTTCGGGCGTACCTCCTTTTTCAGTAGAATTAGGATATGTGAGATGGCACCATATACACCACCCTGAGAAGCATGGGGTGTACACTTATTTATTTATTTTTTGAAAAAGAGCAAGTGGCTCAGTTATATGAGCCAATCCACTACAGGTAGTCCAAACAAGCACCTCCCATTTTTAGAGAGGATATGAAATCTAAACTTATTTCTGTCTGTCTGAAGGACTGGCCTACATTTCTATTTGAAACCAAAGAATGTGGTGGGTAACTTGAACATTCAGTATATTCATGAGTAAGTGTTGAAAATCCAGATTCCACTTGTAGTTAACTAATAGAAATTAACTGTAAATTGGTTTGGTGTTTTTTTTAAGGCAGCCCATTGATATACATGATATACACCCATTGATATACACTAAGCAGAGTACTGAGGTTTGTCTGCATTGCTCACATTCAGAAAATTAGATGTACTTCAAAGGAATGAGTAGCGAAATACTGTCATTTCACCCGTCGGAATTGTTCTTGGTTCTTGGTCATAAATAAGGAGGAGTCAAATTCTTTCTCCAGTGCTCATAAATGTTGTGAGTGTCTTGTTTTAAACTAGAAACAGCCATGTCTATTGAGCGTGCTCATATTGAATCCATAAGCCACTCCCAGAACATTAAACGGGGGGGGGGGGGGGTTAATGGGAAGAGGAAGAGCATTTTCATTCCAGTTATTATTATAACAAAGGTGTGTTAGGTAAAGTTTGGTCAAGCAATACCGGGGTTATAATGTGTTGTGGGGGGGATCAGCCAACACATTGAGACCATTCATTACTTCACTTCCTATTGCCAACCCATCACTGAGACACACAAGTGGAAAATTTTGGAGTGCTCCTCCTAACCACTAGCTTCTAAAATAGAAGAAAGTGCCAGAAGTTGTTGGGAAAAGTGAAAATTTATATGTTTTAAGTTTTACACCTGGAATTTGCCCATTTCAGTAGGCAAAGGAAGCCATAGCCACATAAGTAGAAAAGCACCAATAAATTTCAGGTAGCTTATGCATGTTAGGCACTAATGAATGTCATCTTCTGTTTTGTCATGAAAAAAGATCTTTCTGCTGCTAAAGGAGACTGATTTAGATTATGAATAGCAGTAGTGATTTGCAAAAATGGCTCCAGAGAGAGACTCAGAGATTCCATAGTCTTGTGGCACTTGAGGTTTCTGCCCTTTTTGTTGAAAATTAATTTGTCCTGTGGGTTATTGGATTTCAGCTCAGCCAATGTATATTGCTCAGTCATCACAAATTTACTTAAAATTTAGTGTAGCTGAAGTTCATTCAACAAGACAAAAGTCTACACCTGAAAGCTTCTGAAAATCTTGTGTGAAAACCCTCCTAACAGTGTATTTGAAAGTGCTGATTCTTTGAGCAGATTCACAAAACGTTTTTACTGGTATTAGATCCTGTCACCATCTTAGATAGACTTTGAAAGAACATCACATTTTTATACTTATGACCAGAAACATTATTTTCCTATCTCTTTGACATTTGATGCCCTTTTGAATGTGTTGTGGGAAGGGCATTATTGGTTTGGTTTTGGTCTTATTTTTATTATGTGTTTTTCGTTTTTTAAAATGTAATTTTGTGTTGTGAACCACCCTGAGATCTATGGATGAAGGGCGGTATGCAAATTTAATAAATAATAATATATCCTTTTGGATATATCTTTAATCCATGCACGATGGCCAAAATACAATCCTGAATTGAGAATAGGAATATGCTCAATGTGTGTAAATGTATGCAAAACCATCACACATTGGGAGACACAAAAACCTACCATGTAAATAGAACAAGATCTAAATAGATGAGGAATGCATACTAAATATAACCATAGACTGGGAACATAGCCCTCTTCGGGGAGCCCTCATTAGGGATGGGCCAATCTGTCGATTTCATTTTCTCTCAATTTTGCATTTTTCAAGTCTTAAATTCAGTTCTCCACATTTTCACACCAGCCTGCAAACTTTTTTGGGGGGGAAATGTCCTCATGAAAATTCATCAGCATTTAATGCAAATTTCTCCTAATAGTTAGTATGCAATTTTGACTAATATATACATTTTGAAAAACAATTTCTCCTAAAAGGAAGCTCAGTGTTATTTTCACTGATATGTGCATTTTTATGGATGCTGTAACCCCAGTATATACAATTCACATTAGGTTTTGGTTTTTTTAACAATAGTATTATCTCTCCTTGACTCCTCACAATGCATAAAATGCTCACCTCCGCTTGTGCTGCTATTGCTACTTCTTAGTTCTTGCTGCAAATGTGGAGAAGAGCCAAAGGGGAAAGGGAAGGCCGCTTGCATGTCCCATATGGTAGGCGTTGCTGTGCATGTCCCACCAGCCCTGGAATAACCCAAGACCTTATTTCCAGGCATGAAATAAAACATCTATTTCCATGAGCTGAAAGGTGACAGAAATGGTGACGAAGCCTGTGTGTTTTGACCTACATTGTTCCTCGCCGTTGCCATCCCTCACGTGTTTAGTTTTTCTTTTAGAAAGCCTGGCAAGGGCTTTAGAAATGTAAAGTTCTAAAACAAGGTGAAGATGTGGGACTTTTTAAAAGGGCTTAGCTCAATGGTAGAGCACCTGCTTTCTGTGCAGAAGGTCCAAGGTTCAATTTCCCAGCATCTCCAGGGAGAGATGAGAGAAGCTCTCATCTGAAATCCACTGACAGTCAGTGTTGATAATACTGAGTTGAAAGAACCAGTAGGTCTGGCTATCAGGCAACAAATTGGACACTTAACTTTGTTTAAAGTTCAAATTTAAATTCTGGTTCAAAGTACCACTTAACATCTGGAGGGGGGGAGATATAATGGTGGATATCATGCCACAAACCTAGGCATCCCATATGGAAAAAGCTAAAATGTACAATAAAACAAAGTGGCATGAAATAATAAGATGTTAATGTTTACAGGAAATAATTCAGCAGAATAAGAATAATTTCTCTTAAACCCTTAATCTGTAAAAGTTTGACATCTCAAACTTTTATGTTCTATGAAACAAAAACTTCCTCTGGCAATATACATTCAACACCAATAGGTATAAACTGTTAAATCATAAACAATATCTTTTAAACATTGGCACAACAAAGTAATTCTTACGTACCGTACATAGATTTACATTCAAAAGTACGTATGTTGAAATTAAGCCAGTCCTAACAGTAAAGGCTATTTAAAAACTAATATTGGTGAACAAAACCTTTTAAAGAATCCCCGCCTCACTTTTGTTTAGGAGAAATTTGCTTTGATGACACCTCTATTTCAGATTTGAGGTGATCATCTCTTTGCTTGAGATACAAGCCTTATACATTGCCAGAAATGAGATATTGTGTGAAAACCAAATCATGGCACAATGGACTGGAAATTTTAGATTAATAAACCTCTTTCTGTGGAGAACTAAATAACTTTTACAGTTTTATCTGGGGCTATTCGTTTCTTTGAAGATTTATGGTTCTTCCCACTGATAGGCATCCTATGTCTCACTTTTTCAGATTAAAGAAAGATGATTCTAAACAGGCTTCTGAGTGGCATAATCTGGAATCAGCAATGATCTAGGCTTTGCTATTAAAGAGAGAGAGAGAGCGCCAAGTTAAATAAGAATACCCTTGACGGCTCACGTCAGAACAATTTGAGGAAGATCTGCATATGGTTAAATAAATCTAGTAACTTGTTATCAATAGGATGCCAATATGCTTGCCCAATGTTTTCATCAGGCAGGCCTCAGTAGCGACACATCCTTTACGAGGAATTAAAGCTCCTCTTGCTTAAGGCTGCTTTAATTGATTGATGCTCAAAGTTTGGAAACTAAAATCCCATCCTGCTATTACAAAGCTCCTTTAACCAAGCCTTTCCCTTTGAAAGCAGGATGCTCAATTGAAAGTGGCAGCCCACGTTTTTAGGTTTCAGGCAGCTCTGTCATCCTACAAGGAATGTGCCTGCCACTTCACACGATAGGTTGAGCTGAAAGACATGTACTTTGAATCAGGGAATCAATAGAACACTTAATGGACAATTAGGAGAACAGCTGTAGGACTGTCAGAGACCCATCTGTACACTACTCAAACAGCCTCTGCCTGGACAGGGCACGGAAAACAAAGTATACTGCTGCAGGGCATTAGCTTCTATTACAAAACATCACTTTCATTCCCCATTGAATGTTAATATAGTGCTCTCTCTCGCCCGCTCTCTTCTTTTCCCCCATTACAAATTTTAACACATGTAGAAAATTATGGAAATTGCCCGGGCCATTTGTCAACTTATATCATGTGAATTGATCAATAAATTTTACCACTTTGTTGTTAATGTAGATAAATTTTGGCATTTAATTAAGCAATTGCAAAAATGTGGCTGCTTTCAATTTCAGCAGATGCTACCTTTGCATCTCGAATGCGGGAGCCGCGCAGGAAAAGGCAAGCCAGTTGCTAAATATTTATAGACAACATGACAATACAGGAAAGAGTTATCATCGGTGATTTTGATGCAGAAACAATTAACATGGTTAGAAAAGGAGCCCATGTGTGATGATGAAGTGAAATGATTCTTCTAGGAAATATATTATCATGATGTCTAAAACCGGGGGGGGGGGGGGACACACACTCATGCTCCAATGCACATTGCATGCAACACACTAATGAAACCGTGGCTTTTTTTTTAACCTTTTTTATTTCCTCCAGCGCCTACAAAAATAAAATGGGTAGTATGCATGTACGCTCATATGCACATATGCAAAAATAAATGTAACATCTACATGAATCCATATGTTAACTATAATGCTAATAGGTGTGATTCAAAGAGCTTCTCTAGGCATACCAAATGGATTTCTTGTATAGCTGAGCCTGTGCCACGTTAGTGGCTGTTTTTGAAACTCCTGCTAGCTTCAGAGGTGGATTGCAGTGGGTGAGTGGTTGACAGTTGGTCTAAGAGCAGTCTAAAGTCCCCTTTGGGGCATGGAAGTGGAAGTGGTTTCCTGCCTTCCTCTTTCTCCATCCTTCCTCGGTGGGCAGCGTTGCCCTCATCCTGCCTCCCTCTCAGTCGGTCCAGGGCAGGGCATGTACGGATGTCCCTTCACCAGCCACAAGAAGGAAGAGGAGGTGGCACCCCAGCCCCAAAGACCTGGTCTTGGTCTGGCTTGCCTCCCTGTGGCTCCAGCCTCGATGAGGGAGCCTGTCTTGGGGAGGGGGGAGGCTGGTTGCGCCCCCTCAGAAATTTGCAACCGGGACAACGGTCCCCCATGGAATCACAACATTATTGGATCATTTTGACAAATATGTTGAAATGTGTCACTGTCACCTGAGTAACGGACTGACAAAAAGCATATGAGCTATTCTCTAGGTGATTTTATCACATAGGTGATAAAATTGGCATGAAATATGGAGAAGTCTAGCAGTTCGAAAGCACGTCAAAGTGCAAGTAGATAAATAGGTACCGTTCTGGTGGAAAGGTAAACGGCGTTTCCGTGCGCTGCTCTGGTTTGCCAGAAGCAGCTTAGTCATGCTGGCCACATGACCCGGAAGCTGTACGCCGGCTCCCTCGGCCAATAAAGCGAGATGAGCGCCGCAACCCCGGAGTCGGCCACGACTGGACCTAATGGTCAGGGGTCCCTTTACCTTTACCTTATGGAGAAGTCTAGCCGAATAAAAGATCCTGATAACTGTAAGTAGATATTAAGAATCTGAATTATTCACGCACCCATTTACACATACAGATTCCGACATTTTCATTCAGCTGGAAACAACAGGGTCTGTGTATCAGTAAGCCAAATGATGAACGCGAGTTACCATCTAGAGTGTGTGGTCTTTATCACTGATTTGTCTTTACCTCCTAACCCACTGGGTTGCTGAAGTGCAAATCTGAGCCCAGATTAGATCACCAAATTAACACAGGAAACTCTGTGCAAGTCACCACTTCAAAAGCAAAAAACACCACCACCACACCCTTAAACTTGGTGTGTTGGGGATTTGTATGCATCTCTTCGCCTCTTTGAAGGTGAACCCTGAAAACTTGCAAAGCACACACAGATGTGGTCAGACAATAGGCAACACAAATGAACATTTTAGGGCTTCTTGATGGCCCTAGGGACCATAAGATGAAGTCCTGCCTTTGTCAGCCAGAGGCCCTAAACATAGCACTCCGCAGCATGGGCTGACATGATTAACTGCAGTAGCTCATGGGAGTGGGTAAGGAAATTGTCTGCCTCTTGGTGCATTTGCTGGAGCCTCTAGAGAAGGAAAGGGCTTAAAATCACACTGTGGTCTTTATCATAATCACCCAGGACAAGTAGATTTCCCCACACAGCCTGTATCCTTTCCACACAGCATTGCCAGTTAGAGGACAAAGGAACGGGCGGGATCAATTTCCATTTGAAGAGCAGAGATATTCTTCATCAATGAAATCTAGTTGGGCTTCTGCATTCATAATCCTTCTGCAGAATTTTCCAAGTAACACGCTTTTGCATATTGTGGGAGACCAGAGTGATCTTCAGTGGACAAATGAAGCTGACCCCTTCTCATGGATATAGAAAGGGGTGGGGAGATTATGCAGAGGACAAAGTTATTCACCTCTCCCTGCACACTCTGTTAGAGGACAAGGGGTGGGATAGGAACCACCAAGCACATTTTCAATAGCTACTGGAAAGCCTGGTGTCAGCTTAATTGTATGTCCATGTACAGGGCTTTTCCACAGGCAGAAGTCTTGAGAGTTAACAGATAACCCCAGAGGTAGAGCAGCATTGATAGCCATGCCAGAGCCTAAAGAAAAGGGAGAGATGAAGGAAGGAAGGAAGGAAGGAAGGAAGGAAGGAAGGAAGGAAGGAAGGAAGCCTCCTCTCCCTCCCTCCGTCCCTCCCTGTTAATCTTGGATAAATTATTTCTTGATGGCAACAGTTAAGTAAAAGTTATTGCTAAATTGTCATCCAAAACTGGTGAGGACTGCCTCTGTCTTTCCAATCCCAATCAATTTATGATTTCTACAGCCAAGTGATGGATGTCTAGACAGAGTTGGGTCTGCTATGATACCAGAAGATTTTTTGTATGGCCAGAGTGAGCTTCTTTTGAAACAAAATTCTACTGTTCTTCAAAGGGGAAAAGTGGACTTGGTGCAACTCACACTTTTCATTAATGCTGGTCTTTTAATTTTTACAACATAGGTAGGTCTAGACCTGTGGTTCCCAATATGGAGCACGTGCCCCACAGGGGGGCAATTTGATTTTTAAGGAGGGCAATTTGAGAATGACTTATTAACAGTTAATGGCCTTTAGTCTTCCTCCACGTGAACAGGAGTTCACTTTTTGAATAATAAGAATTATATGTCACAGGAAGTGGGGGCATGAGGATATTAGAGATGCTTAGGTGGGGCATGGCCAAAAAATGGTTGGGAACCACTGGTCTAAACAAAACAAACATGAAACACATGGGACTGTCTAATACTGACCCCAAACTATGGGTCCATCCAGTCCAGCAGGTCTCCAAGGTCTCAGGCATAGGCAGGAGTCTTTCCCAGCCCCTACTAGCCAACATGCTTAAGGCAAGATTCACTGAACTAACCGTGTCAGCAGAAGCCCTGTGCAATTGCTTCCACTTGTGCAAAGAGGCTGTCTTCCTCCCTCCATATGCCCTCCACACTGCCTGAAATTGGCTCAGGGGAAGTCAGGAGAACCCCCGGAATAGCACTGGGGAGAGAGGGGAATCATTCCACTGGGCAAACTGATATGCAGGCACAGATGGAATGTTTATTTACTGTACTTATATTCCAGCTTTTTCTCCAAGGAGCTCAAGGTGGCGTACATGGTTTTCTTCCTCATTCAACCCCCACAACAACCCTGTAGGTTAGGCTGAGAGGAAGTGACTGGCCCCAGGTCACTCAGTGAGTGTCATGGCCAAGTGGGGACTTAAACACTGGTCTCTCAGGTCCTAGTCCACTTACTATCCCTTTACCTTATTTCTCTAACCACTATGCCAACATTTATAATAGTGCAGTGTTGAATTCCGCTCTTAGTGACTGAGATGTAAATCTGCATGCATTGTAAGTGAAGCAATAAGTGAAGCAATAAGAACAAACAGTTTAGCATTAGTTAAGTGATGTTTACAGATTAGATCCACTTCCAGGCAGTACTACTTACCACTTTTATTGAGAAAAGAAATGGGAAACTGGGCTCTAGAGAATATGGGATGAAGATTGTTGTGGGAAAGGAGATTTGGAAAGGAAATTCAACACTCCAGGACACTGTGATATTTGGGGAAACAGCTATTGGAAAAAGCTAGATTTGGGCTCCTCAGCCATCTGAAAAGAGCATCCCATAATTGTCCCAATCCTGGATCACTGGGAGCGGTCTATGTGGCCCAGCACAGACGTGTGTGTGATAGGCGGGTGGGGGGGAGGATGGGAAGCTTTAGGAAGCTTCTGCCCCAAGAGAGACTCTTTCTGCTGGGTGGAGGTCAAAGTCTGTAGGCAGAGCTGCGAGCCAATCTGCCTCCCAGGCCACAGGGCTTTCGGGGCAAAAGCAGCACCAGGCTAAATCCTTAGAGGGGAGAGGTAGGGTACTTCATTTCTAATGCTGTGATTCTGAAGGATCACATCCAGCGGATCTTCACTTTTCTTTTAATTTTTAGTACAGGGCACTTATTTATATGATTTATTAGAGGTGCTCCATTGAGACATGGAAGCATTTTCCTAATAAACCGAGAGGTTAGCACCATTGTTTTCAGTACAACTGACCCTTGGCTTTGCTGTAAAACCAGGATCATTAGAAATGGTCCATTGATTATACTGGAGCATTTCTAATGAACCAAAGGGTCAACTCTATGGAAATAATGTAAAATATCCAGATTCATGATGAAAAACTCCATTGAAATGCATGAAACGTTTCTAATAAATCTAGATTTTAGTGGAGCTCAGCCCTGAGCCCATTAAAACGTTATGAAAAAATAGTCACTGAGCATGCATCTTAAGTACTTCTTCCTACGTTAATCTCTCATTTATTTTAAAATGTGCTGTAAAAATAGCAAAAGGCACCCATGAAAATTTGTTAAAAGTTTGCCTATTTGCCCCCACTTATACATATGAGCATCAGTTCCTTTAGAAAAGACTTCTATTCCTAGTCCAAAAATCTTGTGTTTAAAAAAGCCATTTTTAAAGAAATATTTTCTTTGCCTGGTATCACAGTCTGTGCAAAAAGAAAAAAAGGAGGGGGGATTTATATAGTCCATAAATTTTGAAGCTATAAGCATCTACTTCTCTGAATGCCTCCATTATCACAGCTAGCCCTAGATGGCAGCCCCCCCCCCCCCCCACCGATGGAACTGGCTTTCCACAGCTATTCACATATTCTGCTAGCAGTTAACTGTACCAAAGCTCCAAACAATGTTCATAAAGTAAATATTTACATAGTAAAGCAAAAGAACAGCTTTGGGGTGATGAAGTGCCCACTACCCATCCCACAAACTCCTAAGAACTGGTCGTTTTCATGTGTTTTTTTTAATCTGATTTTTTGCATCTGATGGCATCTTCAGTGCCATTTTGATTTTTCCAAATGTTGCAATTTTCCTGCTGGCAATATTATCCCAAACAGTCAGGGGCCACGTTGCCCATGATACCAATTACACTATGATACCAATTACTGTAAACAGGTCAAGACCTTATTATTTTCTGATATGTTTTAAATTCTTAGACTCTTGTTAAGAATGCTGTTAACAAAGTAATTAGGGCAAGTCTTCCTGCCCTCATTCTGAATGGGCATCGGGAAACTACTACTCTGCAGGAAGCACTTTCACTCTTGTTTTCACAACCCAAAGGAAATCACCAAACATGGTCTTTCAATGGGAAAAACAAAAATAAGGTGCAGGCAGATTCCCAGCAAGGCTTACAATGTAATTTATACATGGCTGCTTGGGGCGGAGCAGGGTGGGGTAGTCCCATTGGGTTAAATAGGGATTTACACCACGTCGATGGGATATATATATTGATATATTCAGGATTAAACTGCAAAACAACAAAAAGACCCAAAACGCTGTGTTTTTAAATAGCATTTGCTTTTACTATCTTTTTTGCACCTCACCATAACAAAAAATATGGGTGCTACAGTGAAGTCTTCTCTAAACAGGGAACCTGGTGTAGGAAGGCAAAGATAAGATATCGAAGAAAAGGTATGATATTGCTCCATACAGACTATATGCCTTAGGATTTCACAACCTAAGCCAAACTACCATTTCTTATTTTAAGAGATCAGTATGTCTGGATGTTAACTGGAAGGTGGTTCGAGCCCACTCAGGGATGGCTGTGGGCAGGATTTCTGCATTGCAGGGGGTTAGACCAGATGACTGACTCTTGGGGTCCCTTCCAACTCTATGATTCTGTGATTCTAATTTTCTTCACAGGAAGTTACACATTGTGCTGATTACCTTATTGGCAATCATCTCATTCATTTTTCAAAATTACCGTATTTTTTGCTCTATAAGACGCACTTTTCCCCTCCTAAAAAGTAAGGGGAAATGTGTGTGCGTCTTATGGAGCGAATGCAGGCGGGAGGCTCTGCTTAGCGCTCCCTTTAAAGAGCTGCATGGAGCGTGGGGGCTTTTCCCCAAGGAGGGAGAAGGGCTGCCTTTCTCCCTCCTTGGGGAAAAGCCTCCAAGAGCCGCACACACGCTCCACATGCTCTTTAAAGGGAGTGCGGCTCTTGGGGGAGCCTTAGCTGCGCGCAGCCTCTCCCAGGCAAGGGGAGAATTCATGCCGCTGCCCAGGAGAGGCTGCGCATGGCTATCCTATAAGCCAGGACAGCAAGCGGGATCGCTGCGCTGTGATCCTGCTTGCTGTCCTGGCTTCTTGCTTAGCCGCGCACAGCCTCTCCCAGCCAGGGGGAGAATTCATGCTGCTGCCCAGGAGAGGCTGTGCGTGGCTATCCCATAAGCCAGGACAGCAAGCGGGATCACTGAGCTGCGATCCTGCTTGCTGTCCTGGCTTCTGGGATTCAGAATACTTTTTTTCTTGTTTTCCACCTCCAAAAACTAGGTGTGTCTTATGGTCTGGTGCGTCTTATAGAGCGAAAAATACGGTAGATGCCTGGTGTGTGGGGATTAAGATCAGCACTGCAGCTTGAGGGGAGAGGAGGTTTAAGCCTGGCTGTGATCTCCTCCACCTCATATAGAAATAAGTGGGATTGGGGGAAAACCCATTAGCGCACATTAGTTAAAGTTACATCTCCCCATCTCATGTGCTGCAAGTACTGATCACAATTCCCCCATGCCTAGTACAACATTTAAAAAACTAACAATATGATTACTAATTCTGTCATAACATATACTTAGGTCCTTACTCTATCTCTTAACAAGCCACAGATTCAAAACTTTAGTTCCCTTTAGATTATGGCTCACTAGTTGACAAAAATCAGAAACATGGCTTTGAATATTGGCAGTGTTGAAAAGAAATGCCTCCATAGTAATTTCTACTGAACATGTTTAAGGGAGAATTCTGACAGAATGTGTTGTTCAATACCCATTGGAAATCTATTTCTTCTCTAGGGCAGAGAAAACTTCCATTTTGTAAGACATGAACGCTAAATCTCATGGGAGCTACATTTACCACACAAACATAAAGGGAGAGTTGACCTTGACAGAAGTTGACCTTGACTCAAGGAGCTAATTGCTTTGTTCTGAGTTTAGTTCGGTAAAATGTTTTTTAGAACTACTTAGGCATTAACCCATAGTCTCGGCCATCACACTTCTGTTAATTCTGTAAAGACTTCAAAGATACTGTCCAGTATGAAAACCAATATGAATCTTTCTATGTATGTCATATAAGGCCCATTTTCAATCTCTTACAATGTGTGAAATTACTGAGAATTCAAAGAACAGCCATTTCTGCGGTGGTCAGAAAAGCAATTAAGAGTTTCAGGGTTGGGTAAAGGAAAAAAGTTCTTGTGCACAGCATAGGTGATGATATAAATAAATAGAAATACCCTCTGCAGAAATTAATTAATGTCAAAGAAAGTACAGAGTCAAACAACCTTCAAATGTCTTAACTGGGGCAGATTATTCCACAGTTTCACTACGGGTGTCAATACTAGACCCCCCAAAGTAACTTATCACTATTGCTAAAGGATGATGGAGAATGAACTAAAGGAGAAAAAACGGCAATACTAGGTGACTTCAATTGCCCTCATGTAGACTCAGAAAATGTGTGTTCCAGTCATAACAACATGGATAAATGTTTTAGATTTTCTAAATGGCTATTCCCTCAAAGAGTTGGTCATGGAACCAACCAGAGAGGAGGTGACATTGGACTTAAATTGAAATGGCACCAGGACCCAATGTGAGACCTAAGTGCTGAGAGACAACCAACTAAAAACAGGAACCACAGTGCTAAAAAATTAAATATATATGCAAGTGGACAATTACCAAGGGAGTCCCATGCAGTCACATTTGACTTTGAAACAGGAAACTTCCAAAATAAAAATAAAAATGAGGGGAGTAGTAAAAAGGATGTGTGCATTTGTGTGATGGTTTGATTGCTACATTCTCCTCAGGAGCTTGTTGAGTGGGGAGGATTTGCCAAAAGCTTTTTTTTTTTTTTTAATCCAAATGTATAATGCATACAACAACAAAAATAGAAATTTAAACTGAACGAGATTGGGAAAGGTTTTCCCGTATTTCATGCCTCATGTCCTCTTTGGAACAACATGGTTATAACTTTCTACACTTGTGAACAAGGCATATATGTAGTCTACAAAGGCCCGTTGCATTAAAAGAAAAACCTCATAAAATATCTATTCTAATAAGACCTACAAAGCAACTCTCAGGTCTATTGCATCTTCAATGATTATATGGCTTTGTGTTATACTTTAAATCATAGGAGCCAAGTCCTAAGGGCTAAAGGGTCTTTGCCCCCCAAATAAAATATGAGGGGCAGCCCCCCCAAGTTGATGGCCATTCAAATGGTGCGTGTGCACCACATCATGTTATTGATTCTGTGGGGTGGGGCTTACTTGCCCCCTCCCAGTAATTTATTTGAGTTGGCACCCGTTTTAAATACATATTCAGCACAATGTGCTTAAAAGTGTCCAGAAATCACACTGGACCTCTTCTACAAGGCTGCTAGAGGGCTCAGTATGGTTTGTGTGGTACAGTTTTATAGCAGAGGGCTTTATATGGGTCCCTCTGTTAATAGCCAAGGAGACGGCTTGCAGCACAGATGTTGGACAACACCTAACTGTTTAAACATAGGAAGAAATGTTCACTGTTTCAGTGGGTGTTGGATAATAGCTCTGCTGCTCACATCAGATGTGTATACCCAATATGTGTGTGTGTGTGTGTGTGTGTGCGTGCGTGTGTGTGTGTGTGTAAAAGCATATTAATAGAATTCTATCTCAACAGATTTAATTCTTAAATGCTACACATACTTGTTTAATCTCTCATTTTAAAAGTAGGAAAGGTTAGATTATAACATCAGTTTAGCTCTCTTTGAAGCAGGTAATAATTAAGTTGATTCACTGTTGCAATTACTGTCAAATCCCCCTTAATTACCAGAGATTTTATAGCAGCTTCATTATACGTCTGCTGTAATGCATTGTGGCCCTAAGGAGAAGGAGTTGCAGGAAATTCTGCATAGCATGTATAATTCTAAGCTGCAGTTAAAACTCCCCGTGAAAGCCTCTGTACTAAATTTATCTTTTCCTTTCCCTTTCCTTTAGTGTTCCTTCCCATTATTTCAAGTAGTTTAGCTGAAGTAACACCACTAAAATCTCTACCTAACTTTCTAAGTGAGAATTGATCCCTTTTCTGAGATATTAGAAATAAAATTGGAGAATGAGAAAATGGGCAGTGAATAATTTCCTGTGGAAATCTCCATACAAAAAAAAAAAAAAGGAGCAATACTAGTTTGAAATTAGAAAGACAAAGATTGGTGCTTTTGATTACATATGCACTGCAGGTGTCTCTCCCCCCCCCCCCCAGGTTCCATGTTCAACCGATCCCAATCATTTCCAGGTAAGGATAGAAAAGAGCCTGACTGAAATCCTGGAGAGCCACTTCTGGTCAGTGCAGGCATACTGAGCTACATGGACCAATGGTCTGACTTGGTGTGCTGTTTGCTACTGTTAAAACAGGGATGAGGAACCTGAGGCAACCCAGGTAATGCTGAACTGCATCTCCCATCATCCCTGACCTGGGTCTAATGGGAGGTGGAGTCTAGCAACAGCTGGAAGACCACAGATCTCCAACTCCTTCATTGAGAGAAGATTAATTTATATGAAAAATACAGACACAATGTGCATGTGGGTCAAGTGGATCCATGTAATAGATTACATTGCATTGTCTTCATCTCCTAGATGATAGGTAAAGGTAAAGGTACCCCTGCCCGTACGGGCCAGTCGTGTCCGACTTTGGGTTGCGTGCTCATTTCACTCTAGAGACCGTGAGCCGGCGCCGTCCGAAGACACTTCCGGGTCATGTGGCCAGCGTGACGAAGCTGCTTTGGCGAACCGGCACCAAAGCAGCACACGGAAACGCCGTTTACCTTCCCACTATAAAGCGGTACCTATTTATCTACTTGCACTTTGACGTGCTTTCAAACTGCTAGGTGGGCAGGAGCTGGGACCGAACGACAGGAGCTCATCCCGCCGCGGGGATTTGAACTGCCGACCATGCGATCAGCAAGTCCTAGGCACTGAGGTTTTACCCACAGCGCCACCCGCGTCCCTTTTCTCCTAGATGATAGCTTAGTCCAAATGTACAAACACTCTGTGTGTGTGTGTGTGTGTGAGAGAGAGAGAGAGAGAGAGAGAGAGCGCGCGCACAAACTTAAACTAGCCTCCAAAACGCACAAATTCAGTGACATAAAACTTTATTATAATGCAGTTAACTTCTCCATACAGAAACTACAAAACTGGGAGGGGGGGAGAGAGAAAAACCTAAGATTTATGCTAAGACAAGCAATAAAGCATAGGTTCCTAGGACAGAGAAGTGATACGGATGAAATTTTCTCTCAGATTTCTTAAGTCTGAGTTGTCATTAAATTGATTTCTTTTTTGTTTCCATATCTTTAACCACATTTTATGCTGAACAATCCGAAATAGCTGTTCCTCCCACCCCAAAACACACACACACACACACACACACACACACACACACACACTCCCCCAGTAAAGTATCTTAACAAGGTTGTGGGTTTGATTTGGCTGGGAAGTGGGTAGGAGAAATAAATGCAGCACAGTTGCAAACTAGGCTCTTAATGGAATTGCTAGGCTAGACGACACTGTCTTTTTCTGTTTAGTTTTATTATTTATTGATTACATTTATATACCACCTTTATCTTCCAAGGGTCTCAAGGTGGTGTACATGGTTCTCTCCCCCCCCCATTTCATCCTCACAACAACCTTGTGAGGTAGGCTAGGCTAAGATATGGCAACTGGCCCAAGATCACCCAGTGAGCTTCATGGCTTACTGAGGATTTGAACCCTGCTCTCTCAGTTCCTTAGCCCAACTCTCTAACCATTACAACACACTGGATCCCCATAGTTTTTAAAACCCTTGACACCATTCCTGGCCAATATTAACAATAGAATTTTCCGATTGCAACCTTATTCAGATATCATGAGCTCCATTTGTCTCTGTCTTACCAGGGTCAGTCAAATGTGCACCAAACCACAGCAATTGTGCTTCAGTTTTCTTTCCCCGCATGTTATCTTAAAAGCTGCAGTCCTACACCTAGCTACCCATTGAAGTTTTCAGTAAACACACATAGGGTTATGCTGGAAGCATGGGGAAAATGACATTCTAGTACACATGTATAACACCACAATTCTATATAGGTTTGCCCAGGGGTAAGCCCAACTGAGTTCAATGGGATTTACTCGGAGATAAAGATGTACAGTGGTATCTCAGGTTAAGAACTTAATTCGTTCTGGAGGTCCATTCTTAACCTGAAACGGTTCTTAACCTGAGGTACCACTTTAGCTAATGGGGCCTCCTGCTGCCGCCGCGCCGCTGCTGCACAATTTCTTTTCTCATCCTGAAGCAAAGTTCTTAACCTGAAGCACTACTTCTGGGTTAGCGGAGTCTGTTACCTGATGCATATGTAACCTGAAGCGTATGTAGCTAATGGGGTCTCCCACTGCCGCCACATGATTTCTGTTCTCATCCTGAAGCAAAGTTCTTAACCCAAGGTAATATTTCTGGGTTAGCAGAGTCTGTAACCTGAAGCGTCTGTAGCCCAAGGTACCACTGTATAGGAATGCAGACTAAGGGACCCAGCTAGCAGCTCCCCTGCCACAGCTTATGAAATTCATTTTGAACTCTTGTGCATGCCAACCTAGGACAAGTGTGTTGTTTGTTGTTTTGTTTTTAACATACATCATTTGATAGTGATCTTTCAGATTAAAGGTGTTGCAAGAACACAAGGGAAACGTCTTTTCCTCTGACATGCTGGAGGACAGGATGTGTCTCTTTGCAACCTGGCCTCCCCATCAACTTTTGCCAAAACAAGAAAGCTCACATGTTGCAGATTAGTTTCCACAGGGAAAATCTTTACAAATCAGAGCCAGCAAAGTGAGCTTGCAAAAGTTCAAAATTGGGGAGTGAATAATGTCTCGCCTTGTAATGAAGGAATTTACTTCCCAGCATACATTAGATCCCGAAAGGGCTTCAGTGTCACAGACACCCTTGGCAGCTGTGTTACCAGTAAAGGAGCTGGCTTTGTACAGCAGTAGAGTTATTAAATTTCTCCAGAGACCATGACTCATTAATCAAATATTCATACATCTCTGTAAATACATGCGAAACAGAGAACAGCTTCAGAGTGGAGCATCCCAGCACAAAACCTCTTTCATGTAGGGCTGACAAAAAAATCCTGAGAACAAGGGGTCATGTTGTGCATTCCTGGTGCGCTATGTACCCCAATCCCTAAAAAGAGAATCCAAGTAATCTAACCAATAAGTTACAAATTAACATTACTCTGCTATTGCTTCATACCATCTTTCTTTTTTAGGGGGGGGGGGGAAGGAAGACAGAATCAATTCTACTGTTCTTTGTTTACTAGGCAAGTAACTCCACCCACCCCACCCCCAAAAAACTGGATGGAGAAATCCAGGCCATCCTATTAAAACATGCATTCGCACGAAAAAATAACATCTCACTGTTTAAGCTGTGGAGCTCAGAAAGCTCTGTGCAAAGGGGTTCAGATTGCTATCATTTGCAAATCCTACCTTTTGCTTCACGTCCATTGATCCTTTTGAAGGTTTGTTTGCCTGTCGAGTTGAGAGACTGGCTACAAACACTCGAGTCCTATCTAGGCTTTCCACACAGGGATATTTTAAAAAATCCACCCTGCATCTGCACTGTAGGCACAATTGCTTTGGCTTTGAGATCTACTCAACCAACTGCCTGAATCAGAAAATTTGGGATCTGCTTGTATTGAGTCATGGCCATGAAAGAGAAAGGTCCATACCTCTAGGTAGAAAACTGCTTGACTTATCCTTGATGGGAAAAGGGCATTTTAACAGCTTTAGTAGAACTTTCTGAGAGTACTTGTAGCACTGTCCTGCTGCAAAGATAGACCAAAAGCAACCTTTGCCAACCTGATGCCTTCCAGAAGTTTTGGACTACAACTCCCATCATCTCTTATCACATCGGATTGGCTGGCTGGGGCTGTTGTAGTCTAAAACATCTGGAGAGCTCAAGTTTTGCAAAGGCCTCCTTACAGGGATTTGTTGTTTTTCTTCCGGAGCTCCAACCCACCAGTGAATTCCAGAATTTTAGGCTCTCTAACTGGTTTTTGCAAACCAGCCATCACTGTGGAGGCGAAGTGCTCTCATCTGCTGGTCGTGTTATCAGGCCCTCTGCACCTTTGGGTGTAGAAGAGACCACGTTCAGTGTCTCAAATTTTGGATCAGGAGGGTGTCATTAAGGACACTTGCAGCCACTGGCCTGTTCCAAGACGTTAATGCAAAAACTGCTGGAGTAGCCGTCACAAGCAGCTTTGGATGGGGGGTGGAATTACATCAAAGTGGTGCTTGTGGGCACTTGCTGGTATTATATATACAAACCCAGCTTACAGATTTCCTGCATCAGATGTCAATGTGCTACATTCTCCTCTCTATGTCCACAATATGAAAAGATAAGGTAGTATTCAGAGTCCCCTCCAAAAGCAGCTGAGGGCCACAGACACATTGGTTCAGCATTCAGGGCACGCAGTGAAGCAATGCTTCCTTGGCTGTATGGAAAAGCCTGGCAGGGGGTGGAGGAACAGTGTTCCAACATGATGATTTATCTTGACGATCATAACTTAAGCAAAAGGGGAGGGCTGGAACTGATTGGCAAGGTTTTCAGGATATAACGGGGATTTTAAACCTCCCCCAGGAGTTTACATTAAATTAAAGAGGTGGGCTTCTGCACAGGATCTGCGGACAACAAATGCAAAGATGAATATGGGCAGGATCTTTCCGAGGCTACTGTCAGCCCTGTGGCTTTGTACGGGAAGCACTACTTTTTCTGCAAAGACCGAGTTAACCTTTTCAATGAGGGTTGTGATCCCTGTTTAAAAATTTGGTTCTCTCCCTTGGAAGGAACAGCTTTATGGCCTATATTTAATGGGCAAGAAGTGTTTTCAGTGGGAACGCCCATGCCTGCCCCAAACTGGTCAGGCCTACTAATATTAAGAGTTCCTCTTTGCACTATTCTTACAGAGTTTAGCTATGTTGCCTATGCCTCTCAGTAAGGTTCTGGTCATTTTAATCCTAGTGTGTGTCCACATCTTCATTCAACATATCATGGCATGAAACTAGGGTGTTGATTTATAAGATGCCTTTTAAAAAGAAAAAAAGAAAAACACCAGGCAAACTGCTGGGTATGTGATAATGAATGCTAGGATGGTTTGTGTTTGAAAGCAGCAGCAGCAACAACAGTAACGACACAAATTAATTGCAGAGATTTCAAGGAGATAATGCAGCAGAGGTAACGAGAATCACCATGTAATTAACGTGGTTTCAAATTAAAGTCCCCTGTAGTTACTGAAAAACATTAATTTATAGTAACTTAGTAATTTAACTTGTCAGTACTGTAACACAAACTTTTAGGACAATCTGTGAATGTCCCAAAGCTAGGATGGGGGCCGGAGCAGGCAGTGACACAATGCAAAACTGACATTCCAAGTTACATGGGAATGCATTGGAGTGTGCTAACCCAGAGAAATATTTCAGTAGTTTAGTCAACTTGAACATTGAGCAGAATGGAAAAAATTAATACCAACCGCACCCCAATAGCAGTGCTATTAAGCTCGGTGATCTGATTATTTGTAAAATTTCAAGGCCTTTTGTCACTTGTTATGAAGAGACAGAATTATGGCACACCTTGTTTTGGCTACTAGCTGACAGAACAATGTCCAGTTCAAGTGCTCTACATGACAGAGGATAAAATGTCTTTTGATGGTTCTAAAAAATAATTATATTTTAGAATGTTGTATTTTCTTGATAGAGTGTATAAGCCGACCCGAATATAAGCCGAGGCACCTAATTTTAGCACAAAAAACTGGGAAAACTTACTGACTTGAGTATTATCCGGTTCACCACACCACAAACCGGGTGGTGGCAGCAGCGGCAGAGGAAGAACAAGCAGCCCAAAAGGGCTGCTTTCGGGCTGCTCGTTTCTCCTCTTCCACCGCCAACAGCGGCAAAGGTGGAGGAGCAGCCTGAAAGGGCTCCTTTCAGGCGCTCGTCCCTCCGCCGCTGCCACCTGCCTCACTCGAGTATAAGCCGAGGGGGGCTTTTTCAGCCTAAAAAATGTACTGAAAAATTTGGTTTATACTCAAGTATATACGGTAAGTTAAAAGTCTTACTGATCTGCCATAGAGAACTTTGCTCCTTCATAAACTACAATCTAGATAAGTTTTATTCCTTTTGGGGGCTAGTCAAATGGCAAAAGGTAAGTTCATTCTTAAAAAAAAAAAAAAAGCAACTAAAGGTATAAAGGGAATAACATTAGTAGTTTAGAAGCACAGAAGAAGGCAGAAATGCACAAATGGTCTTTTGTACTGTTTAGTGAAAAATATACAACTGTATATACAGATATACTACAATTAATACACTACCATTATTGTCATGTACCAATAAAAAGTTTGTGCATTAGATTTGCTTACCACTTACTAGAGAGTAAGCCACACTTAACACATTGGAACTTACTTCCACAAAAGATTGCACTTCATGACTTCCCAAACATTTTGCCACTGAATGAGCCATCATTCGACTTGCAAGTTTCCCATTTAGCTGCATTGGGCACAGTTCAAACAAGTTTTGTGCTTTGTCTATAAATTGTCCTTTTTGTCATCCTTGTAAAAAGGAGGTACAGGGAGCTTATTATTCAGACAAGACAACTGTAGCAGAATGTTGGGTTACAACAAACAGAACCAATAGCCAGGCCATTTTACATAGCTTGTTTCTTTAGAAAGAAGGAAAAAAATCATCCCAGGAATAACGATACATTTTTAAAATGAAGGCATGAGCATTTAATATTTTCACATTTAATAAAGCAACAGTTTTCTTCCCCATCTTATTTGTGTGCACTTAAAATATGCTGCGCTGAAATTAAGCCTGCTGTTAGAGATTTACATGCTAAGTGACTGGTACTTCTAAATGTACATCAGTGGCTAGAGGTATCACAAACCAGATCATCACCCCCTTGCGTGTCTGCTGTTAACTTCTCACCTTGCAGTTATATGCTTTGATTTACAAGCTACAGTGTTAATATTGTAAGCATCCAAATTGTATTTGGAGACAGGAAACAAAACACACAGCACCCGTGTAATAACTGTTTGTGTCTACTGTGATTGGTTGCAGATTATTATTGGTAACATACCTCTTCAAATTGTGAGAGAAGCCAATACTGTATTAGCTCTTCTTATTAAGATTCCACTATGATCTTAATGACTAGCCATTATAAGGTAATATTGCTAAGCAGTACCTTAATGCACTTACATAGCTCAGCTTTCACAATTGCATCCATATTACTGGTTGGTTTTTTAAAAGTAGATGCACATTTGAGCAAGATGCACACTGGAAGTGGCACTTCATGATTATGTTATTAAACATTATGGGAGTTCAGACAGAGTAACACTAATATTTTTATTTGCTGACTCTTTATCCACATTCATCTTAAATTAAGACAACATCCTAAATACTTGTTCTCAATGGATTTGAATCCATACTGCAAACTCGCCATATAAATTACCTCACATGTCCGGCTGCCTTTTAGTGGGTTGAATGAAGTTCATCACAGATACTCTGAATCAGGGATCCCAAAAAATATGTGGCGTCAATGTCAAAAAACTGATTTGAATAGGGAATATTTAGATTACACTGCAAACCATAAAGAGAAAGTAACTCTGGCACATAATCTTCAATATTGTACCATATTTGAAGTGAAACAATGATTTATTCCTTTACTAGTGCATCATTTCATTATTCATCAACTATCTAAGAAAATCTAAGAAAATAATAAATTTACAAAGAGTGTTTTTTTTAAAAAAAAACACGTTGGCAAAATCTGAAACCTGAAGAACACAACACATGTATTTTCAAAGGGAAATTGTTATCTTACTGTTCTCTGGAACTGCCACAGCAGGTAAGACTATGGGATGGCGAGCTTGGTGGACAAATCCAAACGTCTAGAGAATACGTCAGCTGCTGAGGCCAGGCCAACAATGCCTTTACAGATGTTGGTGTTGCTTTCAGGGCAAGAAGGTATGCCAAGACTTCAAACGCACCAAAACTACTGCTTCCCATCAAGCACAAAGCAAACTGATAAACCACACCTAGATGTACACCTAGGAGCATACATCTGCTTCAGGTAGGGCCACCTCTTGCACCACTGTGGGTTCGCTATGAGAAGAAGGGCTGTCCAAACGATAGTTAAAATATCCCAACTTGATGCCACTTCATACATGAGATGGGATTTGGGGGGGGTGGGGTGGGACTTGCTTCACCCTTCTGCTTCTCCCTTCAGACAGGTAAAGTACAGTACATATTAACCCATGTGTGAATCTTCAGCACCTAGAATTCACTGCTAGGAGGTGCAATGGCTTCACTTGAGCCACAGCTAGAAACTCGGCTCTGACTCCCCTGCCCTGAGAAATGTTAAGACTAACTATGCAAAGCTCCTTTGTTGTGGTGCCTAGAGTGTGGAATTCCCTTCCAAGAGGGGTTTTTTGTTCTTCCCCCCACCTCCCCAACTTTTTGGGATTTAGAAAACGCATTGGTGGAACTGATCATCAGTAGCAGACCTGGATAATTGTATTGCTTTATTTCTATCTTTCTGTGAATTGATGCTTTCGGTTAAGCTGGCTGGCTGTTTTATCTGTTGTTTTTAATATTAAATGTTAAGCCACATTATTGATCCTGACAGGTGGAAAGATGGGGCATAAATATTTCAAATGAATAAATACAATAAAATGTCCTCACAGCAAGACAAAGTCCTCAGTACTAAAACATTTCAACTTTTTGTTTTCATCCTCAGAGAAAAGGGTTCTCTCTTCCAGGACTGGACTCATCAGAAAATCATAGTCTCTAGAATGCCCATTTACAAAGGTAAACAAAGGGTAATTCTCCTTAGATGAGGATTTCAGGATCTACAATTAAACACAGGATCAGAGGAAAACATTGATTAGAAGACAAAAAACATTGCACTGCTCTTATTCCAACTATGTGTACATTGTCAACTGAGCATTCATTTTTAACACCAAGCAGAAAACACTGCACAAAGGGCATGCAAATCATCCCAAATAAATATTTTTCACGTCTGTGGCACACCTCCCAATGCCACATCTCCCCATCAGAGATGTGTGTGCACTAGATCTGTACCTAGAACACCCATTTATTTGCATGGTAGAATTACACCCAAAGCGAAACAAATGATAAACAAATCATACCCAGTCAGCTCTCTCATATAACATCTAAAACCTAGCAAGTTCAAAGCCAAGCTTCATACCAGCTCTTTGAACTGCTATAATTTTAATCAGTTAAATTACATACAGTGGTGCCCCGCAAGACGAATGCCTCGCAAGACGGAAAAACCGCTAGACGAAAGGGTTTTCCGTTTTGAAGTTGCTTCGCAGGACGAATTCCCCTATGGGCTTGCTTCGCAAGACGAAAATACCTTACGAGTCTTGAGATTTTTTTCGCTTTTCCCCCTTTATCTAATCTGCTAAGCCTTTAATAGCCTTTAATAGCCTTTTAGCAGCTAATCCCCTAAGCCTTTAAGCCTTTAATAGCCGCTAAACAGCTGATAGCGCTAATAGCGCTAATCCGTCAATGGGCTTGCTTCGCAAGACGAAAAAACCGCTAGACGAAGACTCTTGCGGAACGGATTAATTTCGTCTTGCGAGGCACCACTGTATATGGTTACAGCACCATATTAAAAAGCCACATTAGTCTACAGATTAATCTACATGAGGTCAAATCAGAAATTCAAAAATAGTTCTAATTGCACATTTAATCCAAAACAATTTTTAAAAATCTTTAAGCAGAATGAGGTATTAAACAACAACAGTCAGAAGCGGGAAAATCATGCTTGCAGTAAAATCAAATTCCACATTTTTTTACTGTGCTCTGCTGTTTTATCCCAGTTTAATTACATTAAACTGTTCTATCCCAGTTTAATTACATCCTTCTGATAGTATTGTGAAAGAGAAGGGCAAGGAGAACCACGACATGAGCAGAGGTGAGCAGAGGAGAGACGGAAAAAGGAGGCTCATGTGAAAGGGGAACATTTTAGGAAGGTGGTACAGGGCAACAGATCTCAAGGGACAAGATAATTGGATACAACCTTTTATCATTTGGCTGTTGGATCAATTCAGCCCACATCAGTAACAGAAGTTCACGGTATTCTGATGGCTGTTTGGTAGCCTGTGAAATTAGCTGGCAGGCCTTCCCCTCCTAATTGACAGGTGTCTTGCAACATGACAGCCACCACCACGACTAAGTAAAAGCGGCTCCCCACTTACTCAGTGTCTGATGAGTTTCTTCCCATTATAGATGAAAATATATGTGTTCACACACACACACACACACACACAATTTTGCAAGGACGATATACATTAGTCTAGTGGCTTCTTGCTAAATTTGTATGGAGGACACTAGATATAATAAACCACGATTCCCTAAATACTGACTGTTAAGGGAATGTAAGGAAACTCAGACCACAGAACTGTGGAAATGATTGCACTAATTTTTTACCCTTCTTAATCTTTGACACTCAAGACCTACAAAATCGAAATGTGATACGGGAGCTGTGAAGGGCATTGATAGGCTGAAATCCATTTACCCAATGAAAGCCCTTCTTGGTCTGCTTTTTCAGCTATCTTCAGAAATTGCCTATATATTTCTGAATTCACATTAAGCCATGAGCTAGAAACTTGCTTGAGATAGAAAAAAGATTGTTATCAAATTTCACACCAAATTATCAGATTCTCACAAAATGAAATGGTGTACGCATGTACATGAAAAAAATACACAGCCACGACCATTTCAAAGGAGATGAAAGACTTTTAAAATATCTGGTTCTGTACCACTGCTCGAACAATTCCCCACTTAGGAAGACAACCACACAGAACTAGTATACCTCCCTGCTGATACAGGGGCTGGCTTCTAAGGTATGTAGTGCTTTCTTTTCAAAAGAATGATTTGGGAATTATTCCTGTAGAAGCATACACATGAAAAATGATGCAATGTAATCGGAATCAAAATGATGTTGATTCCCAAGAAAAGTAATTTTGATTGAGGCAGTCTTCTGTACAGAGAATTCTAATCTCCAGAATTGTTAAGAAGCAGTGCAATGTATTTAGTGGCTACAAATGTGAGCTATGAGCCAAGAAGTCTAGTTCAAATGCATTTTCTGTCATGGACACTATAGCCTTGGACAAACCACTCTCTAAGCCTTCCCCACTCCAGAATGCCTCTTTACTTTCTAGGATTATTAAATCTGCGGCATATTCCCTCTCTCTCTTTATGAAGGATGTGAGCAAAGCTTGGGCCTCCAACATCTATGAATTGTTCAGAAGGTAGATTCAATTATCAAGCAAAATAAAGAAACAAAAATGGCCAGAAGCAAACTATGGCTTACTATGAATGAGCAGTGTGCTGCTGCCTGCTGGTCAATCGTGCCTGCTCCATCCTGCCAGGATCTCCACGAGAAACAAACCACAAAGCTTGGCTTAGCATTACATGCAAACTGAGCAGTCTGTACCAGCATGTCATTCATTCATGACAAGGCATGGTTTATTTCTGACCATGGCTCACTGCTAGATACAAACAAGGCCAACGAGTCAATATGACATGGGTTCTTCCTAGATCCTTCCTTTTTATTTTTTTACTTTCACACTTCCACTCCACAATACCTAGCAGCTTTAACAGTGCAAATCAGTCCAATGGGACTTGCACAGTATGCATAGGACTGCACCCTAAGTGCTGTAAGAGTGGTACTAGGAAAGCCTTCTCCTATGCCATCTTTCAGACAAGAATTTGTTAAACCACCATAGTTTTAAATGTCTATCGTACTTTTGAGCAAGGCAACTATTTATGTCAGCTTGATGAAAACAAACAGATGAGTAGATGGGAGTGAGCACGAACAATTAAGAGAAAGTGGCGTGTGTTACTGTGCAAATATAGTGGCTGTTCCCTTTTTATGTGTTAAATGTAACAATTTTATTTCCTTTTTCTTAGTTTATACCAGATGTAATAAACAACCCTGTGTTTGCTTGTATCTCGGATGTGCTTACTTTCACAGTAAATTTAAAATGGTGCTAACACATAGTAATAATATTTTATCTGTAAATGTAACAAACATACTTACACTAACAAATAATAATGCACAATTTAGTTTGATTTAATATTTCCATTTAAAGTCATCCCCAAGGAATTGATTGCCTTTTAAAAGATTCTTTTTGTGTAGAAGATCATTCAGTGTCTGAAGCTTTCCGCATAAATATTTTCGTTTAAATGCTGCCACCTAGTGGGACAACCTTACACTTGGTCTTGATATAATTGAGAAGGGGGAAATTATCTCAGAGTTAATTTAACTTCTACAATACACATAGGCATGCGTTGCAAGATCATTTACCCCATGTAATTCAGTTAAGTTGGTCAGTGATCCCCACCCCCAAAAAAACCTGCCTTTTAAGATGCAGATTATTTTTAAGAAAGGCTATTTTCTCTGGTGATAGGCATATCTGCTGAAAATACTCTTGTGTAAGTAGTTACTGAATCATCTACTTAAGATATTTCTTTATCTAGAGTTTACAGTTCAATTGTGCTGATGTAATGGGATCACAAAAGATTGCTGGTGGGCTTATATATTTGTCTTTGCCAGTACATATCAGTGGCTCAAGCCTTGATAATATATCTTGAAGAGTAATATTTAAGATGTTCCAAAATAAAATAATATAAAAGTAAAGGACGACAAGGTAAAGTATCAGTTTCATCATGTGGATGCTTACCTTAGTTATTTCTTCAGAGGCCCTTTCAAAGGCTTGCACATTTGGACAATATAACCCTATAGTGCAGCTAGGATCCATTTTTTTGAAAGACATCTTCTTTGGAGAAGGGCAGTGGAATGACTGTAATTATAAGTGGATGAAAGATTTTTAAAATGCTTTAAAAGCACAAGAGAAAATGATTGATATAAGATACAATTACTCGCCCTGTTTCCGAATGATTCATAAAACATTTCCATGAAACTGACTGAGTTTTACCAGTTCAATTAACAAAAAGCACTTTTACATGGTAAAAATGAGAGCTGCTAAAGTCAACTAAATGTTTAAAAAAATCCAAAATTTCCCATTTTTTCCAAGTAAAATAATAAACCTATCATCTCCAACTGCAATGTGGAAAAACATGGGTGCTGCTAGAAAAGAAATTTGGCATAATTTGCAGGTATTTTAAGACAGTGTTGTTTCTTCCTTATTTTTGGCACTTCTAAAGTAACAAGCATGCTTTTCTCTGCACATTTGAATCTGCAAAATGCAAGTCATGAAGGATATTAAGTGACTGTTTCCAGGGGAGGAACTTTATAAAAAGATAAGTTGACCATTTCATGACCCAACTGACTTTTTCAGGCAAGCACACGTGCTTTGCCTGCAAATAACCACAGGATCAGTCTCTTGCATTGCCAAGGAAGACTGGGAAAGAAAACTTTCTGAAAACCTAGAGACCTACTGCCAGCATCTACCAGCAATAACAATTCCCTGATAGCTGCTCTTGTCTCCCTACTGTTTTACAGAAATTTGCAAGGGCTTAGAAGAACTGGATGAAATCATTTTTCATTATACCTCCTTTCCACTGATGTATCTTTTCCATTGCAATGCACTTTTTATTAGTGAGATTCCAATATAATAGATCTACTTTTCTTCAACACAGAGAAAAGTAACCCAGTAGAACATTTTATCCACTTTAGAAAAATAATTCTCATTTTTGAAATTCAGCGATATAATACTTTAACCTGAAGTTTCCCAACAGACACACACACAAAAGGGGATAGCTCAGCAGCACTGGAAAAGCAGTGCAGCATATCCAGGGTTTTATCTCAATGCTTAGAAAATACACTCTACATGCATAGAACAGCGGTCAGGCTCTTCCAAACAAATAGATTCTGTAGGTTGACTGCAGACTGGATTGATTTTCAACTTAGCCTGGACAGTTTATCAATTCTGAAAACATATGATATGGAGAAATCTAGCAGAACTGTTACCTACAATAAGAAAGCAATTTCTGTTAGTTTTTGACACCCCTAGACAAGGACAGATTATTATTACATTCACTCAACATTAAGGTCTGATCCACAATTCAGTTGTTAAAAGAGTGCTTCTTGCAATGTGAGACCACCCAAATCGGCATGTTCTTGTTATGCCACATATGTTCAGGTAGCCATTTTACCTCGGACATCAGGAAGAATCAGACACTGTTGTTATAAAAAAATGATTACTGAGGAACTGAGCAAACAGATATTACTTTAATAAGAAATCGTTTCCATAAACTATAGACAACTATAATACACAGATATCTCTCTATTCCTTTCTCTCTCGACCTGCTGTAACCTAACTTCTCGTTCCTTAACTTCTCATCTAGGACTGCTACCTGCTAAAAGCCTTTTAACAATACTACAATGGATATGTATGTGCAAATCTATTTTATTCACTACTAATATTACTATTTTAGGGACGCGGGTGGCGCTGTGGGTAAAACTTCAGCGCCTAGGACTTGCCGATCGCATGGTCGGCGGTTCAAATCCCCGCGGCGGGGTGAGCTCCTGTCGTTCGGTCCCAGCTCCTGCCCACCTAGCAATTCGAAAGCACCCTTAAGTGCAAGTAGATAAATAGGTACCGCTTTATAGCAGGAAGATAAACGGCGTTTCCGTGTGCTGCTCTGGTGCCGGTTTGCCAGAGCAGCTTCGTCACGCTGGCCACGTGACCCAGAAGTGTCTGCGGACAGCGCTGGCTCCCAGCCTCTAGAGTGAGATGAGCGCACAACCCTAGAGTCTGTCAAGACTGGCCCGTACGGCCGTACCTTTACCTAATATTACTATTTTATTCACTACTAATTCACTACTAATCTGAGGATTACACACAAGCTAAAAAGTATTTGCACAATTTAATCCAGATGGAAAAATGCCTGAGCCTGAGCGGCAGCCGCTAAACTGTGCAGAATTAATGTAAACAGCTCAAGTGGGGTGAGAGAAAAGGCCCTTTTGTGTAGATGAGCTGCGCAGACTATAGGAGTGACTAGGATCTTCATCAGTGCTAGCTCAAAAGCTCTGATTCACACTGCAGCCAGTATTTTTTAAACACAAAATGCATGGGGCTGCTGTGCCCTGTCTGTTTGTGAGTTGTTCAAGCAGATTTCAAGTTTACCCCCTTGACAGAGGTCTGGAAACTTGTTTTAAAAAAATATGAAGAGGAGAACCTACTGCCCAACAGATGTTGTTGGACTACAGTTCCCATCAACTCTAACCAAGCTGGCTGATGGAAACTGTGGAGTTCAAGTTATCTGGATGGCCACAGGTTCAACACTCCTGTGCTCCTGAGACCTGGGTTCCTGGGACGCAGACTAGCTGTAAATTGGGCCAGCTGCTGCTAGTAGCAAGTAGTGAAGCAATTTTTTTTGGGGGGGTGCTTCTTTCTTTATGCATCATGGTCCATGTTCAGCCTTTGTCATGGGAAAGGTAAAAGTCTGGAGAAAAAGCAGATAGCACAGTGGGGTGCTACACACCTTCCTTGTGGGATGCTGCCTTCCGTTGCATTCAGGTATCATAGGTTTGCATTGCAAGTCAACTTGGGTCAAGTAAAGGCATTCATAATCTCAGAACTATTTCCATCTACATGCTTTCAGCTCCGTAAACAGTCCCAGGGGCATAGCAGAGGCACTGCACTCCCCAATGTTTTGTGTGTGGCCCCATCTAAATCACAGGAACTTGGGAAACTGTCGGGCCACTGCTCCATACATTTCAGTATTGTCTGCACTGACTGGCAGAGACTCGTCAAGATTCCGGGAAGGGAACATTCCCAGCCCTACCTGGAGATCCCAATGGTTGAATCCGGGACCTTCTGCGTGCCAAGCAGATTCTTTGCCACAGAGATACAGCCCTTCCCCTAGTTCCAAGCCTGGGAAAGTCATGGGACCCCCCCCACACACACGTGCAGCATCTAGTCTGAGCATAGAGCTGTTCATGTATGAACCACACACACAACTGAGAGAACTCTCCTTCCCAAAGCAGTGAAGCTGGACACTCAGCACTTGAAATTCCTGTAAGTGGGAGGGGAGTAACAAGGAGTGAGGTTATGCTACTCCCGTTGCAAAAGCACCAAAACTAGACTTTGGTTGTCTCAAAGCAAAAATCTGACACGCAAACAAATTCAGAGGTTATGTATTCCACTGTATACAAAACATCAGCAATGAATTTGGCTTGGTTCATTTTTTAGTTTATTCCTTTTTGTGATTCTATGTTAAAGAAAGAAAGAAAGAAAGAAAGGGAAACGATCTAAGTAATTAGTGTTTGGTTCATATATGAAGCAAACAGTGCTGGCTCTTTATCCATCCTACCTCGAGGGGGAAATCCTTTACGCTGACATCTACAAAAGACTGGCAGTAATGAGGATCCATGTAAATCAAACTGTCATCTACAAGGACAAAACAAAAGACAAGTAATTCAAAAAACACCTTATTATTACACTGCTTACAATCCAATTTCTATGCAGAACCATGGGGGGAAAGACACCCCCAGCAAGTAACTGCCTGCCAGGCTGATATTCATTGACTGAAGCGTAGGTTTTTGCAGGACAGATTAACTTTTGCATAATCAAATATGCTTGTAGAAGCAGAATTTTGATAAAGTGATGAGACTGTCATTTAATTTTTGGAGATAAAATTACTTTTACAAACACACAATTATATTCCAGGAGTTTGCATATGAAAAATGCATTGTACTCCCTCATCATGACAGGAAGAACATATTTGCTTGTCATTTGGTCATCAACCTGTACCATTTAAACTACTAAAGGGTAAATATATAACCAAGATCTGCCAGGTAGTAAGCAGTGAAAGGCTCAGAGAGTTTGATGAAACAAATAAATTATGCCTTGTTTGTGCAACAAAGAAAATTAAATGTACATTTTACAGAATCCAATTACCATATAGGGCAAATGACAAATGACTGGACTTTGGTGAGTCTGATTAATAAAGTACTCATTTTGCTATTTTAATCATTCCACTTCCCAGGGGGTTTCTATTAACTCCAAAGCTTGGCGGGTGGGAGGGGGTGGGGAGGAGAGAAGAGAAGAGAAGAGAGGAGGTATACCACACTGAAAAAGACATACCTTATTAAAATACTAACCTTGAAATCCAGCAAAGTAATATGACTGCTTAGGTTTGCCACCAATAATACCAATGCAGTATTCAAGACTCAAAATCCCCTGTCATCACAATAAATAAATGGGGCAGGGGGGAGAGGCAGGATTACCACACAGTAGACTTAATTCCATGCTGGCTAATTTTGTTCAGTACAAGCTGCTTACAAGAGGAAAGCAGAGCTGTATCATTTACCTAAGAAAGGCATTCAGAGAAAGTGTGAGGCAGAGGTGAACTGAGCAACCTGTGGGCTGCCTGAATCCCTTGGCCTGGCAGTCCCTGGCATCTCTGGTCACTCCGCCCCTTCCATCTCAGAGTGTTCTGCTGGGAAGCAGACTGCTACAAAAGGGTTGATCTGCTTGGACTGCACTTCCCAAAGGCTTCCTCGCCGCCCCAGGGAGGAAGTGGCCTCCTCCCCCTCTTGGCACAGAGAAAGCACTTTGGGGTTGCAGGAAGCATGGATAAGCCATTCCAGAATAGTAACAGCAATGGCGAAAAGACCTAGGCACTGAGCCACAACGGGGAGGGAAGGAGCAAACAAGCCTGACACTCGGGATGAGTTTGAGACTAAGGAGCATTTGAGAGAGGGATGTTAAGCCTGCTGTGGGATAAAGAATCTAAAGGTCCACATTTCAAAGGACTGCATGCTAATATGCCTGACAAAACCTGTGCAGGTTCCCTGGCGTCTACAACTACTTTGACAAGCAAAATTAAACCCATCCTCTTTTTCATTCAACTGATGCTATTCATTGTGTGTCCATGTACATATGGAGCATGACACTTGTCCTTCCAGACATTGACAAGAAAGCAAATGAGAAGGAAATCCTAACTTTAAAACCTTCACATTTGGAGCAGGCTAAACAAATAGCTGCCATATTGTCATTTTACTTCATTTAGCACAGCCTCTGAACCCCTGACTAATCAAGTAGACTCTGCTTCTTAAGACTACTTGGCGAAAATAGAAGCAGGGCTGGTCCCCTTTTCTTCCCTTTAGGCACAGCTTCCATTAATTCAGAAGAGTATTTTTACAGGCCCAGGTAAAACATTTCCATGGAGGGAGGACTAGAAGTATGTAAAATAGGCAAGAGGATAGGACAATTTCCAAACGGAGAGATTACAATGAACCGTCTATAGTACAACAGCCAATATGGGTACAACAGAGTGCAGCAGCAGATGTTATACCACCCAGTGTCTGAACATGCTTATTAATTTTGATATCCGAGTGTTTTACGGAAAAGGAGGGTCACAAGAGCATAGACTGAAGGGATGGCACACTATTGCTGATATTTGAGATAGTCATCTTTAGGGCTTCCATGACAGTCTTAAATTGATTATTAGCACCACTGAGACAGAAAACGGATACTGTTAATGTAAATGCCACTAATCAGCTGCTTAAGTGTGGGGAACAGATGAAGATCCTAGGTAACATTTTAAAATCAAGGATGCATGGGGGTGCTCACTGAATGAACCACCAATACAGGTGAAATCAGATCAGTCTTTATCCTGAATTACTGCATCAGTAAGACAGCCATTTAGGGACTGGAATAGTTATAACTGGTTTAACATTGAATATCCTAGCCCTGCAATTATGTCTGCATACTGAAATTTCAAATTTCTGAAGTCAAACTTTATGATCTACTACCGTAAAAATCATAAATACTTTTAATAGATTGAAGATTTCCATCCTTAACTGTCTTTTTATACCATCTAGTGTTACTTTCTGAAAAGTGACACTGAAACTCGTTTCATACCTTCACAAACTCTAGGTATTCCATGTTGGTTCTTTCTCCTCCCAGCCTCACGGGAATTAATATGATGACAGATTTGGCATCCGATTTTTCAGAATCCGCGAAAGAGCACTGCGTATCGATAACATCGGACTTGTAAACTTGAATGAGGCAACACGAAATGTAAGGGAGATTTTTAAAAACGTGTTTTCAAACACATGCTGAATAAACCAAACAAAGCCAAATACACACTGAATAAACCAACCAAAAAACAAGGTATCTGCTGATTTTAAGGGGGATAGGAGGGAACTGGCACTGTTTGGCCCTCCTCATGGATTCTTGTGTTCTCCCACTGAGGGCCAGAAACACAAGTGTGTGAGTGTGCATGCCTAAGGGCAGAAACCAGAGATGCCACAAACCCTGCACTGCATGAAGCCCAACTGCTGTAACATGAACTGATGGGACTGGTGCTTCTTGGCTCACTAGTCATGAATAGGTTTCCACTGCTGTGTCAATATAGCGTGAAATCCACCCACGCGCTGCACCAAGAGATCTTGGAGTCCAACTGAAAACAGCACTTTGCTGATTTACAGCATATCTATTCAGTAGTGTGTTGCATTGAATTCATCAGGGTTCACTCCCAGGCAAATAGGGTTAGGCTCGCCATCTCTCCCTCCTAGGCCACACCGATGCAGATATGTCAATGCAAGGGATTTCCAGAGGGCTCTGCTAGTCTGCTGGAGCATAAACAGCAATTTGTCTTGTGGCAGCTTCAAGACAACCACACTGTATTATGCATTGTCATGAAACCTGATCCCGTAATTAAATCTGCAAGAACTTTTGCTAAGAAAGCAAGCAGTTGAGCCTAGGCAAACCATAGGCATACCTGGTTTGGACATGTCCCACAGACCTTCTAGCTGCTGCTAACATTGTCCTGTTCCAGGGGGTGGAAGGTGCATGGAAGAGAGGGCTATTCAAGGCTACTAACCAGGATGACTATGCTCTTGCCTCCAGAGCTGGAGGTAGCAACGCTTCTGAATACCAGTTGCTGGAAACCATGGGAGGAAAGAGTGTTGCCCTTGTGCTCCGTTCCACACCCTGGCTTCTCACAGGCATCTAGTTGGCTACTGTGAGAACAGGATGCTGGACCAGATGGGCCACTGGCCTGATCCAGAGGGCTATTCTCATACTCTTACAGCCTGGGTATATCACAGCTTTGGGGCGATCACTCACAGCAGCATCTCTACCAGAAGCCCAGCGTTACGCATCTCCCTCTGGGACTCCAGCAAAAGCATTAGTATCCAACCTCGCCTGGAAGCAGCACATACATAATCAGAGCATTTATGCTGCTTTCGTCCAATAAGGAAACTGCGATTGTGTTTGCTTTATTGCCTGCCTGATATATTTGAGTATTCAATGCAAAGTGAAAACATTCATTATTACTCCAGGGCAGAAGGAAATTAATTTTTTGCATTGATCTAATAGCACAGGAGAGAGAAGATGGCTTTCTTAAACTATACTTTTAATTACTCGGAAATTTTTTTTCCGTAGAGAAAAAGAATTAATATATCACTTAAAATGGTTTGTGCATGTTGGGAAAGAAGAATGAGTCCGAAACACTGAGTCAGTAAGTTCAGAGGACCTGCTCACGGCAGATGTTACAGAAGTGCACAATCCTCTGGTCGTATTAGAAAAGAAAAGGCTTCCATATTTCAGCATTAGAAAATGTTACTCAAACAAACATTTAAGCGTCGGTGCAGCAACACTGATCCCCAGGAATTCAGTAATTATCATTTGTGATTTACCCTGCACCAACAATATACAATAACACCGTAGAGTGAAACAACAAGAAGCTTTTTGCCCCATGGAGCTTACAATCTAACCCAAATGCTTAATATTAACCTTATTTATATATGAAGTTTTGCAATGTGTAACTTTGTTTGTAAAGCTTTCGATCCAGAAGAATGTCAGTGGGGTTTTGTTTGCATTGTGGGACCTCCCCACCCAAGAAAAAAAAATCTGGTTAAGAATAAGTAGGTTCTCTGGAATGTTGAGACAGGAAGCTATCACGAGGAGTACAAATTGAAATGTTCCTATCCATTTGCAAAATGGATCAAACTCTATGTTTGGATCAAACTCTTATGTTTTTAGCATCACAAAGAAATGTAAGATTTAACACTAGCATTGGTCAAGAATACTGCACAATATACCCCCCTTACCTGTACAATCTTGAGCAACGTAGACAGTTATTCCTTGTAACTCAGGGTCTTTTGACTCTTCAACAGCTTTTCTAAATACAAACAGGCTTCCTTTAGGTTCACAATGCACAGAATTAAGGTGCAGAATCATAACCATAGAGTTGGAAGCAATCCCAAGGATCATCTAGTCCAACCCCCTTCAGTGAAATAATCTCAACACACGGTCCCTCATCCAATTTGAAACCCCACCGGACCCTGTTTAGCTTTGCAAATGTGCCGACAGTTTTATTAGGACACAATCCTCAAATCACCTACTCTGGAGAAAGACTAGGCAGGAGCGCTGAAAAACACAGCCTTAATCTGCCACAAAGATGAACTACAAGTGTAATTCGCAGACTGCAAAATGTGGCAAGCAAGGAAAACAAAAGCAATTTAAAAACAAGCATCATAAGACAATGCCAGTCTGTTTTTCATTATGCTTACTTCCAATTAGCAGATAGCTAATTCACCAAGTTGAAACTGTTTTAGTATACAGTGGTACCTCAGGTTAAGTACGTAATTCATTCCGGAGGTCCGTACTTAACCTGAAACTGTTCTTAACCTGAAGCACCACTTTAGCTAATGGGGCCTCCTGCTGCCGCTGTGCCGCCGCTGCACGATTTCTGTTCTCAACCTGAAGCAAAGTTCTTAACCCGAGGTACTATTTCGGGGTTAGAGGAGTCTGTAACCTGAAGTGTATGTAACCTGAAGCGTATGTAACCCAAGGTACCACTGTAGCTTGCTTTACTAAAGAAGAAATGCTGAAAAATCTGAGTTAGGGAAACTGCACACATCTTTGTTGAAATGCGTGAAGAAAGCCAATTGCCCACTATAATGTGCCAACATGTTACAAACCTGTTATGATACAGAGTACACACAGTGGAAATCTGCCATCAGTCATAACCAACCACATATACATGTGGTAAAATAGATTTGGGAGCATGTTATGGGACACAAAGACATAATGGGTTGTCCCCCCACAGAATCTGGCCGAGGGTTTCTGCTGGTGAAAGAGGGCAAAGGCTTTTCTTCACCCTTCATCCTGATTTTCCCCTTGTCCCCGAATCTTCCACCATCACATCCCATACTGTTCCGGAGGGTCCATCAACCCTCTGCAAAAGCTTTTCCAGGAGCACAAGGACTGTACATCATTACTAGACTGGATCCAACCCAATCTGTATATATAATCATTGTATGACCTTAGCTCCAAAGTTAAATGCACAAACCTGTTTACCCAGAAGTAAGGCCCACCAGTTTCAGTAGGAAATACTCCCGTGCAAGTATGTATACTGTTATTGCCCCCAAAGGTTAGCTACTCATGGCCTCAGAGCATTCTGAAGAACAATCAGCTCCAAGTTGTATGAGGGATCCAAGTGGGTGGGGAAGGGGTGTACTATGAATAGATAAGGTGGCTATGCAATGGATAAATTTCTGGTGGTATTGGTTTACAGAAAATATTCAAGTTGAACATGAAAACCTTAGAAGCTTCCTTTTTGAAAAGCGTAACGTGAAATTCTAGGAAAATATTAGTAAGTTTTCCGTGTCAATTCCAATTATTTATCTCTGCAAATTCAACTGGATACATAAATAACCTTCACCTCTCAAGACACTGCATTATTTCCCAGTAGTCTCATTCAAGGTGAATATTCTTGCTATACAAGCAGCACGTGACTCCTGCATCTATATAAATGTAAAAATTTACATCTGCACTTTGGCCTCTTGTGCTTAGAAAGTTTAATGATTCAATTTATGACCATATTGGGACCCACCTAGAACATAAGACTATAAAAATACAAAATCAATGGTGTCCAAAAAAATGGCACATAAAGGCACCCTGTACTGAGAAATCTGACTTTCAGCTTTTTTCTTTTTTTCAATCTAGGCTGAATGTCACAGACCCTTTACTTTTACTATTATGTAATTATAATATTAATAGTCCCATACACTTACAATTTCAAAAGAATTTGATGTGTGCAAAGAAATGCTGAAAACATCAATTTTAAACTCTGACAGTTCATTACACTATCAGTACATTACAGCCCCCAGGTTACAGTATTAAAAAAAAGAAGTAGTAGTCTATAATGTTATGCATGTTCCAAGGTTAAAAGAGTTGTTGGTTTTTAGAACATTTCATTCAAGATACCCTACGAAAAGTCTAGGTTTGGAACAAATCTTTGTAGTCTAGAATAATCCAACGGAAATGTTTCAGAAATAAAAGAAACTTTAAACAGAGACCATTCTTGAAATATTCACTACTCCTTCCTTTTCTTCTTTCTGGAACACATCCTATGAATTTGAATCACTAATGACAAGGATATATAGCTAAAGCTTTAATTGTTACTTTCTAATTAGCTGACAATCTCAAGACAGTGCTAAAATGAGCTCTCCCTCCATTGGATACATTAGTGAAAGACAATTTAGTTTGTTTTTACCTCAAAAGGTGTGCTACAACAGCTGGCCCATACCAATCTCCAGCTATTTTCCCAGACTTGTTTCCATATTCTGTTAGGCGATGCAAGCCAAAATTTGCAAGTGGAGAATCGCCAAACCACGATATTATTTTTCGATGAAAGTGTTCATCCCTCCTTTCTCTGTTCCCCCAGTTCCCCCCTGGGGCTTGCTTGTGGTGGCTTGACTGGTTCCTGAATTCTTTCTCTCCTGTACGTGATGCTTCGAGGGATGCAGTGAGCTTTTTTACTGTGTGACTTGTCCATGATTCAGAGTCTGAATTTTCAATGACAAATGCATCTGGCCACGTCCAGTCTGTGACAGACACAGCATATAGTTAATGGTTTGCCTGCTAGTAAACAATTTAAAGAATTTTTATTCGTTTTAAATTATCTGGTGGAAATTTAAAGACGCTTAAAGTTGTCTGTTCTCTACACTAAACAACAGAGATTTAGCATCAGCCAGACTATCCCAGAGTTTCCGAATAAAAGTACAACAACACTGATTTTATAACAGTTCCACCACAACTTTTCACACAGAACAGGATTAAGGGGCATCGATCAATTAAGAAATGTCATTGAATTACACCAAACTTAACTGCTAACTTTTTCAATTGAATTGTTTTTCATTTTTCCAAGAATTAAACATGGTTTCCAAGAAGTTAGAATAAATTAATTTGTATTTAAAATTATTAAATGTCCTCAAGCAATTTCCTCAAAATGATTTTACAACTAGGTTGTGAAACTCATTGCCACAAGATATTGCCTTAGTGAGATTTAGGAACAGGCTACATCCTCTCAAATGCTAAATAAGAAACAAAAGTCAAGGTATCTTTGGGGTAAAAAACATTAGAAGAGCAACATATTTTTGGGGAAGAAAACATATACATCCATGCTTGCCAAACACAAGCATTAGAAAGTTGCATCCATTTTGGAAAAGGATTGCATAATTATGGTTTCTACAGAGTTTCACAACACCCACCAATACATCCCCCACACTGTTCTTTAAAAATCATTCAGAATAAAAACCTAATAAGCATTGCATGTAACTACTGAATTTGAAAGGCTAACACTCAGGATAGCTCAGTAGGTAGAACATGAGATTAATCTCAGGGCTGTAGGTTTGAGCCCCACGATGGGCAATAAATTCCAGCATTGCAGGAGTTTGGGCTAGAAGACCCTTGTGGTCCCTTCAAACTCTACAATTCTAACACACTTCATTCTCATAAGCACACATGGCCCAATTCCTTTGGTTATCTATTCCCTCAAATCAAAAACTAAAAGTTAACTGAATAGGTCAAAAATCTGGTGAACTTGCCTCTACCAAGAAAGTGAAGAATAAGTCCTTGTGCTAGAAGCATCTGGCCAGTCCTCAGGGTACAGCCCCAGCCACAGTCTGTTGTTAAAGCTGAGCCCTTGATTTGAGGAAATTCTTCTCTGTATGTCAGCCATATTCTGGAAATAAAATCTTTACGGAACTCTTCCACGTTTCTTGAAATCCCTTCATCTGTTATATCATAATTTGACCCATTTGGTGACGTGTCACTTGACTCTATAAGAGAGAGACATAACAAGCTTCTTTTAAAAAAAAAAAAAGTTTACTAGTACTTGTTTTAAATAAGTGACCAACTGCAAAATCTTGTACAGTTTATCAGAACTGTGAACAGTACAAAGCCCACTATGAGAAATCTCCACAAAATAATAAAACAAAAATAGTAACTTGAGCTTACAGGTATTTGCCATAGGGAATGAATATACAGCTAGAGCAGGGGTCAGCAAAGTTTACCTCGACTGGGCCGGTTCACTCCAGCGGAGATCCCTCTTTGGGCTGGATCACATGCGCGTGGCCGCGATTTCTGGTGTCTGCACCTGCACAGACGCGATTTCTGGCACCGCGCAAGGGAGTCCCTGCGCCACACTGCGCTGGTTTAGCACAGTGCGTGGGGACTCGCCGAGTGGGCGGCTCGTGGGCCGGTTAAATGACCCCCGTGGGCCGCTTGTGGCCCACGGCCCTTGGGTTGCCTACCCCTGAGCTAGAGGCTTCACTCCATAAAAAGTAAAGGTAAAGCCAGTGTCTTCAGGTCAGAATATTTAAAGGAAATGTGGGAGAAAAAATTATATAAAAATCAGAAGGCAAACAGAAACAGTTGCCAGTTTGGATTGGTTTTTGTTATATCATTCTTCCATATTATAGAAACAATTATCCTGCAGAGAACTTTTGCAGAAAGGAAAACCGAAGAAAATACGGTAACTGACATTAAGGCAGGGCTGTAATTGACATATAAGCACAATTGTTGCCTAGACACAAATGAATTGACACAGGATTTTACAAAGCCCTGTTTGCCCAGTCTGCACATGCTCACAAGCCACTATAAAGAATTTGAGGCCTATGCATGCCTCACCCAACCCTCCAACTGCACTCATCAAGGTCCTTAACAAAGTAGAGAGGATCTGAGAGGTATATGCTGGCTTCACACAGATTGTGTTGGTAGCTGTCTGTACAACTTTGGGTGTATTGGAAGTAAGGGAACAGAGCTTTAATATGTCCTATGAAGATCCTTCACATATGGAATGTAAGACTTTTCCAGCAGCCACTTATTGCAAGTGGGAAACAGTAATATATATGCATCAATGTCCATTTGGACTGAAGAGCAAGTTACATGCTTGCAGCACATACCCTCAGTTTTGAAATGGTAGCATTTTCCCAGCAAAAAGACAGGAGAATTTCTGCTAAAGTAAGTTTTTGTTTTCAACACCCAGCCTATAAAGAAGAAGAAAAGCAAAGTAAGACATTTAGAAATGATCTCCAGGCCAACTTTAATGAAGTTCACAGAAAGCAAGGAAGAAAATGAACAGTCTCAGCTTTTATTAAAAACAAGTTCCTCTGCTTTGTACAACACAAATAGGGTTTAGGTTATTCCTATGTTAAATTTGTTAAATAGTTTATGTTGATGTCTGCACTTTAAAAAAAAGCATACATAGAAAGTTTCACTTTCCAAGCAGCAGTAACAACTAGTGGAAACACAGTATTGAGAAATAAATCCAATCTTGTTTGAAACAGGTACTATATAAATGTTTCAAATAAATAAACAAGCATTTACACAAAATTTCTATCCAGCCCATATCATCCCTCTGAAAGGCAACACTCAAAGCAATCAAATACAAAAACATATTCAGTCCTCAACATGGTCGTGGGAACTTGTGGGCAGGGGGTGCTCACCCTGACTCAGCCCTGACCCGCTCCTCACACAGAGGAAGGAAAGGCTAAACGAGGTTGAAAAACAGCTAGATTGAAGGCTAAAAGCACATTAAAAATAGGGACCAGAAATCCAGGGCAAACAATAAAAATTAAACAGCAACAGAATTAAAGACTGGTTTGTTTTTTAAAAGTCTTCAAATAGTTATGTCTTTTGAGTTTCTCTTTACTGAGGGCAGAAACCTGACAAAAACCTAGTAGAATCTTTCAAGTTTTCTTTAAGCTTTAATTGTTAGGAACTACAAAACAACAGTTGCTCTTTTGGTTATTTCTGCAGAAAGTTTCATAAATATTTTCTTTTCTCAAGCTATCCTCTTCTTCCCCTTTTTTAGCATCTTCCTCGTGGACTATGATACCAGAATAGATTTGTATCTGTCATGGATATCTGATTACATGGAATTCACAGAATGGGGAAATACACTGATTTATCCCCAGCTATTGCTGACTATGTAAGTGCAAGTGGTTCTTTTAATAGTGATATAGGAGTAGGTGTCCAAAGAGGTGCAGAAATTTCTGGAAGGAAAAATTTGTCAACTAATGGAGAAGTAACACCGCCACTTTCTTAGTCATGGCTATGGCAGTTTCATACGTCATCAACCTCCCAACCTGCAAGATGACAAGTAGGTCTATCTACAGATGCCCTCCAAGGGAAAGGCTGGGTGTCACAAGCTAAATCATCAGTCTTCAGCTGGGACCCATCACCAGGTCATGGCCTGATTTAAGACAGGTCATACTACCGCCATACAAATATATGGTAAAAAAAACTAAGAAATTTTTTCCCATGTACATATTTGGGTTGAAAGTGGGTACTGGGTCTGAAAAGGTTGAAGACTACTCAGCTAAACTATGTTTTAACCATACAGTTGAGAATTTAATTAAGGACAAAGCAACAATATTTCATTAGCACTAAACACACCCTAATTGCTATCTCACTGGCTTGTTTCAGACACAGTACTAAACTGTGGTTCATGCATTTCTTCCTCTGACACTCCCACAATTAGATCAAAAGCTCTCTTTTCAATCGATGGCAGTCTAGCCAAACCCGACACTGTGGTTAAACTTTATCTATGGTTTATGAAAACAAGCCAACTTCATAAACCATGGCTTAACCATGAGCCTGGCCTTGGCTGGGGAGGGCAGGGTATAAATTATTATTATTAATAATAATAATAATAATAATAATAATAATAAAGCTGGCTTGTTTCCATAAACCATAGGTAAAATAGTTTGCTTTGGACATAATGCTAAACAAAGGTTAGCTAAAAATAGAAATGAATGCTTCTGATCTCCTTTTTGCAGTTGCACTGAGAGAGGAGAGATGGGGAGGAAGTTGACAAACCCAAGTCTCATTCACATAATACGAAATGGCTTAGCATTACATCCGAATGAGTCGACTGGGCCTCAGAGTTCAAAAAAGGACTCATGCTCTCATGCAAATTCCCACTTCCTTCCCTTGTAGTATTAGCTTTACATCTGCACCAGCACTAACAACAGTTAACATTAACTGGGAACAGCAAACCAGCTTCAGTCATTTGAGACAATGCACAATCCATTTTCAAAGATGAGGTTGCATTCTTCCATTAATTGTTTTAAGCAATGCAATTTATCGCGTTTCACTTACTGTATTTCATATTATGCCATGCAGACATAAACTTTGATTTTATTTTCTCTACTTCATCTGTCCCTGTGGCCTCCATGTTCAGATTCAAGAGGAAAAGCCATCACTGTCTCAAAAGACACTAATCTGTGCTACTGCAAAAGGAAAAGGAATAAACACATCCATGAACACTCAGGGCATAGCTAAGCATGCTTGTGTTATTAGGTGGTTGAACATATTGTGACTAGGAAGAGCAATAAAATCTCAGAAGCCTCCACTTGCAGAGAGAAAAGCAATTGTAACTTCTATGAATAAATAATAAAAACATTTTATTCCAAATATACAACAGTAAAATTATCATCCAACGCTAAATAAAACATAATGTCCTCCAAATGCTCTCTATTTCACAGTAAACTGTCCTGTGTACATAGATTACATTGGTGTACATCTGAGAACACCTAAACACTAATTGGAAGACAGAGAAAAATATTTGAATTGCTGCAAAAGGGACACAGTTTTATATTATGTCTATTCTGTTCAGAAGCAGGACTCTGGGCTCATGAATATTAATGCTCTATTTAAGAGAGTTGGGTTCTATCCCAGTCCAAAATGTATTAAAAGGGAAGAAATCTGGGTTGCAAACAAAAAGAGGAGTATGCTTAAAAATAAATTACCAAAACAAAGTCTCCTGTAATATGTTAGATTATTCTTGCAAAAGAGCTACTTTAAAAATTCACTAGAAAATTTATACGTTGCATGGCTTTCAATTATAAAACGAAGAATACAAGTAAAGGTCAGGTGTGTTGGCTCATTAAAAAAAAAAATCAAAATCTGTATTAAGGCAATACCTTTAACAGGCTAACCAAAATGTCACCAAATACTGTGCCAAGTCAAGCCATATGTTATTGGATTTTGATGTAAGATTACCATGAAAACATTTAACAAAACTAAACAGGTATTTCAATTACATTATGTATAGTGGCCTTACATTATACATTCTATATCATAGTGGGTGATTTAAAAAATATATTTTTAATAATATGTTTTCTGGGTGTACTGTATTGACATTAATGAGAAAGGAAGAAAAACACCAAAGAATGGAGGCAGTGAGAGCTGCCATTCATACATGCTTTCTGTTAGTTGAAAAAGCAGGAAATGAGTTTTAATTATGGAAATCTTACTCCAAATTTATTGGGGAATTGTCTGTAGTGTGCTGTTTAAATAATTTCAATGGCTTGTATATGGTTCACATTGTTTGTTATTATATAATGACCATGATACGTCAGGTTTCTATTTGCTTGTTCACAGACTATATTAATTTATTCCTTTGACTTTGTCTTTTTGCTGCTACTAATGGTATTGCTGTGATATGGATTTTGGATGGATATGGATGGAGGAACTATTGTTGAGTGTTAACCTTCCTTTCTACCTCTGTAAATATTTGCATTGGAAAACAGCTAAGCAAACAAAGCAAGGTTAGCAAAGCAAGAATTTCTTCACAATATGAGTACTTAATTTTGAACAGACATCTCATTACATAAACAATGCTGCACGGAGATAAGTGTATCAGCAGTGTAACTTCAGAAAGAAGGGATACGTTTGCATATGCTCCATCAGATTTTATGTCAGTGTAAATGGCTGAAGAATAGCAGCTTCCGGGGGGCTGATTTCTTTCATTGCCTTTTTAAGATCAAGGGCATTCGTAAAGCTAAAATTTATCTGCAAGTCTGCAGCTCTGAAAGCTTTCTCTGGCTATTTCAGGGATAAAATAAGCCCAAGCACCTATCAAGGGTCACCAATATGGTGCCCTCCAGATGTTAAGAATAATAACAACAACAATTTTATTATTTATACTCCTGTTGTCAGCCCCAAGCATGGCTGATGGTCAGGAATGATGGGATTTTGAATCCAACAACATCTAGAGGGCATTACATTAACTAGCCCTGCCCTAGTTGAATCTCAAAGAACACTATTTTTATTTCTTATGCAACAAGAAGCTATCAATCCAAAGCATTCTTTGAAAACTTCCCATATGGAACATACAAAATATAAATTATTGAGACAACATAGGAAACTGTATTAGAGTTTATTCAATTGCCATACTAATGACAATCAGCAAGATTCTAAATTCATTTGGGTGGTTTTGTGCATAATGTTTCCAACTCTTCAAACAATGTTTTGGAGAATTGGAAACAAGCCTGTAGTGGCTAACGATGGAACGCTTCCCTCTTTTCAGCAAGAAAGTGAAGCAAGAGTTTCCTTAGTGCCTGGGCATCATGTAAGATACAGCAGCCAAACCCGCAACTCCTTGCAGCTCTTTTGAGCTCCAGATCTGAAGCTAGGGAGGGCACAAAAAGACAGTCCTTGACTATGTGCAGGGGCGCAGGGTGAAGTAAGTGACAAGGAAAGGGGAAGGGTCCTTAAAACCACAATTTTGGCTTGGCTACTAGGGCTAGCCAAAAATTGTAAACTTATTTTTATTTAGATACCAGAAAACCCAAAGCTGCTTCCAAGACTGTTTGAAAGTACTGGATCATTTGCAGGCTAAGATCATGGAGAATAAGGAGAAAGCTTAGAGGACAGGGACTTCCCTTGGGGAATGAATGTGTGTGTTAAGGAGAAATATTGGGGCTAGATGTAGAAGGGAAAGACTCAGGATAAATGCCAGAGAAACAAGTAAGTGTGTTTGGTATTGTTTTTATCTATATTTCTACAGATCATGAGAAAAAAAGTACAAAAGGGTGTGCAATGCTGGTCTGATGGGGATGCCTATATTAAGCAGGACAAATTTCTCCTGAGGTAGCTTTAACCAATTTAGATTTTTCTGAAGACAAGAGGTTATTCTCACCTCATACTGCCCTGAACCATTAGTAAATAAATAAATTGATACCTTTAGCAGCAGATGAAAAAGAGCAGACTGTCCTAAATGGGGTTGGCACACATTCACACTGTTTCTTTTAGACAGCTGTTTAAAAAACCACTAAGTTCACAATCCTGCACCCACATACCTGGAAGTAACACCCACTGAACTCCATGCGACTTCCTCATGTGCCAACATGCACAGGGCTGCAGCCTAAGTGTCAATAAGCAACCAAACTGAATGGGATTTAATTACTTATAGGGTGGCATACAAATGTCATACATAACGTAAAGTTGCTTGGGTGGCTTAGAGTAAATAAGTAAAAACAAACGAACGAACAAACAAACCCTGAAATGCTAAGTTCTCTACACAGCTGTAGCCTGAAACGCCTCGTTTCGACAGATGGCAGACCAAAATGGTCATCTGTGGCATCTCAGCGCCCAGATGGAGCCCGGAGGGAGCTCCTTGGCTTGCAGGTGGCACAAAATAAATTTGCGAGCGGAAACCTTATTCAGGGACGTGCCTATTTTTGCCACGACCCAAGATGTGCCCTTATTGCAAAACCTCCAGATAAAGTACAAAAAGCAGAGGCCGTTATTTCCCAAAATCACTGGGTAATATAGGAAGAGATGACTGTGTCTGTTTCTCAACGTCCTATTAAAAAAATCCCCTCCTTCTTCTACAAGACAAGGCTGCTCCCCGTCCGTTCCCAAGCCCCAAAGGATTTCCAGAGGAACCCCCAAGACACATCAGGGTCCCCCTGCCTTGAAATGCTTGTCCGCCCACTGAAAGCGGCCCCGAGGAACCCGAAGTCCTCATTCCCCCAACCCGACCCCAAAAGTTCGCGCTCACCGAGGACGCCGGAGTCACAAGGAGGCGAGAAAGGGGAGGGGGAAGGCCCACCTGTTTTAAAACTCTTTTTCTTTTTTTTTAACTTTCCGATCTTCACCACCGACTCTTTTGACCCACTCCGGCTACCATAAGAGCCAGTCGGCGCCGTTACGAACCCCCCAGTGGCGCCGCTTCCGGGACTGAGGAGGAAACCAAATCTGCCTACACAGCAGAGGGTCACCATCGGCGCGAGCGGGGGGCGGGAATTCAAAACTGCGACTCTTCTCATTTGCTAGCTGCCCAGGCACTACAAGTCCCAGAATGCACTGCTCCCGCGGCGTAAGAGGGTGCCCCTGCGGTGAGAAAGAAGTGCGCTCTGGGAGATGTAGTCTCCGAAGTTTGAAGCACTTTGGGAGTTCAGACTCAGAGAAAAGGAGACCGTTGGACACCTCAATTTCCTAGAATTTTCTTCTTTGGCCAATAATAATGATAATGAATAATGATAATGGTAATATTTATACCCCGCCCATCTGGTTGGGTTCCCCAGCCACTCTGTACCCTCTGAATACTGTACAAAATAAATTCTGCGCCTTCTAACTTGATCATGTATTTTCCTAATAAAGCAGATGACAGCCCTAAAAATATTTTGCAGCTAGCCGTAGAGTGCTTGCTTCAGCCCGTCAGTTATATGAGGATTAAGATGTACCAGCTTAACATATATCCATTTTCTGAATAGGAATACATTGTGACTGTTAAGTATTAAAATTAAGTGCATTTTCATATTTTATGTATGCAGGGCTTGTTTTCAGTTCCGGCACCTCTCAGGTGGGCACCATTGCCATTCTAAGAGAATGAGGGAGGCATTCACGGTGAGTTCCAGCACCTCTTTTTCTAGAAAAATAGCTCTGTACGAATGTATGTATAAATATGTATGTACAGTATGTAGATATAGATAAAACATAACCTCCAATCAACTCTAAGGTGTATTTCATACACACACATACATTAAAAACCATTATAATGCATAAATTACTTTTAAAATAATGAAATAAAAGTAAAATATTAACAGAAATTTGTAAGATACTGTATAACAAAAATTAACTGTCTAAAACTGTGCCCCTCAAAGGTCAGTACTGCACCCTCTGAAGTCTGTGCCCTAGCTGGCTGCCTAGCTGGCCTAATGGTAACACTGGCCCTGAGACCCACACAGAAAGGTTTGCTTTTCTTATAGTTGTCCTACATCTGCACTGACCCAAGTAGCCTTGGACACAGGCACAATTTGGACTTGATACTATTTAGCAGATATAACTAGTCGCCAGCAGATGGCCCTCTTAATGTAAGGTCCTAGGTGGATAATTTGCATAATGTAGATCCTCCCAAGCAATGGAAAGCCTGTTTTATTTAAAGTTTCTGAGAGAGAAAGGTAAGTTGCAGAAAGCAAAACAGGTGTGTGTATACTAGTAGTTCATTGGCCTTCATCTGGGTCGGAAGCCACTGCCAGGCCATGATGTAAGGTGGATCTCAAGCAGCACTACCACCATACAAATGTATGGTAAAGGGGGGAAAATCAAGAGGTGGGCCTCCAGATCAATAAATGTGTTAAAAGTGGGTCAGTAAAAGTTGAAAACCAATGTACTAATTGAAAGATAAAACCAAATAAAAGCCACATTTGCCTGTATTATTTTAAAAACCTAAGTCAGGCATGGCACCCACATAATTATAATTTCAATCTGGCCAGGTTTCCCACTTCACAATAATATGAATGCCTTACTACAGTATGCACTGTATTTTAACTATAATTCTTCTAATGGTATCATCATCCAAAATTTTATTATACCTTTGCACTATGTGTATCTTATTTAAAGATACGCTTGTGCTTGCTCACTGCTTTTAAGCTAAAATAGCTACCTTTGGGATTTCTTTCTCATTTCCACTTAACATAGGGAGACTTCCATTGCAGAACTGGCTTTTTCTTTGTTTTGATTATAGAACACTTTTGTGTTTTGAAACTGAAACTCACAATTTTGGAAAGAGGTAAATATCCTGCAAATGCAAAGTCAGGTTGTTTGGTGGCCAATTACAGTCACTGCACAGTCATTTACTATGTAACCATTGGTTTAAAAGTTAACATAAATAACTATATACTTTGTAACAATTCCTCCTTTCCAAAAATAACATCACTCATGACAATTAAATAGCCCAAAAAACACATTGACTGAAGACCTTCAAATTGCAAGACAGAAATGTAATGATAACCGTAACTGGTCAACTATTGAAATACCAAAGCCAAATAAATGCTGGAGTAGCTCATCATCAGACCAAGATTTGTGATAAAAGAAGTAACTGAATTATAAGGAAAGTGAATGATTAAGGAAAGTGTTAACTTGCAAGTTTTTTAAGAGCTATATTCTAACTGTGAAGAGTCAAAGTCTTTAAAGTCAGCGTGCTTGTGACCTTCATTCTCAGGTAAGTTTGTCATGTGGCCCCCAAATGATTATTGATGATGAAGTGTGAGACCGAAAAGGGTTCTTCACCCCAGGTTAAGACATATAGTACATATAAACTAATGCAGTAAACATTTAAAATGCAAAAAGAACAAATTCACGTATGTAACTGTGTTCTTTGGAACCCTGTTAAAAAGGATAAATTCTTCCAGTGAAATACGGTCAGTGGCCCATTCAGTGATTGCACTAATTTAATGTTCCTTGTTGACATATATTCATTTCTATTCACAGTGCTGCACTTAGTGCTATCTGCATCTAAATGCAGTCATTTTTGCCTTCCTTTTACAACAGAACTTTTTTATGAATGTCTGATTATGCAAACATTTTAAGAATTCACATAGATATTTTGCCATATCAGTATACAGCTACTACGCTTTCAGGTCGTTTTCGTCAGCTGAATAAATACTTGCGCAATGTTTCACATCTACAGTATCTGCAGTCTAATTCTCCCTTTTAATTTGAAACTCAGTCTTCACTACAAAGCAGGGGTGGGAAACATGTGGCCCCCCATCTGTTGGACTGCAACTCTCATTCACCCTGATCATTAACTATGCTGGCTGGGGCTGATGTGAGTTTGAGTCTAACAACTTCTGGATGGACAGAAGTTTCCCATTTCTGCCCTACAGTATTCACAGTTTTATAATTTGGCAGAACCGGCCCATTCATGAGGCAAAGTGGGGCTACCACCTCAGGCGGCAGGAACCACAGGGGCAGCAGATCCGGCTTCCAAGGAATGCATCACCTGCTGCCGTGGTGGTGGCAAGAGCTGTTGTGCGCTCCCTGGAGGCTGGATCTGCCATCTCAGCAGCTCCTTGCAATGGCATCTCTGCAGCACCCTCTTGGCAAATAGAAGGAGCTGCTGGTCTCCTCTCTCCCTTGTTCCTGATATAGATTTTCTTCCTGGGTGTGGAGGCACCGTTTTGTGGTTCGCTTCAGGTGCCAAAATGTCTTGGGCTGGTCCTATAACTCGATGTCCTAGCAGTGCTCCCTGTATTTAATAAGCATCTATATGCATGCACCTGCATACACATGCACAAAGAAATACACACACCTTGATATTAAATTCTGTCTCTCCCAAAGCGTAGATCATTAGCTGCAAGCCATTTCCTCAATTTCCAGATAGTGACAGATATAATAAACGTTCATATTAACAACTAACCTCATAGGAAGCTAATGGCCAGAAGTCAATTGTTTAGAAGCTTCCTGTACATGAGGAAATGGGAAAACAAAAGGAGCAATACTAAGGCACAGTTTTGTCTAGAATTCTGTGGAGCCAAATAGGAAGTTGCATGGAAGCCAATGAAGCTCTTACTTCAGAAAAGTTCTATAAAGCAGTATTGAAATGAAATGAATAAATCGCATTCGTGTATACATATGCTTTCCCTTGATCCTCTCTCCCTCTCCATTGAGGAGGATTAATTCTCCCACCCACCCAGAGGTGTGCCTAGCATCTTCTTCATTATATAGTTTTCCATCAAATGGGGAATATGCACCTCTTTATCCTGGGCTTTGCCAACTGAGATATGTAGTTTTCTAATACACGTTATTTGTGCGACTTTAGACCCCCAGCTCCCATCAGCCTCAGTCTGTATGGCCAGTGCTCAGGGATAATGGGAACTGGAGTCCGGCAACATCTGAAGGCTCACAGGTTTCCTGCCAGAGACACCAAATAATAAATCACATTTTTCCGCCTATAGGATACCCCCATGTATAAGACACTCCCTAGATTGTTTCCCCGCATGCAGCGTCATTGGGGGAATTTGTGCTTCTGCCAGCCATCCGGTGGGCAGGAGTGCAACCTCCCCTGATGCCACCACATGCGGGAAACGACCCAGGGAGTGCCCCCCCCCGCGGGCAGCGGCATTGGGGGAAGTTGCGTTCCTGCCAATGAGCTGGCTGGCAGCGTGCAGCTTCTCCCTCCCACGCAGCTGTGGGCAGGGAACACCCCCCAGATTGCTCCCCACTCGCTGCAGCATCGGGGGAAGCCATGCTCCCGCGCCCTGCTTCTCCCCACCCCCCCATGCCACTATCTATGTATTGGAAAACCCCCGTTTTTTGATGTGATTTTTGAGTAAAAAAACCTTGTCCAATACATGGAAAAATACAGTAGGTTAATTGTCATATGCCCCCATTATGTAAATATTGTCTTTAAGAGGAAATGCAAAAGAGTACCTGAGTGATGCAGTGATGAAAGCAAAAAGAGGGGACTGAGTGATACAGGGCCTACATGACAAATGCTCTAATAGCAGCCTTTTTTGAGCAATGCAGAACAATAATTATTTAGGACTAATTAACTTGATGCTATAGTAGATAAGAATTCTGTAAATAATTAAACATATGCAGATAAGCAGGTCTTATAAGGAAGAGAGTATGGTTAGAAATGTCAGGGAACTGCCATCGGACGGAAGGGAGGTGAAAGGGCTCACACAGGTTGGGAGAGACTCAGCAGCTGAAGAGGGAACCAGCAGGGAGGTGAAAGGGCTCACACAGGTTGGGAGAGACTCAGCAGCTGAAGAGGGAACCAGCAGGGGGAGAGGAGCTGAGCTGAGGGAAAGTGAGCTGGAGGGATGGCTCAGAGACACTTCCAGCGAAAACAGTGGGGAGGTTTCAGGACCTCCTGTAAGAACACCCACTCCTCGCCGGAAACTGTCACGCAGAGAGTCCAGAAGACGTGTTTCCGTTAAGGAGCTTTTATGTTGGAAGCGATTACGAAAGCAACCACTGTCGGAATCAGCTAGTGACTAGAGGAGCCATGTCTGAGGGGCTCCGTCACAGACAGAGGTTTGTGGACTTGAACAAACTCTGAGGGATACGATTTTACGCACAAGCAGCTCATCATCCCATCACAGCATTCCGACAGTCTTTGAAAGCAGCTTGTGCAGGAGAAGGCATCATGAGCAACCCAGCCGGAACCGGAGAAGCAGGAGCTGGAGCGGGTCCAAGCCTGGAAGAAAGGTACCGGGTGTTGGAGGTCCAGCTAGCGATGCAGACGGCGAGGCTTGAGGAGAGGAGGGCTCAGGATGCAGACAAAAGGGAAAGCCACCCAGCGCGTCAGAAAGGTACCAGGATTGGTGCAGAAGTTTGGGGGGGGAGCCCAAAGACTATCATGGCTTTCGGACAGAGATGCAATATGCCCTCAATCTGCAGTTTGATGAATTCCCTGATGAGGAATCACGAGTGGCTTTCGTGATTGAGCATCTTGAAAAGGGGGCGAGAGACTGGGTTAGACCCCTGATGGCAGCGAATAGTGACGTCCTAAAGGACACGATGAAGTTCTTTCGCGCCATGGATCTGATGTTTTCCAGCGATATTGAACAGGGAGTGGTGCGCAGACAGTTAATGGCTTGCAAACAGGGGAGCCGATCTGTCCGTGAGTACTGGACTGAGTTCACCATGCTGGTTCACAGATTGGGGTGGGACTTATCGGCGGAACCCATTCAAATGCTCTTTGAAGAAGGGCTTTCTTCGGCTGTGAAAGACGAACTTTCCCGGGCGCCCAGGGCGGAGTCTATGGACCAGCTGACCAAATCAGCGCTGACCATAGGAGCGCGCCAGGAGGCGAGAGCATTGGAGAGGCGGGAAGGGAAAGGGGAACGTTGGAAGGAGTTCCGCATTCCAGACATTCCAGAGCCAACTTTCCCGCCGGCAGAGCCGATGGAAATCGGAACAGCGCGCGCGCGCAGTTTCAAAGCCCAGTGAGGGGGGGAAAGAAGGAGGGAAAGGCGCCCGGAAATGCTATCTCTGCCAACAGCCAGGCCACTTTGCCAGAGTCTGCCCCCAGAGGAAGGAATGGCAAGGGATGGTAGGAGCTGTGGATGGAAGAGAGGAAGAAATACCGGAGCAAGTAAAAGCCAACGCCTGGCTGCCACTGTCGGGGCACAGCAGCCAGGCCAAAGAGCAGTGAGAGTGCCCACGCCAGAACCTCCTAAACCCGCCCTAGTGATAGAAGTGACGCTAGAGCTGCCAAACGGACACCCTCTAAAGATAAAGGCGCTGTTGGACTCAGGCAGCTCCTGCAATTTCATGAGCAAAGAGTTTGCAGCTGAACACCAGATACAGACGATCCCTTTAAGCAACCCCCTGCAGGTGACCACGATCGATGGCAGGGAGCTGTTGGGAGGAGAAGTCAGCTGGCAGACCGTCCCAATGATAATGAAGGTAGCAAGGCACACCGAACTGATAGCCTTTAATGTGGCCACCTTGGGAGGAGCTCCCATTATATTGGGGATGAGCTGGCTAGCGTTACATGATCCGCTGGTGGGCTGGCATCAGAGAGTGGTTTCTTTTGGTTCAGCACATTGCTTAGAACACTGCAAAGAGGGAAAGGGTTTGGCAGGGGCCCAAGCCACCCTAGCAGGGACTGAAGTAACGGAGAACGTGAAGGTACCACGACAATATGCAGATCTCCGTGACGTCTTCAGCGAAAGGGAAGCTGACCAACTACCCCCGCATAGACCCTTTGACTGTCAGACAGAGAGATGCAGGAGCTAAGAGAGTTCATTGACAAGAACCTGAAGAGAGGGTTCATCAGAGAGTCCAGGGCGGCGGGGGCAGCCCAGTGTTTTTGTGGATAAAAAACACGAACAAGCCGAGGCTGGTGTGTGACTTCAGGGCCTTAAATGCAGTGTCAGAACCAGTGGCCTTCCCTATGCCCAGGATTGACGACATTTTGACAAGGGTGCGGAAGGGAAAGATTTTCACAAAGCTGGACCTAAGGGGGGCGTACAACCTGGTACGAATAAGGAAGGGGATGAATGGAAAACCACTATGTTCACCCCTTTAGGGGCATTTGAATATTTGGTTATGCCCTTCGGCCTACAAGCAGGCTCCGCAACATTTCAATCGTTTATGAACCACGTCCTGGGGCCTTTGCTTTACAAGAATTGTGTGGCCTTTTAGACGACGTGTTGGTGTATTCTGAGAATGAGGAGCAGCATGTGAGAGACGTCAGAGAAGTGTTGAGCAGGCTGCAAGCCAACCAGCTGTGGGTGAAACTGGAGAAGTGTCAGTTTCATACCAAGGAGGTGGAATTCCTGGGGTATCGCCTGTCAGACAAGGGATTGGCCATGGATCCCGGCAAGGTCCAGGCGGTGCTGGAATGGAAAACACCCAAAACAAGGAAGGATGTGCAGAGGTTCCTAGGATTTGGGAACTTCTATCGTAAGTTCATCCGAAACTTTGCCCACCTGACGGCGCCCATTACGGACTGTCTCAGCAGTAAGAAGAAGTTCGTTTGGACTGAGGAGGCAGTGTCGATAGATTTTATGACTGATCTGCCGAAGTCCAAAGGGAAAACAGCCATCATGGTGGTGGTAGACCTACTAACAAAGATGTGCCACTTTGTAGCTTGCTCGCATGCAGTCACGGCGGAAGAGACAGCGAAGTTATTTGTAGAACACATTTTTAGGTTGCACGGGGTGCCATTGAGGGTGGTCTCAGACCGAGGAAAACAATTTACTTCCAGGTTCTGGAGGAAGCTCATGAGCTTACTGCAGGTGGAGGTCAATTTTTCGACTGCCCGGCACCCTGAAACCAACGGGCAGGCGGAAAGAGCAAACGGTGTCCTCCAGCAATACCTGAGGTGTTATGTCAATGACAGAGAGAATGACTGGGTAGAAAAGTTGGCGCTGGCGGAATTTGCCTACAACAATGCCGAGAATGTGTCCACTGGGATGAGCCCTTCTTGGCTAATTATGGGTGTCATCCCAGGGCTTTCCCAGGGGAGATGGGGAGAGATGGAGCGTCCCGGCAGCCGAGCATTTTGTGGAAGAAATGGAAGCAATCCATCGTCAGCTCCAACTCAACTTAGAAAGGGCGAAGGAAGAATACAAGAGGCAGGCAGACAAGAACCGAAGGGAAGGTGAAACCATAAGGGTGGGAGATAGGGTGTGGCTGTCAACCCGAGGGTTGCCGTTCAAAGGAGGTTGTAAGAAATTAAGACCCAGGAGGTTGGGTCCCTTTGAGGTCATTCAACAGGTCAACCCAGTGGCTTTCAGGCTCCGGTTACCCAACCACATGAAACTGCACCCAGTATTTCACAGGTCGTTACTGTCACCGTACGAAGGGGGACGAGAAGGGATGGCCACTCGGGGACCGGTCATAGAAGAAAGAGAATGCAGCAGCCATGTGGCAGAAATCCTCGACGCCAGGTGGAAGGGGGATCAGGTGGAGTATTTGGTAGCGTGGGAAGGAGAACCGGAGTCAGAAAACACTTGGGTAATGGCCGAAGATATCAATGACGAGGTATTGATAGAAACGTTCCATCAAAGGTTCCCAAGGAAACCTCAGCCTGTGGAGAGGTTCCGGAGGGAATACTTTGGGACCACTGATGAGGGGGAGGAGTTGGAAGGATTCCCGGACTCGGAAGGGGAGGGGAGATGGACTCTGAGGAGGAGGAGTACTTCGAGACCAGGAACCGCAACAGGTGGAGAGAAGTGTTCGAGACATCGGAAGATGAAGGAAGTTCATTCCGGGTTTTGCCTCCTCACCGCCCGTAGAGGAGGGGGCGAGAGGGGGTGAAGGGGGCCCTGGAGGGGAGGTGGATGTCAGGGAACTGCCATCGGACGGAAGGGAGGTGAAAGGGCTCACACAGGTTGGGAGAGACTCAGCAGCTGAAGAGGGAACCAGCAGGGAGGTGAAAGGGCTCACACAGGTTGGGAGAGACTCAGCAGCTGAAGAGGGAACCAGCAGGGGAGAGGAGCTGAGCTGAGGGAAAGTGAGCTGGAGGGATGGCTCAGAGACACTTCCAGCGAAAACAGTGGGGAGGTTTCAGGACCTCCTGTAAGAACACCCACTCCTCGCCGGAAACTGTCACGCAGAGAGTCCAGAAGACGTGTTTCCGTTAAGGAGCTTTTATGTTGGAAGCGATTACGAAAGCAACCACTGTCGGAATCAGCTAGTGACTAGAGGAGCCATGTCTGAGGGGCTCCGTCACAGACAGAGGTTTGTGGACTTGAACAAACTCTGAGGGGATACGATTTTACGCACAAGCAGCTCATCATCCCATCACAAGAAAGCAGGTTGAATGTAGCTGGGGAATCACAGTGGGGCAAGTATGTGGGACTTTATGGCTCTCAGAAATGCTGCCTGTCAGCACTGGAGAGACAAGATTTGTTGTTCACGAGAATTTTAGTGGATAGTGTTATTTGAAGCGTATGAGGAGCAGGGAGGCAACTCTGGCCCTTTTCATATACTAATTCAGTTTTTCCTTCACTTCCTTTGGTTAATGTTCCATGCACTGAAAAAAATTGAGTCAGACAGTCTGTGATATCTGTTGGTCTTCCTTACAAGGTCATGTATACATTTCTACTAGCCTCATCCATCTGTTATGATTTAAGTTCATTGGCACAGATGTAGTAGATTGTTACTGAGCTGCAGCTATATTGGAAAATGTAACCTGAAACACTCCCCCCTTCCCATTTGCTTGTTGAGATTCAGTGAGGTGAAAGATTTTATTTAGCTTTTTACAGTAGTTGTAGAGAGAAGGTCCTCAATCTACATTGTGGAACACTGGGTAAACAAGTAGTAGTAGTAGTATCATCATCATCAGCAGTAGTATAACTGGAGTTGGAATTTAAAAGGTATTCAAATTCTGTACTTTAGAGGCTGACATACACTTCTTTATGCTGTTTTCATCATGTATCGGATAAGAATGCTGAGACTATTTGTTACTGCCCATGATTCTCAGCATTTCTCTACATCGTAATTTGCAAAAATGATTTTTAGTGCTCGTAACAATTTGTTTTGTAAAATAAAAATAAAAGGTAGCTTTATCCTGAGACTTCTCTGTGCATTTTCCCAATGCAGCATGTGCCAGGGTCATACTGTTATTAGATCCTCAACTCATGAATGTTACTCACCAACCTCAGGATTTATTGAGACGTGTTGCATTTAAAACTGATATACACACTTGATTTTGCTTGTCTGGGGGTTCCAGGCCAAGAACGAAGGCAATGTTTCAATGTCACTCACCCACATAACAGGTTGAGCAAACCATCAGAAGTCTAGCAGGTAAGCAAGTGCAAATTGAAGACCAAGACATGCATCAGGTCTGGTAGGTCATTCTGTAGTTTTAAATTTGTGAAACAAGCAATTAGCCTGTCCAGGAAGTCAGGACAGAGTGAAGACAGACACACCATAAATGCAATGAATAAGGAATGAACATTCCCTGCCCTGGAAACAAATGCCTCAGCATGCAGCACATGGGTGTTCAAGCCACTTCCATCAGACTTTACAATAGCTATCTTCATCCTTAGAAACCAAGATCACAGATGATAAAGCAAGATGGGGGACAAATGCAACAGGGAAAGCGTTAGTCACTGCATAATTTCTGCAGTGAGGGGCATCAAAGGTAGCACTCCTGTGTAAATAACCGCTTGTGACTCCAAGTGCTCTTACAATCCCAGATGTAGAATTGCTTGAGGTTATGCAGGTTAAGATACAGGATTTTTTGGACATGCTCAAAGTTACTCTTCACATTCTCAGGGCTGAGTCATAGCACTGAAAACAGACTGTGTGGCTATTTAGATCCTTAGGAAGGCCAGAATAGTTAGATGACTAGAAAAGGAAGCCAAGGCAATCTGCTTGTAAGTAAAGTAATAATGTACAATTCCATTAAACTGTCTTCTCCACAGAGGGCGAAAATGAATACATTTAGATTACAGTCTCAGAAGGCTAGAAATAGAAATAAGATGGTTTTTTAAAAAAGCAGAAAGAGTCAGGTTAATTAATAGTGCCTATTCTGGACACTTCCTGTATTACTATTAATAGTTTCCTTCTAGAAATGTAATTGTTCACCATGTGCTCAGCATGCAGTATTAAAATTATATTATGCCTGATACATTTTGTAATTTGATTTTAAAAGCATAAAAAATAATTTACCAATTTCTTCTTCCTTAACTACTGTGATTGTTATATACTGCAAACATATGAATATGATACCAGCTATGTTTACATACAAGTTGCAAGATTAGGCTGCAATTTTAAAACACAACTCACCTGAGTGAGTGTTGATTTCACAGCTACAGTGCAATTACATGCAGGTCTACTCAGAAGTAAGTCCCACTGGGTTCAAAGAGACCTACTTCCAGGTAAATGTGCCCTTAACAGCAACAATTTATTGGTCACCTTCTAAACAACCGTCTCAAGGCAATTTACACTGAAGGTAATTAAAAGCTGTTAAAAATACATAAAGAATAGATACATTTGAAACAAGCCTAAACTGTACAAAGTAGACCCTTGCAAAATGCCTATTTATCCAGCTGGGAAATCTGGTTGAAACAAAAATGTCTTCAATTGTTTCAGGAAAGTGCATATATTGAGTGCCTATCATATCCTGAAAGGAATACCGTTCCACAAAATAGCAGCAGCCACACTAAAAACCCTGCAAAGCAGGCTTCTGAGCTCTTCAGAAAAACACTGCAGACAGTGTATAAAGCAAACTGGGCCTGAGTTGCATATATCTTATTCCTATTCATATGTTTCAGATAAAGGGATTGTTTTTAAAGATGGGAGGAAAACCAGGACAGAAAAGAAAACAGGGAATGTGAGCATAGAAGTTTACATCTTGCCCACTACGTCTTTGTTTAGTCTGCTTTTCCAAGATATAACATTTATTTTAAAATGTTAGCTCTCAGATACAGTGAGTTACGACCTGAACACCTTAAAATATATTATAACAGGACTTTGGCCAACATACCTATTTGGTTCAAATTTACTGGAAGAGGCTCTGTGTGAATCTGTTGTGCTAAATTCATGCTGATAGTGCTAGCTTCTGGAATTTGTCACTAACATGACACCTTAGTTGGATGTTACATTGGGCCTCAAATTCTGCACTGTAGTCTAAACAGTGCAATCCTATACAACAAAAGTCCCATTGAGTTTATCAATTCTTCCAGATGTACGGTATATAGATGTGTTTAGGATTTGTAGTCTAAATCATCTGGCAGTCAATAGACTGAAAACAGGGCTGTTGCAGACCAGGTCTCAGAAGAGCTTGTTAGAAATGAGGACTGTGGATTATTAATTTTTGTACCCTATTATTACTTACCCAAACAAGACGCATTTTTCTGGTGACAGCATAATTTTGTTTCACTTTCCTAAGAAAAAAAAGGTTAGCCTTTTAAGTTTTAACGTGGGCCACATGGGTCAAAGTATTTGTTATTTAGAAGATCCCAGAGTGGGGACAGCACACTCATATATACATAGCAAAATATGACAAAATACTTGATAAGCACAACGTTAATGAGTCACTGCAGTGTTGCATTAAATAGCTGTTTTTGGTTTTACTGTTGGCAGCATTACAGTACTGAAATCATATGTGCTTCATACTAGCAAATAACGAAGGCAGCCCTGTCCCTAACTCCATATATTTTAGCAATTTAATTTTTCAGAGCTTTATCCCCATGTGAAATACTGTCTGCTTTAATGGAATTATTCAGTGTGTGCTGTTAATACCAAGTCAAATCAAAGCAGGACTGAAACCCAGCAATAAAGACAGGATATGACAAAGCAGAGGGAATGAGATAAGCAACGTTTCAAAGCAATTTATTAATGAAAACTGACATTTTAAATGTGAGATATTTCAATGTGAATATAAAATAGTAATTAACAATTAATGAAAAAAAGTTTAAATTTGTTACCAGATCAAATATATAAACTAAGTAACACTGCAGAGACCTAGCTTTTATTATATGGACTTCATATAAGAATAACATTATGGAATAAACATCTGTTGTTTTCTGCAGATTGTAACCTTCTGTTTTACAATCAGAAGCACCTCTAGCTACCTTATACAAGCAGAACAAATCATACAAGTCACATATAGGAATACCAGTTTTGCAGTTGTTTGTCCAGATAATGTAAGATCGGGCAATAACCCTCTCTCCTGCGGTGACAAATTTCAGATACTCCTCAAAATTCAACACAAGGCACTTCTGCTGTTCTGTGAAGCTACTTGCCATCCTTTTAAACTGTAGGGCCATTCTAAACTTCCAGGGATGTCCTGAGCCTTGTACGTGGCAGCCATGGTGGGTGTGCAGGACTTTTGTTGGGGGGGCAGAACTGACATGATTGGTCAGTTACTTAAGTATTTCTGTTGTTTTACCTATTTATCTACTTGCACTGGCATGCTTTCCATCTGCGAGGTTGGCAGAAGGATCTCCCCTTGGCTATGCCCATGCTGGCAGCTACTGAATTTCTGTAGTTTCAGTGGAGTGGGCTCTCTGACATTTCAGTTAATGCCAGTGATGCTGTCAGCCAGGGCAGAACTTTGGGACACATGTACAGGACCCCAACATAGCAGAATGAGCAGGGCAGGCCTGGACAGAGCTTGTCTGATGCTGAGGGTGGGAGTCCTGTTGGAATCAAGTGATAAACTCAAAAAAGCATCCAGTCCTTGGCAAGGCCCCCAGCTGGCTTAGCCCTTCAAGGTCCAGTGCAAGTGTACTCGCCTGTCTCCCCTTCTGCACAGCTGGAAGCAAGGGGTTCCCAAATGGCTGGCTTACCACACTGTAAAGTGTTACCAGAGAAGGACCCATAAAGAACATTAAGGCCAAATTCCCTAACTGTACCACTGATTTATGGACAGTAAATGTGATAATTCCTTTGCATTGATTTTGGGGACAGAACCACCCCTACCATTTTCCTTTTTCTCCCTTATCGTGATGAAGAAGAGCATGTATTTGTTTGTCATATTTATGGTGGAAGATAAAGGCTGTTTCCCCCCCTTCAAATCACATAATTCTAAAATAAAATGACCCCAATCAGGTCTGGGTCTGATCAGTGCCTGCACCAGAAATTGCCTGGGAACCCAATGTACACCTCCTTGAGCTTCATAATGGAAAAAAGGTGGAATATAAATATATAACCCTAATAATGATATGTAACTTCTCTGCAGCTTTCTGGAGACAGCAAGGATGTGAAGACAGTTAATACCACGGTGGAATGAAGAGAGCCCTTTCACTTTCTGTTCTACAGTATCAGACTTCAGTCACTGAAGAGAGGCTGCAAAGGCGTAATGGTAACCAAACACTTGACGTGGTCCTCAGCGATGGTAGGCTAAGCTTGAAAAGCATGAAAAGTCTGGCGAGGAAAGGGAGCTAGGCCGGGTTGGACTAGATGACCCTAGTGGTCCCTTCCAACTCTACGATTCCATGTAAGGAAGAGGCGGTGGGTGGTTTGGGAAAAGTCAGGAATAACAAGTAGAAGTTTATCATGTGGGGTCAACATCAAAGCTACGGAGAAAGGGGAAGTGGCAGAGGGAACTGGGAAGGGTATTTTGAAGTGTGCGTCGTGGTAATTCCCCCCTCTGTATTATGATTATACAGCACTCGCCCTTATGACACAAAACCAAAGCCGCTTCCGAAAAGAGGCGCAGCTTAGAAAGTGGCGAAAAACCATCCAACGAAACTTCAGTATTCCTGCTTATTTTAAAGTTTCCAGCCTTAAAACCCCCAAACCTGAGATAGCGTGCAACTAGTAAAAATAACACAAGACTCGCCAGGCACCAACCATTTCAGTTTTAATGACGGGCGACGGGGGGAAGATGATGGGATCCCCTCAATCCTCCTTCCACGCCTCCGCAGATTTTTTTTGAACGCGGGTTCCCACAACCCCACAAACCTGGATCTCTTCCTCCCTCCGTCTTCCTCGTGGGCGGAGCAGGAGCCCGAAAGCCCGGCCAGGAATTGAAGAGGGAGGCTCCCAGCTTTGGGAAGTGGAATCACGGCTCTGCCCCCGCCCTTTGCCCCATCTCTTTCCCTGGAGCTGGGCGGAGGCGCGCCCTCCCTTCCCCTCGATGACTCGTCCCCTCCGCGAGGCGGGATGAGCCTGGATCCCAGCCCCTCCCCCCGCCCGCGAGAGATTTGGGGGCGAGCGGGACCACCCCTCCTCAGCCTCTCCTCCTCCCGTTTGCCTTGGCCGGGCCATATATACGCGACGAGAGGCGCACTCTCCTTTTTTTCCCTTGGAAAGGGTGGCCTTCGCCGGCGGGCGGGGACGCGCAACGCCGTGTGGCTGCGCGGCGCTCCTGAGCATTACGGCGCCCATTCCTGGCTCCTTTGACTTGTTCTCCAGCGGCGGCGGCGGCGGCGGCGAGGGAAGCTGGAAGCGCTTTTGCTTTTGTCGATCCTGAGCAGCCATGGCCGAGCGCCGCGCCTTCGCGCAGAAGATCAGCAGGTAAGGCGGGCGGCGCGACCAAGCTGTGGGCCCCGCGGGCTTCGCTGCCGGAGGAGCTGCAACTTGGGTTCTGCCGGCGAAGCGCCAGGGGCCTAAGATGCCGCCTGGCTCCGCGCGCCTCTCCCCGAGGCAGCCTGCGGGTGGCCGGGTTGCGCTTGGGGCGGGGAAGGGCTCGCCCGGCGGGTGCTGCTGCTGCGCGCTCCGGGCTGGCCCTGGTCCTGCCAGGAGTCACACCCTCTCGGTCCTCGGGTGCCCCGCGTTGCCCGGGGGCGGGGAGCATTGTGCGCTCGCGTGTTATCGCAAAGGGCGTTGCGCTCCCTGCGTGACCCCGATCTGCAGGCACCTTCTGTCTGCCGAGCACCCTGCGCTCCGGCGAGTGGGCGGGGCGGCTGGTGGGGTTTCTCCTCGATCTGGCAGAAAAAGCGAGCGAGGGTCGTCCCAGGGCTTAGCCATACTCTGGGTTCTGCGTCGGAGGGAGGTGGCTGCATTGTGTGATTGCGCCGTGCTTTGTGAGCTGCTTGCAAGTGCACGGGAGCAAACCCCAAGCATGCCGTTCGTTTATGCGCTGGCTTAAAAGCTGCCGTGCATGCGTTGTCCTTTCCCCCCTCTTTATCTTTGCATTCGGTGAATCGTGTGCAGGCCCCTTTTGTCATGCATTGTTCTCCGGATTCGTGTAGCAGGCTGGTGTATTTTACTCCCACTCGTCCTTATGCCTGTGAATTGTGTTTCTCAGAGTGTGGTTCTAAGCTGCCTACTGTGCTGTGATCTGGTGAGGTGCGCCATGGCTTTGCCTTCAAGGTTGTGATGTATGTGCCTGAGGGGGCTGGTGATGCGTGCATTATACGCAAAGGGGAATCTGGGATGGGTTCTTGGTCATGTGCAGAACACACAATGATGTTTTCTTGTCTGCTATACAGCATGGCAAGTATCTCTCATTCCACGGAATAAGGTGGAGAGCAGAACTCAGGTCTGATGTTCAGGGGATGCAAAACCCTCTGAAATACTTTGCTGTCTTGCAACTGTCAACCTGCCCCGGAATTGTAGTGTCCCTTAAGTTCTTTCTTCACAGCAACTGGAAGGACTATAAATGTGTCAAGGTCTTGATTTCCTGCTAGCTTCCCTGCAAGATGGTTAAGTATTTGTATATTCTTCACTTTCTCTTTTATGAGGAAATACTTTCTATATATCTGAGGTGTATGTTGGTACCATCTTAGTTATACTTAGTGAAGTCCAGTTTGCAAGTTAGATTATTAGTCCAAGGAAAGTGTTGCAATGAGCAGTATATTGGGGTGGGGATTTACATTGGTACCTCGGGTTACATACGCTTCAGGTTACATACGCTTCAAGTTACACACTCCGCTAACCTAGAAATAGTGCTTCAGGTTAAGAACTTTGCTTCAGGATAAGAACAGAAATCAGGCTCTGGCGGTGCGGCGGCAGCAGGAGGCCCCATTAGCTAAAGTGGTGCTTCAGGTTAAGAACAGTTTCAGGTTAAGTATGGACCTCCGGAACAAATTAAGTACTTAACCCGAGGTACCACTGTATATGGAGTAGAGGAGCCACTGCCATATTCTGTATGCTGAAGTTCACTACTCCACCTATACACAGTGCTGCCTCAGTAACTTTAGAGCTGTTCCATCTGTGCTTCTTTGAACTACTGGCACACATTTACAGTGCATTCCTTTGCATGGTTACTCAGAGGTGAATCCCTCTCTCTCTACTAAGTGTGTTTTAGACCACATTTAAAAGCGGCATCATACCACTTTAACAGTCCTGGCTTCTCCTGGGAATTGTACTTTAAACAATTCTCAGAACCCTTAGCAGAGACCCTTCTTCCTTTTACAGAGGTACAATTCTCAGAGTTCCCTGTGTTAAATGAATAGAGCGCATGTGGCCTAGATGACAGCTGTAAATTGAGTAATGGGGAGATTTTAAGGATAATAGTCCTCCCTACATGCATGTATGTTTGGGTAGGTGATGCTAATCTACATTACTGGCTTTCAGTTCATGACCAAGGAAGTAGTAATAATTCCAGATTAAAGGGTTATGATATTGTTCACTGCTCCCTTAGCTTTCCCCACCCTGCTAGATATTATTCAGGCACCCCCAAACTCGGCCCTCCAGCTGTTTTGGGACTACAACTCCCACCATCCCTAGCTAACAGGGCCAGTGGTCAGGGATGATGGGAATTGTAGTCACAGAACAGCTGGAGGGCCGAGTATGGAGATGCCTGTTATATGCAGGACCAGTAACAAAATGTTGCAGAGTAAATTCTACTTGTTCCAGTTCACCATGCCCTCTTCCAAAACATCTATTCCACCCCTTCCTCAGATATTCTGTGGCTACTGAGCTTGCTCATTTCTCTTTGGGCTGCTTTGGGGGGGGGGGAATGTTGTCCCAATTTCCCCCTAGACTTACTTTCTTTTACCAAATATTTTTGTATTCCTGCAGACTGTTAGGTTCCCCCGAGCATATTTTTTTTATGTATCTCTTGTTTCTCATGGTCTTTGTTTGGGCTACAACACTCCCCAGCTGAGTTCCCTATTAGAGAGACAGATAGTGATAAAGGATTGGGGGCAGGATGCAATTAAGAAAACCTTCCTTCCTGGTGCATTTTGCCATGGGAGCTGATTGTGCCATGGGAGCAGCTCTACAGTTAGGGCAAGTGAGTTCCATTTGAAATCAAAGAGATTTCCACTTAGGCTCCCAAGCAACTTATTATTATTAGTCTCTCTTCCTCACCTTCCCCAACAACTAGAAATAACTGAGTCTGAGAATCTGGGGATCACAGGTTGCAATTCTAAGCATGCATACCAAAGAGAAAGTCCCATTGAAATCAATTAATATGTTTGCAGTGATGCAGCTTTATTTCACCCCTCACCAGGGGAACGAAAAGAATCTGTTTTGCTTATTAGAACACTGAGTGATTGATCAAGTGCTCTTGCTAAAGCTCTTGACTACTTCTCTTAAGTGGTGGCTGCATCAGATTGACATTGGCCAGTTCAATTGTAGCTATTCAGAAAGTAGGAGCCAGAAGAATGTTACTTTCACCCCTTGTGAATGGCAAGCTCTGGCAGCAGTGACTGAATCTATTCATGGCAGAGGACCACTCCAAAGGAAAAATGGGGGGGGGGAGAAGAAGAGTGTCAACCTTTCTTGTCCTTAACTTTGTTTATAGGGAAAGGGAAAGTGCTGGAAGAGACCAGAAGTGATGAACTGTCTGTATTTGATCCCTGTGTATTCCTTATTTTCTTTGCAACAGCAGCAATAAGAGAAATATATTCAGGTATATCCATAAAAAGTGGTGATGCATCAGCAGGGAGAAGGCTCTACAACCAATTTTGGAATTTATTTTCATGCATTTTATTTTTTTATTTATGAATTGCTTCCCATGAAAACGTGGGAAGTGTTTAATAATTAAAATACATCAATACGTAGTAAAGACATATACCGTATAAAGCATTTTCAAATCCAATTCAGATGCAGTCTGGGATAAGAACTTCTTTATAGAAGGCTTGCTGAAAAAGAAAGGTTTTCAGTAGGCCCTAATAGGAGGGTGCTGCGCTAAAAGCCTGATTCCTACAACATACGGATTTCTGTCCCAACACTGAATCCCCTTCTTAAATATGATGCCGTAAAACATCTTTGAGACTCCTGGTGAAAACTGTTTATTCAAGTTTTTTTGTTTTTGTTTTAAAAACAATCATTTAGAAGCCATGAAAAGTTTTCATTGTTCTTGAAATATTGATATCTCAGAAGTTGAAATTTTAAGTCTTAGGCCCCATGCAAGCCATTTATAGCCTCTGGTTTTCTTCATGCTGTGAACAGCTGCTCATGTTGTACAATTAAACCATTCCACAAAATACTTAGATATTCTCGGTAGTAAAATTAGATTCTTACCAGAAGCTAGTTTTAATGGGTTTGAACAACAGTTCAAAATGCAAAGCCTTTCTGTCACATTGTCTTTCTTGGTTCTTATGGAAAGTAGCAAAATTCACAATGATTTTTAGCGGTGGTAAGGTTTCACAGCAGTCTGCAACTGGCTATATGTTGGCTCGGTGCAAAGCCTGAATTGCTTTTCTTTTTGGCCGCTTGCTCAGCTGATGTTACCAAAAAGAGTGCTTTATTACATTTCTTTTTTACTTCTTAAGAGCTACTTTTCACATAACTTTTTAAAAACTTGGTCATACTTTTGAAAGCCACATCTGTGCCTGCGGATATATGGAAAATGTAATTTGGAAAACACTAGGTCAGAAATCCAAAGGTCTTACGGGTGTATTTGGCTCAGTTGCTCAGAGGTTATAGACTCCACTGTTGGCTCTTTGGGGCGACTTTGAGCAAAACTGAGGAATGGTAGAAGGTATTTTGGCAAAAATATTGCTGGTGCAGATTGGGCCAACATTGCCAGAGCTTTTCACAAGAAACAGCTTATAGCTGGGTGCTATAGAATAGGAATGATGAGGAGTGTAGTCTGTAACATGTGGAGGGCACTGTTGGCTGTCCCTGAAAAACAATATACAGTGGTACTTTGGTTCCCAAACTTAATCCGTTCCAGAATCCATTCCAAAACTGAAGTGTTCCAAAACCAAGCTGCGCTTTCCCATAGAAAGTAATGCAAAATGGATTAATCCGTTCCAGACTTTTAAAAACAACCCCTAAAACAGCAATTTAACATGAATTTTATTATCTAATGAGACCACTGATCCATAAAATGAAAACAATAATGTACTACAGTCACACAATCAATCAGTAGCTGAACTGGGTTCCACACAGTCACAAAACAAAACAACCCACAATGAACCCCCCCCCTCAAAAGCACAAAATAAATAGCAAAAACAAACAGACCTCAGTGTAACATTCAACACTGAGCACATTCGGCTTCTGAAAAATGTTCACGAACAGGAACACTTACTTCTGGGTTTGCAGTGTTTGGGTTTCAAGTTGTTTGAGTACCAGGGCGTTTAAGAACCAAGGTACCACTGTAATCATAATTCTAAACATAGTGCACATACTTGAATTATGCATATAAGGACAATAGGGCTGTCTTTTTTAAACACCTTTCATTTTTTAAAACACTGAAAGTCTGCAGTTGCAGACTTCCAAAAGCAGTTTCCAAAATTTACATTTGGTCTTTTTTGGTCTGGACTTTTCATATACTGTCAATGAACCTTTGTTTCAGAAAAAAACCCTCTCTGTATATAATGATCTCATTGAATCACAAATGTGGTAGAATATTTGGTTAATTATTTTTCTCCTTTGTGACAGTCTTTGAAAACTAATTCCATATCCTTTAGTAACATAAACAGTTCCATCCTTTGATAATATTAGAAGCTACGTTTTCTCTTGGAGGAGGCGGTTGCATCCTGGTAACAATTTGTAGACAAATTCCAGAGGCTTTATTTTTTTTCCTGCTGCCAGTGAATTCCTAGAAATGAATATATGCCTCCCACAAGAAAAGGTTACACATGTTCCATTAATAGACTCAAAGTGCTTTTAAGGCAAATCATCTCTTCTTATGGCTGTAAAGTTAACTCATTCAGGGGTTGCCCACCTTTTTGGGCCAGTGGGCACATTTTGAAATTTGAGAGAGTGCTAAGGGCACCAGTCACAAAATAGCTGCTGCTGGGATGGGGGGTGGTTGTGGCCCAACCATGAAATGGCTGCTGTGAGGGGCATGACATAACGCAAAATGAGAGAAAAAGCCACTTACTTTGCTGACTTCCTTGAACTGCAAAAATGAGAGGAGGTCTCAACCAAATGCATAGCTAGTGAGCTCTCTTTTCGTTGGTGGGTCTGAAGCCTAGTTTAGTATATGAGCAGGAATGGGGAACCAACAGCCCTCCAGATGTTGTTGGACCACAACTTCCATTATCTCTGACTATTGATGATGCTGACTGGGGCTGTTGGGCATTATACTTCAACACCTGGAGGCTGCAGTTTCTCCATCTTACCTAAAGGAATAATACAGAAGAATATGCCACCATCTTTCTTCACTGCTGAAATACATGGAATTTCAGTTTACACAGTTTACAGCCAGGCTTTATTAAAGAAAAGGAGGTCGTCCTGTGAACAAGATCTAACATATGATAGGAAGAGTTGGATGAACCAAAATCTACTCCTTATAGTTACTAGATACGATGCTGTTGCAGACAGCTCTATTCAGGGGGCTAAGGAAACATCTGCCCTCCCTATGAGGACACAGCAATAAAGAACACAAGAAGATCCCTTGTGTCCCATCTTAGTCATCATCCTGTTTTCCCACAGATCATATGTCTCCAGGAAGCTCGCATATAGGGTGTGAAGACAACAGTCTTCCCTGCTCTTGTGTCTGTACCCCATCTTTGAAACTTGGAAGTTCTCCTTGGTTACTGTGGGGAAATAGCCACTGATAGGTCCATAATAATAACAACGCTGAACTCCTGTATAGCTCTTTCAAGTGTTCAGAGTGCTTCTCAAACATGCAGTCATTATCCACACAACAACCAGTGATGGGGTTCCAGTGATGGCCCTCCAGATGTTGAACTCAGACTCCAGTCAGCCACCATCTGCATAGTCAGGGATTTGTCAAATCCTATTTTAAACCCATCTGAGTTTAAGAGCTTTAGGGACATCCTGTAACAATGAATTTTACACATTTAAATATGCTTTTAATGAAATATTGCTCCTGTTTGTCAGTCCTGCATCTCCTGCCAATTTCAATGGATAACCATGAGTTCTTGTGTTATGAACATACTTCTTACTCTTAACAGTTTATCTCCTGTACTCACTCATGTCTATTCTCTTTCTGGCAAACAATTACCTCCATTGCTGGCCTAGCATTTCTTTTACATTGCTGGATTCTTTGATGATCCCCGTGATGAAGGTGTTGTCAATTTCATGCTTTAAAGGCTTTTAAAGCCTCCTCTCAAACATCTGATGGACTCTGAAGAGGCTATCAAACTCTGGCAGTCTGTATGCTGATTATTAAGATTTAAAGCAGCAATGGTTTGGAGAGGCAGTGCAAGAATTTATGGACCCGTGTCACTCGGTGACTAATCCTTCGTAGGTCTTATGCCTAGTCTTGTTTCTGCATAGGGCTTTGCATAGTCAGACATTTTCTGAGTGAGGGCTTTGGGTCAAACTATAGAAGAAGGGCTTGTGATCTGTATAAGTTATTTACAAGTTTGCAGTGCATATATTTATTTCATGAACAAGAGTGTAATCCTTGCCTTCTTGTTATTAATGAAAGGTAATACTTTAGCATTCAGAAGTAAATTACTTTCTGAATCATGAGGTAAAGTGAAAATGTGTAAAGAACAATCCACCGCACCTCCGCCACGTCAGTTTGGGAGGAGGTTTGGATTAGGCAGAGGTGTCCCTCATCCCAGCTCTCTTAGCTGGCCTTCTGTTGTCCACTAAATGTGAGTGAAGGAGCCAATGGAAAGCCCTGAAAATGGGACATTTTGAGAGACTGGGTAGAGTTAAGCCAGTCTTGCTACCATTGTAATAGCACTGGGGATCAGGGCTTATCCTGCCTTCCAGCCACCATGAACAGATGTGACAGTGGTTCCAACTCTTTCCAAAGTCCTGCCATCAGGAAAAGGGAGTTAGGATTTCTCTTACCATATTGCTTGCTACTCCTTGGAAGCTTCAGAAGTGGGAAGGTCTATTGGACAAAAATGGGCTGGGCTCTCCAGTTGCTACACTGATTGTTTTAAAACAAATAGAAACTAAAACAAAGAAAAACTGGCTGCACTCTCATTTAATATGAAGCAAGATCCTGATAAATTTAAATAAATACAGCAGAACATTTCTTCTCTCTGTTCCCCATCTGTTTTCCCTCTCTAATTTCTTCCATATTATCTTCTTGGTATAAACTGAGCTGTTGGGGGTTGATACAGGTTCATGTAGTTCAGCTGACAATCTAAAACTTTTAAAGAATAATTAACAAAATAAATAAATAATGAAATTTGACTTGCATACCTACAGACCTACATTGGCTCCCAGTACGTTTTCGAGCACAATTCAAAGTGTTGGTGTTGACCTTTAAAGCCCTAAACGGCCTTGGCCCAGTATACCTGAAGGAGCGTCTCCACCCCCATTGTTCTGCCCGGACACTGAGGTCCAGTGCCGAGGGCCTTCTGGTGGTTCCCTCACTGCGAGAAGCAAAGCTACAGGGAACTAGGCAGAGGGCCTTCTCAGTGGTGGCACCCACCCTGTGGAATGTCCTCCCATCAGATGTGAAAGAAATAAACAACTACCTGACATTTAGAAGACATCTGAAGGCAGTCCTGTTCTGGGAAGTTTTTAATGTGTGACATTTTAATGTATTTTTAATCTTTGTTGGAAGCCGCCCAGAGTGGCTGGGGAAACCCAGCCAGATGGGCGGGGTACAAATTATTATTATTATTATTATTATTATTACATACATACAATATAATACATGCATAGGCCACATGGCAATGTATTATGGGTGGAGCCCTGATGCTCTGTAAATATATATATATTTTTATGCTGTCACTAAAAGCAGTGTCCTATCATATTTGAGTAAAATTACCTTTTCATTCTAGAACTGTGGCAGCTGAAGTCCGGAAGCAGATTTCAGGACAATATGGTGGCTCACCGCAGCTTCTCAAGAACCTTAATATTGGAGGCAGCATTTCCCATCATACAACTGTAAGTTATTTTTTATATTCATAAGAAAGCTGAACTGGTGCAGAACATAAACCGCTTTAAACTGGCTTTCCTATATGTAAGAGCAAGCATACTTGCTGGTTTCTAGATTGCACTCTTAGCTATGGATGCTGAATGTGTGGATACCCAAATCTGTCTTCAAGTGTGAAGCGCATGTCTAAGAAAACCCGAGGGCATACCCTTTTGCAGTACTTGGAATTGGCAAGGAGGTTTGGCCCTTTTCGGAGTGCCTTAAAGGAGCATATCTGTACCCGGTTTCTAGAGCCAGTGTGGTGTAGTGGTTAAGAGCGGTAGTCTCGTAATCTGGGGAACCGGGTTCGCATCTCCGCTCCTCCACATGCAGCTGCTGGGTGACCTTGGGCTAGTCACACTTCTTTGAAGTCTCTCAGCCCCACTCACCTCACAGAGTGTTTGTTGTGGGGGAGGAAGGGAAAGGAGAATGTTAGCCGCTTTGAGACTCCTTAAAGGGAGTGAAAGGCGGGATATCAAATCCAAACTCTTCTTCTTCTTCTAAATTTGGTCTTCAAAGGTGGTGGGCATGTCTAGGAAACGAATGTGCTTGGATGTATTATTAATTACACAAAGGAGACTGGGATGTGTGAGTTCTTGTGCCAGATTTTGTGTATGTAGCGTCCCTGGGAACAGCAGCATAACTAGGGTGAGCAATATGGATTTTTGCCCAGATGCAGCTACTTGCAGTAGGGTGTGGGATTTGCTCGGCTGCAGACTTGGATGCCATCCAGAATTCAAAACTGGCCAGGTAAAGCTCTCTTTTAAGAGATACATATAAAGGGTTGTATTCAAGAGTTCCTTCTTCATATTCAAGACAGCTGGAATAGCTCAGTTGGTAGAGCACGAGTCTTTAATCTCCGGGTCATTGGTTTGAGGCCCAGTCTGGGCAAAATATTTCTGCATTGGACTTGACCCTCGTGGTCCCTTCCAACTCTGCAAAGTCTAAGATTCTAAGGCATCTCCCCTGTATTCTGGCATTTCTCCTCCTGCTGCTGCTGCAGCCAAAATTCTGCTGCAGCAGAATTTTGGAGAGCTGCAGGGACTGCAGTGGGAAGATGTAGCAGGTAAAATCCTGTTGGACTTCCTGTCTCTTAATTCTGGATGCTTCCCTTCCATAGTTAAGTGTTTTTGCTATATTTTTGTGGATACAAACTTAGGGATGTATCCAGCATCACATGAGCGGAGTTCTGCTTGCACAATGAGACTTCCCTTTCATAACCTTTCCCAGTGTGCACCGAAATCTGTTCTAGAGGGTTTCCTGGCCCTCTATAGCAAATCTTGAGGATGCCCTGGGAGCTGCAGAGGAAAGAAGGGGAAAGCTGCTTTGCACAATTGGAAGTATGTGAGTGACAACACTGAATCCCTTATCAATCCCCATGCATGACATCAGTCTCCACTAAAGCCCTGAAAGGTTCCTGATTATTTAAGCTATTGGAAACAACTTTTGATTGTGTAATTATCTCTACACAAATTTCACAATAGCTACATATTCTTGGATATTATTAATCTAAAAATATTAAAAACAAGCAGCTGATTCTTCAAGATGTTCTGAACTAACTTTAGATTAAACAGGATTGGCTGTGAGGAAGAGTTGGAGATGTATTTTAAAAATTAAAAATAGCTGCATATTCAAGAGAGTGTTGCTAGTTTCCAGAATGGCAGCACTGTTGGTGTGCTGCCTCACTTCCTCAGAAAATTAACAGATGGGGATAGCTAATGTACCCCTGACATTTCTTGTTGAGATATTCAGCAATAAATATTAAGGTAGAGCCAAGGAGGATTTAAGAGAATGGAAAACAGTGTTGTTAAACTCATCCCAAGCTGTTATAGGTTGTAGTTCACGTCTTGAATACTCCCACTTACAAGTATTCCAAATGAACGTGGTGGCAGCAATGCAGCATAATGGTTATGCATTGCAGCCCGTTGCCTCCCCACGCTGAGTACCTTTAATTATTGGCAATTGTGTTGTGTATTCACGCTCAGTTCGTGCAATCTATGACAGGGCAGTAACTCTAATGAATTATCTGACTATGCAGTGATACGCTAGACTGCAAATCACCTGACAGGTAATGTAAAAGTCATGTTGAAATTAAATAAAAGGTAGTGCATTTGTTAAATCTTGTTTCATTTAAATATGAAAAGGTCAACGACTCTTACTCTTTCCTTTCATTTCTGAGACATTTCTTTGAACGTTTGCCATTGCCCAATGGGGCACTAGAATTAGAGCAAGATTTATCAAGAGGGCTGGTGAGAATTCATTCTGCCATCTTGTGGCACCATCTAGAAAAAGTATCCACTCTCTCCTTTCCATACACCTCCGCGAGCCTATATAGATAGAGAAAAGATCAGCTGACTGGATGAGAGAGACTTTGAGACCCAGTTAAGTCTGCAAGACAGATAGCAATCACATCCCTAGGCATTTCTGCATCAAGCATAACCTGTGGGGATGCAAGCCTTGCTGATTGGTCATTAATTAATTAAAAACAAAGGCCCTTATCAGGACTAGATCTTTCAGCACTGATGTAAAATATTTTTTGCACTCAGCTTAGACACATCTGTATAAGATAGTTCCAATTTAAATGCCTCACTAAATGCAAATAGGCTTCTTATGAACACACTCTTGGTGGCCATCTCTGTAAAATTGTCATTCAGAATACTGCTGAAAGATAGGATGCAGCCAATCTGCATATTTAATCTTTGCTGGTTAGTTATATATTCAATGTGTGTGTGTGCATTGCATAAAAGCAGGTCGGTTAATTTCACCTTTAGGCAAGCATCCTCATTCCTGAGCTACTAGAGAAAAATAGGAGGCATATTTTCTTTTCTTCTTTGTACTAAGTTTCCTTCCAGCACCTAGAACAGGTTTTTTCCTCTGCAGCTGTCTCCCTCTGTGCCTTGCTTGACATTTTATTTTCAGAAGAAAAAAAAAGCCTCAGAATTTTGGAATTGTGACAGCCTTTTCTCATCAGCTGAGTTCTTCAACCATTTTAAATTGCCAAGAAACTAGCGCTGTTAAACCTAAAGGCACGAAATTATGAGTTGGCTGCTCAGAATAAAAATTAAAGTGCTTTGATAACACAGTCTTCTAGACCTCATTCCATACTTCCATGGCTTGTTTGGTTGGCAAACTCCTGCTAAAAGTGCAGTCCAGAGACAATGATGACTGGTTACATTTTTCTTCCATGCTGCCTTCCAAAGGGCTCAATCATGTGAGATAGTGACTGACTCAGAGTCAACTAGTGTGTGTCATGGATATGCAGGAATGCAACCCTGAGCTTCCTCTCCCCTGAAGTTCAACACTGTATGTTGACCTTCCCAACCTGTACTTTAATTCAGCTGAACCCCATCCATCATGGCAAGCGGCCAGGGGAGATGGGAATTGCTGTTTTTTAACAATGTGGAGGGCACCAGGTTGGAGAAGCCTGATCTGTCACATGCCTAGGTCCATTGCTGTCATCCTTCCAGAAATACTTATGGAGACCTGGAGGAGGAGTTTCAACAGTGCCCAAGTGAAAAGTTACTAGCATTATTGCCTTGTGATTAATAGTGGCTGTGCGGTTGTTAGTTTTGTGATGGTCTTTGGCTCATTTATGTGTTTTGTTTTTTCTTACATTGTGTTGCTTGGGTTGTTTAAGATTATAATGCTGAATTTACTGAACAGGGGGTGACCATTTTGTGCGTGGGTTCTGTTCCTGCCCCCAGGCATGTTGGTGGAGCATGTCTAAGCACCCCCGTTAACCTCTCTTTCATGTCCAAAAGGACCTGTGTGTTAGCAGTCGCACATCAATTGGACATGCCTAAAATGATCACTGCCTGTATTTTGATCTGTATTTTGCCTAAGGTAATTTTTTTATGAAGCAATTACTAAATAATGGTAAAAATTATTCTTGTCCTGTTTCTCAGCCCTACTGTTTTATTGCAGGCAAGGCCAGAGTCTCAGTAGAAAAACTCAGATGCCCTTATTTCTCTGGGGAAAATGGAATTTAGCACATGAGAATCTATGCCTTTAAGAAAAACAAATCCAGTTAAAAAGCAAGAATTCTAGAGGAATTCTGGCAGGGAAAATGGATGTTCAACAACTTAAATTTACCATATTCCCTGCTGTCATTTTGTTTTCTTAGAAAAAGCCTGCAGTAAAAGGTGTTCTTAGCATCATTTACCAAAACATCAGGAAATCCCACCACACCCAGGAACATTCTCCTGTATATTAAAAGCAGTTATTAACAGTTTTTCCTGTGTGTTCATCTGAGAGCCAGTGTGGTGTAGTGGTTAGGAGTGGTAGACTCGTAATCTGGGGAACCAGGTTTGCGTCTCCGCTTCTCCACATGCAGCTGCTGGGTGACCTTGGGCCAGTCACACTTCTCTGAAGTCTCTCAGCCCCACTCACCTCACAGAGTGTTTCTTGTGGGGGAGGAAGGGAAAGGAGAATGTTAGCCGCTTTGAGACTCCTTAGGGTAGTGATAAAGCGGGATATCAAATCCAAACTCTTTTTCTTCTTCCCACAGCCCCGCTGTGGTGTGGTTCTTATAAGTTACCAATTTCCTTTCTTCACAGTAACTCCTATGAGTTTACCAGGGAGAGCTTCAAAGGCTACACCTTTTCCCACTTGGAAGCAGCTGAATATCTTACATTTATCAATGTTATGCAGATAATATAGACACAATATAGATAATATAGACACAAGTGTCTTTCAAGCCTTGGCTACATGGCCACTTAAGTAAACACCTGAAATTTGATTTGCCTTCCTGTAAATGTATGAGTAGCCAGCAGCTGTAGGGTTAAATTTACTGTCTGTCTTCGCTGCTTAAGAACTTTATCTGTCTTTGAATATAGTAGAGCAGACTTTGATCTTCTTCATCTAATGCATTAGATTTCCCCCCTCCCTCCCTTGCTTGGTAGTACAAATGCTGTCTTGCTGATTGAACCAAGTAGGTCAAGCACCCATTGTTGTTATTTCTCTTTGACTGGCATGTTTGCTATTGTTCTTTAATAGAGAATGAAACATGATTTCCGGGGTTTGAAAGCCACTGGTAAATAGAAAGACTTTCACTCCCAAATTTTGTTATTTTTCTGTGTCAGCACAGGTCCCTTGTATGGGTAAAACACACTTAGGTGCTTTCACAATTAGCTGTTTAATCTGTGGCATTTCAAATTCAAAGGATTTCTGGTTGCAGAACTAGAAAATACTTTTTCCTTGCACCTTTAGAGAGCTGTTGTCAATCAGCATGACCCAACTCTGTATAGCAGGGGTAGCCAACCTAAGGCTGGTGGGCCAGATGCGGCCCAATTGCCTTCTCAGTCTGGCCCGTGGACAGTCTGGGAATCAGCGTGTTTTTACATGAGTAGAATGCGTGCTTTTATTTAAAATGCATTTCTGGGTTATTTGTGGGGCATAGGAATTTATTCATTTCCCCCCTCCCCCCCAAAAAAAAATATAGTCCGGCCCATCACATGGTCAGAGGGACAGTGGACCGGCCCACAGCTGAAAAAGGTTGCTGACCCCTGCTATATAGGGTAGTTCCTTATGTTCATACATACTGTTTGACGATACTTGCATTTTCAGTAAGTCTGTTATTAGATATTGGAGATTTTGTGATATGTGCAAATTCCATCAAAGATAACTCACCGTAGGTGTCACCATATAGGACTTTTGTAATAGTAATTTGGAAACTTGGAAAGATGCAGGGCAGTTAAAACATACTTTAAGAAAACACTCAGTTTGATTTAAATCTCATTGTGCATAAGGTATAAATTAAAAAAGTAAAGACAAATTGTTTCTAAAAAATAAATATTTTATTTTTTAAAAAAGCTTGGTTTAGAATGAATTTTTTTTCCCTCAAAATTTTTTGGCATAGATTCCAGTATTTTGTGAGTGCCCCTTTTTGCTACAATGTGTTAGTAATGATCACACAGAATAAAAGCCACTGAAAATAGAATGCAGGTTGGAGCATTTGAGATGCTCACAGAACAAAAGGCTCTTAGACCTGTTCTTTTGATTCACTTGCAGCACATTTGGTTCCGCCTTGACAAAATAGCTTGTGCATCAACTCCCAAGACACTTTAAAAATGAAACGGCAGTAGGAAATACAACAGTGTTGTATGGATGGAATAACAGATAGACATGCTTAGCTAACACATTGCTCATGTTGTAGCAGATGATACGGCAGAGATACAGGTAGGAGAGCAAATGGAAACAAGTGTTGGCTGGCTGAAGGAAGCACTAAAATACTGCAAAATACTGTGTTTGACATCCAGGGAAGGACAAAGTCGATAGGAAGCAGAGTTTTATTTCCGAGCTAGTAAGGGGACATAACAGTGAAGAATAACAGAGCCTTAAAGACAAAACGCTTGAGCGTCCTTGTAACAGTCCAGTTATAAACATTTGAGACAGGGTTTTATAATGCAAGCACTGACAACCTTAACTCTACCTGTGCACATTTCCCAACGGAGCCGGGTGAAGGATAATAGTTTATATAAACTCAATCTATCAAGCTGGTATCTTACTTTAGTTAAGGGCTGTGTGCACATTTATATAGATATAATATATGTATATCTTTAGGATGGCAGTTTCCTCATAAGAGGTGTGAACCGCTGAAGAAGGCAGAATGTTTATTGCAATTACTGGAATATGCCAAAGGTAGTCATGATGAGTGGCTCTTTGTTCTGGTGCAGCTGATGGAGCTCTTTCCCAGTTATTTTAATACAGCTGTAGAAAAACACACACAGCCAATCTGGTGTGCCTGCACAGCCCTGATGTCATTGCTCCCCTGTCCACATCCATGTAGGCTGTAGTGACTGGTGTTGGTGGGGTGGCTCCACAGCTCTGCCACACCATTCCATCTGCTGGTGACCATTGCCTAATACATGTGTGGGGAAAATAAGTTGGAATCAGTTGTCAGTTAAAATTCAGCATGATCTTGGCTGTCATGACCTCCAGTGCTAGGCTATTGCACAGTTATAGCTGATAGGTGTCCCTCTTCAACCCTGATGCATGTCTCCTCTGAAATAAGTCCTATTTAGTGTCTTAAGACTTGCTCTCAGGTAAGCAAGTGTAGGATTTCAGCCTTAGGAGCTTAGCAGATTTCCAAACTTAATGGCCGTTGCTTCTCTATTTTGTAATTCTTGCACAGCTTGTTTACCTTGTGGTGACTGTACCTTGACTAGTTGATTTTACTGTTGCATTCATAAATGCAACAGTACAACGAGGACAACTTGAAGGAGTTCCAACTACTCCAGTTTCTCCCTAGGGATGCTATATAGAAATACTTTGACATTTAAAACAGGTTTTTCAAGAAACGAGAACTAAGCTTTCAAGGCAGCTTGTTCTCATGTCTAGGCTAAATTGTGTTTAAACTTACAATTTAAATGCATTTTTGCCCTGCTCTTTGCAGTACAGTGGTACCTTGGTTGTCAAATTTAATCTGTTCTGGGAGTCTGTTTGACTCCTGGAACCGTTCGAAAACCAAGGCGCAGCTTCCGATTGGCTGCAGGAGCTTCCTGCACTCAATTGGAAGCCGCGTCGGATGTTCAGCTTCCAAAAAAGTTCGCAAACTGGAACACTTACTTCCGGGTTTGCGGCGTTCAGGAGCCAAGCCATTCAACAACCAAGGTACCACTGTACGGAGTGTGTACTGAGATTCAAACGGATAGAGCCGCAGAAGGCTTTATGGTATATGTATTCTTACAGAGTGATTAAAGTTGTGCCTTACCGGTTTTCCCAGTTGTATGCTGGCAGGGTGGCACCTTGTCTCCTGTAGTTTCTGAAAGTTTTGTTGAGTTAGATGTTTAGCCAGAAACACAAAGCATACTTAATAGTATTGCAGGAAGTTAATGCACCAAACAAATAACAATTGTTTGAAATATCCCTATAAAGAGCAGCATGTATAAAATAAGATGTTACTTGCAGAAATAACAAACTATTTTCCATAGCAAGAATCATAACGTTGTCAAAACTTACATCCTATCTGAAACAATATTTGGTAGGGATAAATTATATTCCCTGTGCTCACTGATAATAATAAACACCAGAAGTGGTTAGACGTTATTGATGCTATAACTATTCTCCATGGTCCATTGACAGAATGTTAACAAAAATAGGGTGTGGTTGGAATCGCATAACAAGAGAATGACTAATGTCAAAGATCGAAACAGAAGAAAAAATATTTAAGAGGAATTGTTGACCAAAACGCATTATCTGAGGTCATGTTCATGTGACCTTTGGGTGTGTAGTAGCTACAAAAGAAAATATTTTAAAATAGAGGTATTCTGTCTCTTGGTGAGACTGGTAGGGTTGTATGCATCTGCTGCGATGTTCAAAAGCCAACTTTTGGCATACCTTCATAAATGCATATTTTTGGTGGTATCCTAAGAGCTGGATTTTCTGATGTATGACAGCGGATGCACTGTTGATTGTAAAATGACATAGGTGAGCGTGTGCCAGATTTTCTTGTAGTAGGAAATGTTGGTATGAATAGGCCCTGCAACTGAAACAAGAAGAATTTAACTCAAAAGAATCAATTTCACTTTCTTCTTCTTCTTATATAGCTTGCCTGGGAGCATTGTTGCCTGTTACACGTTAGTCCTGTTTCTCTGCTTTTATATGGGCTTTCAATTTTTACAGTGAAAATAATGATACCTTCGCCAATGTTCCTTTGAAAAAGCACTTGAAAGCTTGACTGGCACAATATCCTATGTCCTGATATGGCTTATTGAGGAAAGGTCATAACATTGTTTTCTTAATAGGAACTGGCAACCTGTTCATCAGGAGGGCGGTGCCAACAAATCCCTTATAGCCAGAAAGGAGATAGGTTGACCTTCCAAAGCTTGCTTTCTCCGCCTTTCCACCATAAAATGCCAGAGTTTAAAATAATGCGTTTGTCTTTCATCTGCCAATAAGCTGACACAAACTAGTTCCTCTTCATAACCAAGAATTTATGTTTTGCCTGTTTACTCAGGTGTTAGGCAGTATTTCTGACTGCACAGATGGCGAGGCTAATGTTGGCTTCTGGGTTTGACATTTATGTTTGTTTACATCTTCATGCTATAATAGTCTACTGAAGAGGTGTAGGGACAAAAATGTGAATGCCTTACCTGATTCTGGATGCTGATGAGCTCCTGTAGCCGTTGTTGACATCAGTTCTCATTATGAAGTTCCTGGAATGTGTTGGCAGTTTTACTTCCATTTCATAAAAGGAAAGACATTACTTGAATAAGGACGTTTGTGAACACTCTGCACCTAAAATAGAAACATTATTGTTTTAACTCTTATTGTTTTAACATTATTGCTCTAATCATGTCTACCTTGGCTCCCAGTACTTTCCCCCCACAGATTGTTCTAGCCTTTTTGAGTCATACTCTCTTTCCCTATAAGCAAATCAAAAATTTAATGTGTGCATTTGCCTTGGAATATGGCTGGCCCATATTTAGTCATGTATCACCCAGTGGCCTGTGCTGAACTATTTTATATACTGTGTCCTCTCCAGATGTTTTGACCTACAATTTCCACCAGTGGCCAATGCCATACTGGCAGGTGAGGGTGGGGTAATGGAAGTTGTAGTTGAAAACATCTGGAGGGTACCAGATCAGATCAGAGAAGTCTGTACAATGTCATGAGAACATGTGCATTGTGGTGTATAAAGTACTGAGTGTCCTTGGAGAATCTCTCAGCCAGCAGTGGTGGGAGGGGCTGCATTGCTTACATGACCTCCTGTCACTGCCATTGGTCTGGCATATCAGGAGCATGAAGGGGAGAGATTGGCATGATGCAAATACACTAGCAGGAGCTCTGGATTGGCTCTGCTGGTGCGTTTGCACTCCACCAGCCTTGCTGCCTCCTCACCCCTTGCCTTTGTCTTCCCAGTACGCTGCAGGAATGGCAGTGTTGGGAGGTCAGGTAAGAAGCTGAGCAAGCCTCTACTGCTCTTAGCCTATCATTCTTCACCTACCATATTTTGTTGTAAAATAAGGCACCCTGTATATGGTTTTCTCGGCAGGAATTGATTCAAATTGATGGAGAAATAATAAATACAGTTGCCCCACAATCACCGTGATGCATGATGATAATTTATACTTTATTTTGTGAAGGATGACGGTGTGCTGGGAGGGGCAGCCAGTCTATAATTAGAAATATCTTTTCCTCTTTTAGTGAAGATGAGGATTTGAAAAAAAACAACCAAATACAGCACATTACCTGCCCACATCAGTTTGTGCTCAGTTTAAAAGTGTGTCCCATTTATTTTCTTCCCTGTCTGTGTAGCTGATTATCTCTGTGTTTCTTTCACATACAGTTTAACACTTAGGTCTTCGTAGGGTTGTAGGGTACTCTTGCTTTGCTGCACCACAGTGGCACACCAAATTTGTGCTTTCCCTCCAGCTTCCTTCAACAGCAGAACATAGCAATTTAGAGGGCTAGGATGCTACTGATTATGGTGATCACATGTTGTGGAGAGAGAGAGAGGGTGTTCCTGTTGGGAACAATGTTTTTGCATGGGAAAAGGGAGGGGGACCATTTCAGATGTTGAAATCACATGGTGAATTTGGGCAAAGGCAACAGAATCTATCCCACAGGCAATGTATGTCACCATATCACCAGTTCAGAATGAATATATCCATTCAGTGTTTCTGGGAGGCAGGGCAAATGTGTTTCACTTTGAACACATCAGCAGCTTACTCTAATCTCAAATGACCAAGAATTGGTACCTAAAAGTATTTTTAGCATTTTAGTCTTTGGCATGATTGAACCGGAGATATTGTATTTGTAGAACTGCTGACCTTCTGGCCTCTCTCCTTATGGGAGTGCAACTATTGCCTCTATTCTTCTCTCTTTAAAGTGTTGCACTGAAGCTATGCCTATAAAGTGTTTGTCTGTCTCAAAGCTCTTAGAGACCAGTGCTCTGCTTATTTGAGAATATGGTGACACAAAGTGTTGATTCATGTAAGCAAATGCAGAGGCTGCGTTTTGACATCATGCTGAACTATAGCTTGACAGAATGTGAATGGGGCTAGGCAGGCGTTGAGTTCATGCTCCCTGCCATCCCATTCCCATTGACAAACTGTGCCTACTGGTTTGTGTGGTATGGTTTGTGTGAAACAAGCCAACTTGAATTATCTGTTTGGAGCAAAAAAAATGGAAGCTTCCAAGCTGCTCCTTGCAGCCGTACCAGGGCAATATGGTTTAGCATGACATTCAAACACAGTTGCAGATTGGGATATCAAACCCTCTTGACCTAGGACCAAATCCTGACTTTCTAAGGGGCAACCAAGCTTTATGCATTGTTTGGTCAGCCATCCCTTCTTAGCTTAAGGTGATTCTCTTCAGAATTCCAGCTTCATATGAAGAGTATTGCTGTTTCCCATAATCACTGCTTGACCGTGACTGGGAGGTCTATATTGTTTATACTGTTTGTTTATGTGTGTATTAGGCTTTGTAGGGTTTATTTTGAAGTCTTCAGCCACTCAATAACCAGCCTATCAATCTGAACCATTTTGCTTGAGCACCTTTCCCCCTTTCTTTTGCAAAAAGCAAGTTTACTAATTCAGTCTTAACTTTGCAGCCCTGTATGAGAAGGAAGGTCAGATCAAAGGCTTTGCTTTGCATTTGGAATTGATTTTGAAAGTAATGGAGGTGTTGCCTTGGAGGCTTTGCTAAACGCTGACATAGCAGCTAAGGCAGTACTCAGGTTTTCATGACTTGGTGATGCCTAAGGGTGGAAATGTCTCTCTCCTGAGTCACCTTGATGATTTTTGCTTAGGCTTGTAGTATAATGGAAAGCGACACAGCCCTGTAAAGTATAAAACCAATGCATTTGTAGCACTCATTTGCTAGAATTGGACTGAGTGTAGCATTGCTTTGTTTCAAGAAAATGAAAGACTCAGAATAAGAAGGCAATTATTTTTGACCTACTTCTGTAAGTTCCATAGAGTTTGTTTTGGACCAGAATGTAGAACCTGGGCATGTGCAACATAAGAAGATGCCTTATAAAGAATCTGACCATCGGTCCATCAAACTTAGTAATGTCTACTCTGACTGGCAGCTGCACTCTAGCATTTCAAGCGGAGGTCTTTCCCAGATGGGGATTGAACCTGGGACCTTGTGCATTCAAAAAGCATGTGCTCTGCCACTGAGCCACAGCCTTTCCTGTGAACAGAATTTGTTTAATTCACTTCTGTGAAACCCTTCAGTAGAAATATTCTCAGGGAGTCTCACATACTTCACAAAAGTGAAGGATTAAAGCAACAACGAAGCTAAAAAGGTTAAGGCAGTGAATAAAACAAGCAATAGTAAAAAACAAAAACAAACCATCACTCTTTAGATTTATGAGTAGGTGGCAGTCAAATCTCCCTAGGAAGACTGTTTCATTGAGGAGGTGAATCAAGTTCCCATCCCAGTCATATCACCTGGATGAGGGTTTCTGATAATGATTTTCAGGGAGATTGGTGTGGAAGTAGGCATTCCTTCAGATACCTACACCCAATTCCTGGGCCACAGAGTAACCTCCCTGTAGCTGTCTTGTGAATATTATGTTCCAATTGGCATGTCCCCTGTGAAGTTTGGACCATCTGTTTCCTTTCACCAGGCAGAAGATGATAATATAGTGCACACCAAGTGTTGGACCAGGATCTCCAGATTCCTTGCATAATTGTAGCTCACGTTTTGTCTGTCCCCAAAATGAGCCATTAAGTTATGATGATGATGGGCGCGAGCTTCAATAAAATTAGGTGCTGGCTTTCACAGGGTCCGTTATCCATCATGAGCCAGGCATAATAATAAGACTTGAGAATATTCAAAGAGTTCTGTATATGTGTATTATTACCCCCAGATTGCAGACAGGGGTGGGACTGTGACTGAGAGGATAATGGTCTGTGAAAGGTCACCTAGCAAATTCATGGCTGATCTGAGACCTGAACCAACTACTCCCCAGCTCATATCTCACTCCTCTTAGCCACTGTGCTACATCACACCACATTTGGGAGGAGAGGACAGAACTCCTGGAACTAGCCTCTATAAGAAGAGTAAACTCTGAAACTGGAAACCCTTTATTTGGTGAGGCTGATCCATTGTTTGCTGAATCCTCTGCTCTGACATTGCACTGCTCCTGCTGGTAGTCTACTTACAAAATCTCTTAAATTCACAAGAAAGCGGGAAGCTGGGGCTCATCAACCTGGGAAGAAGAGAAGGAGAAGGAAGACTCTGATCCTAAACCTCTGCTGCCTTGTGGGATATCTTCCGAAGAAGAAAAGGCTGAGGAGTAAACCCTACTACAAAAATCCAGAGGGGAGTGCCAAAGTTGGTGCCTTGTACCCCTCCTTTCAGCAACTTCTGCAGCCAAGCTGGTGCCAAACGTATTTCTCTGCTTGTCTTTGGGCCACATCAGCAAGGCTCAAATAGTATGTGTGTGTTGTTTTCTGGGCAGCCCAGGACCTCCATACACACCGCCCAGGCTAGTGCCCTGGGAAGGCACTTGGGTGCTGCTAACACAGCAGTTTGACGAGGTCAAAGGTATACTTCATTGTCTTTTGAGATACAAGAAAGCACAGGAAAGCAACTTGCATACCATCTTGAAGGGCATAAAACTTGTGCCTTTGCAACACATGAGCTAAATAGCATGACTAATTTCTGCAGGATATATGTGCAGAACAGTTTGTTTTTGCTTTAGTTACTACATTTATATCCTGCCTTTCTTCCATGATTGAAATTAATGCAGTTTACATGGGGTTCTTCCACTAAGGCACTGACAAGAGCCACACCTTGGCTTCAGCAAGATGCCTCTTCAGAACAGGCTCTGAGATTTTGATTTGATGTTGTTGATATCCCATCTTCTAGTCCATGTGCTTTTATGGGGATGACTGTTGAGCCTAGCAAGGACTTGATGGTCTGCATGGCTGTCTAGCTGTTTTCTGTGGGAGTGGTGACTGAGGGCTATTACTACAGGAGATAAATGTTTTTCCCAGTGAGGGAACAAAGCAGTTACCATCTGGATGTGTCTGTACTTGTGATTTTGGCCTGGAAACCTTAACATCTAATGAAATTGGCAGTCCTGTATATTTCTGGGCAGGCTTAGATATTGATATTTTTCAGCTGCAGAGGAAAACAAAATATGCAGAGCGGGGAAATTAAGTACAGATCTATTTATTTTAAAATAGCCAAATGTTGACACTTTTAGTATAACTTTTCTTTATCTTCATAGGTGCCTCTTACTGAGCCTGTGGATCCAGTGGATTTGGAAGAATACCTCCTTACACATCCACTTGCAGTGGATTGCGGCCCTTTGAGAGACTTGCTTGAATTTCCTTTGGACGATATTGAAGTTATCTACAGTCCTCGAGAATGCAGAACGATTGTGTCAGCAGTACCCGAAGAGAGGTAAGGGCTAACCAACAGAAACCATGGCCCATACTTGCAGCTGAGCAGGTATGGGAGATGGCCTGGCTGAAGCCATTAACAGGAGTTGGACTTTTTTATCCCCATATTCTTCTCTTCCTTCGCCACTCAAAACTATACACTGGAGCCAGGACAGCTTTGAGAGCAAAGAAAGCACAAGTTATACAGGTACAGAGAGATGGCAGTGGTGGCAGAATCAGAGTGTGGGGCATTGAGAAGGGAACTGTACCCCTTGAAATTCTCAGTTGATCTGAGAAGCAAAGGGAAAGAAAGTGAATTGACTGCGAGTCTAAAAAGCAGAGGCCCTGTGTCACATGTACCATATTTTTTGCTCTATAAGATGCACCAGACCATAAGACGCACCTAGTTTTTGGAAGAGGAAAACAAGAAAAAAATATTCTGAATCCCAGAAGCCAGGACAGCAAGCGGGATCGCTGCGCAGCGATCCCGCTTTCTGTCCTGGCTTATGGGATAGCCGCACACAGCCTCTCCTGGGCAGCAGGATGAAGGCTCCCACTGCCCGGGAGAGGCTGCGCGCGGCTAAAGCTCCCCCAAGAACCGTGCTCCCTTTAAAGAGCGCACGGAGTGTGTGTGCAGCTCTTTAAAGGGAGCGCTGAGCTGAGCCTCTCACTTGCATTCACTCCATAAGATGTGAACACATTTCCCCTTTTTATAGAGCGAAAAATACGGTAACTTATGACATAAAGGTGGAGAAAGCACGTTAATAAACATTGAATGAAGGAAAGTGGGGCAACCTGTATGCACTTGTGATGACTGGAAATGTAGCAGATGTTTACAGCTGTATTTATTACAGTGGTACCTTGGTTCCCGAACTTAATCCATTCCAGAAGTCAGTTCGACTCCTGAAACCATTTGAAAAACAAGGCATGGCTTCTGATTGGCTGCAGGAGCTTCCTGCACTCAAGCGGAAGCTGCGCTGGATGTTCAGCTTCCGAAAAACGTTCACAGACTGGAACACTTACTTCCAGGTTTGTGGTGTTTGGAAGCCAATTTGTTCGGCAACTAAGCCGTTCAGGAACCAAGGTTCCACTGTACTGGGGTATTAAATGGTAGTTCAGCCTGTCAGTCTAAAATGAAATAAGATGTTTGTGATTTGAAGAGACCATTTACAGTTATTTCTCCCTCTCTATAGTGAAATGGACCCTCACGTGAGGGATTGCGTAAGAAGTTACACAGAAGACTGGGCCATTGTGAACAGAAAGTAAGTTGTGTATTTAAAGTTATATATTTGAAGAGATGCCCTTCAGCTGTGTGTGTTGGGCGGGGGGACTGATTTTCAGAATGCAGTTGCTGTAGCTATCAATAACTATTCAGAGCCGATGTAAGACCGTACTGCTATTTTAGTTATCACTTTTAGGCAGGTGCCCTTAAGGATAACTTCCTGAAAAGGGGGAGACAACTTTTGTGAATGCGTTGGAGGGAATAATGGAGAAAGTATGAGTCACCTATTCATATTCTTTTCCCCCACCTTTTTGCTGTGGATACTTATAGGAAGCAAGTTAGATGAAAGGGCTTGCCGTATGCAGTCAAGATGTTTGCAATGGAGCAGTTCAGCAGTCAGTGGGATGACTCATAAATCGTGTCAGAATAGAGCCTTTTTGCGTGAGACTAGAGTATATGCCAAGCTCACTTGTCCTCCCAGCGCTTTTGTAATCACTTGGTAAAACCACTATTAACTACTCAAACGATTTATATAATTAGGTAGAAAAGAAAATGCCAAGATGAGGAATAAAACGAATAAGAAAATAATAATAATAGTGGAAAAGGTTGATAACAAGAAATGGAAGGCGGTAGGAAATAACCCTCTTTCGATGGTGCAGGAGTGTCATTTTCTCTGTGTGCAGGTTCAGATTATCATTCACAAGTTTATGAACTGTGGTTTATGAGTCTAGGAATAGGCATTGGGGCAGAGGGCTCCTCGCTCACCCTTCCTCCCCTCCCCTTGTGTGACAACTTTGACACTTCATTCCTGGCTTTGTGTTAAGCCACAGTTCCCTTTATATCTGAACTGGGGTAATTCTGGCTGAACGTCAGTTAACAAACCAGGCTAACAGGTCAGGTTTAGAAGGAGGTAGACAAGATGGTGTTTGCCAGTTTTGGCCGCCGCTGTTTCTCATCTGGTTCTGCCTTTATAGTAGAGCACAATATTTGTACACTGCCTAGAGAAATTTTGCCCTCCATGCTGACTGGGACTGAGGGGAAGCTGTACTCCAGTACATCTGAAGGGCACCAGGAAGGTGAAGGCTGACGTAGAGCGATGCTGATAAAATATGGAATGTTTTAAAAGTAAAATTATCTAGTAGCAATGTTAAATATGTTAATGTTATTGGGCCTTCTCAGGCATATCAGGCAATCCTAGCCAGACAGCCCTATTACGAGCAATCTATTCCATTTGGCAACCCCTTGTGTTCTGTGTCATGTCTGGTTCCACCCATAAGCCTTTTGTCCCCCACCCTTCTTTGCAGTCAGAATGCAGACTGCAGTGAGACAGGAGAGTGCTGTCAGCTTCTCAGGAGGCCAGAATAAATGTACATATTTCCCAAGAGTTGTCATTAGTAGTCCCAGTAATGCGCTCTTCAGATGTGCAGGTGAAATAGAGGAGGAAGGGCAGAGAGTTGTCACATACCCATCAAGATCACATACAGAAAGAATAATTTTAATTTGGCTTCCGGGAAAATGGTAACACCTTGAGGATGGGCAACTCTGAGAATAATAGGCAAGAATGATTGCAATATTGCAACTGCCTTGATTGTCAGAACACATATGGGTTTATCCCAATATAGCCAGCACTGCTGACAGACACTGTTGTCTGCTATAATAATGGTGGCTCCTGGACATTTACCTTTGGAGCTTTCTGATTTATATACTAGAGCAGGATTTGAGAATTTGTGTTCCTCCAGATGTTATTGGACTTCAACTCCGTTAAGCCCCATCAAGCATGGCCAATAGTCAGGAGAGATGGGAGTTGTAATTCAGCAACATACATAGTAGGCATGGAAACCTTTGGCGCTCCAGATGTTGCTGGACTACAGCTCCCATCATCCCTAGCAAGCACAGCCAGGGATGATGGGAGTTGTAGTACAGCAACAACTGGAGAGCCAGAGATTACCCTCACCTGCTCTAAAGTTTCAGCAGCCTTTGTCAGATGATCTGTACCAATATTACTGAGAGCCAGTTCATGCACAATGCCTGTGTATACAGATTAGACATTTTTTATGGTGTGGAGAAAGTGAATCGATCTCATTAAAAAAAGAATTATATGGGCCTTTGGTCTCATCCACCAGGGCTCTTCCTGTATTCTGATTAAAAGCCACTGAGTTGCAACGATAGAATACGGTAGATGGGCTAAACATCAAATTGATACAGTAGCCTTTATAATAGTCAAAGACAGTGGTTCCCAACTGGTGGTCCATGGAACCCAGGAGGTCCGTGGCACCATTCACGTAACAAAAACTACCATAGAGGTATCACAAATTTCAAAAGTAGAGGGTCCATGGCTTGGCTTTTGAAAAACAGGGGGTCCGCAGTAGTTAGATAATTGGGAACCACTGGTCAATAAGACCCTGAAAACAGCCATGCTAAAACAAGCAAATAAACAAATAAATGCTGTCATACTTGGATTGCTTATAAAAAATACTTAGTGATTTAATGAGGTGAAGGATACAGTCTACTAGGACAAATTGTTTGCATTTAGCTACATCGTGGTACACTTCAAGTATTCCATTGCTGATCGACGGGTGCTTATGCTTATAGGATTATATGGTCACAGCAGGAGTCATTTCTTATTGCAACCAGGAAAAGTAACCAGTATGAGTTGATTTTTAAGGCTGCAAGTCTAAATATCCTACACTGGAATCAACACCTGCAGTCAAAGAAGAGAAAATGCTGTTTTCAAAAATTCCTGTTACAGAACTTGATGGACAGCATGATGCTGTCAAGAGTAGCAAAAAGTATTTTCTGGGGAGGGCATTAAGCTTTCAGATATTGCTCACCATTTCTGCTTGGTTTTGTAGAGGAGAGTCATTGCTTAATACAATCTGTTTTTGAATAGATATCACAAACTGGGAACAGGATTTAACCCCAACACATTAGACAAACAGAAGGAGAGGCAAAAAGGCCTACCCAAACAGATATTTGAGTCTGATGAAGCTCCGGATGGCAACAATTACCAGGATGAACAAGTAGGTGCTTTATGAAGCCTGCATCTTAAAAAAAAAAAAATTCACTGTGTTAAAAATACATGTGACATTTTCCATATTTCACTTTACATGTTTGGTTTAATTTCTTCAATCTCAGGATGATCTTAAAAGACGGTCCATGTCAATTGATGACACGCCACGGGGCAGTTGGGCTTGCAGTATTTTTGACTTGAAAAACTCCCTCCCAGATGCTTTGCTTCCAAATCTTCTGGATAGGACCCCAAATGAAGAAATCGACCATCAAAATGATGAACAGAGAAAGTCCAACAGACACAAGGAACTTTTTGCATTGCATCCAGCCCCAGATGAGGTATTGTGAGCTTAACTGAGACCTGTTAATACTAGCACAAAGCACACATAAGTGCCAGGTCCACCTCTGTAGCCAGATAGTGAGTGCTGGTCTATTATAGTTGGAATATATATATATATATATATATATATATATATATATATGTATATCGACTTGAATTTCAGAAGTCATTAAAATGAGATGGGGAGGGAGAAGATAGAGGCTAAATAGCATGATGTTCTGCCATAACTTGTTGGGTTTGTAGGCCTGTAGGGCCACAGCCGTCTTAAGTGGGATGAATTTGATGAGTCTACTTTATTTATGACTAATGTTGAATACCAGTCCTAGACTTTCGACAGCGGTGTTTGCCAGCTTTTGTAGAAAGTGTACAGGGGAGTGGAGGAGCCAAAGATTTTAAAGGGATTGACCCTAAGATTGTATTTGCTTTTGTTTCCATGCGACTGCTGCCAAAGCAGCCTGTGATTAAAGCACAAATCTGGACTTTTGGATCATCTCTTTCCAAGGAATTTTCTTACAGAACTCCAATCCTTTATTCAGTAGCTCTCCTAAATTAAACCCCTTCAGTGTTATTTATAGTTGCAGCAAAAGCCACACGCTGTTAAGCTTGAAGATTAATTTGTATTGAATAGGAGGGGAGGAAATCTACTTTGCCTTCTTTAGCCATTTAACAATACACTTTGTTTGTGGAAGGAGTGCATGCATTACTTGCTGGATTTGTGCCCGATTGCAGGAAGAACCAATAGAAAGACTGGGCATCCCTGAAATCCCCAAGGAACACTTTGGTCAGAGGCTTCTTGTGAAGTGTTTGTCTTTAAAGTAAGTAATACAGTTGTTGTTAATTTTTAAAAAATTATGCATGCTTACATTTGATCTGTCAAATCAGTGCACCTTGTATGATAATAATTGGGACCGATAGAACTACCAAGACACCATTAATTTTTCAAATTCTACATTGAGCACCTTAATGTGCAAAGAGGGCACTAAGTCAATTAAATATTCCCATCGTACATTCAAAACGCTGGAAATAATGATAAAATAAGCTTGCCAGAATATTCAAACCTAGTCATGCTTTTGTAAAATGGTATGTACTATAGAATCATAGAATTGTAGAGTTGGAAGGGGCCATTAGGGTAATTTAGTTCAATCCCCTGCAAAGCAGGGAACTTTTGCCCAACGTGGGGGTCAAACCCACGGCCCTGAGTTTTAGGAGTCTCATGCTCTACCAGTTGAGCTACAAGGCAACAAACCCGTACATTAAAGTGGTATTGAGTGCAAGAAAGTGAAGTGCTCATTTAATGAAGGGATGTGGGATTTTGAGGTCCATTAAAATAAATAAATAAAGATTGGGCCAGATGTATTTCCCTTGGGAGAAAATTTAATGGGATCATCACTACTTGAAAGGGCCCACAAATTGAACTTGATGGTAGACCCACAGGCAGCACCTTTGAGGGTGATGTTAAGGCCTGAGTAAGTGCATATGAGTTCAGGTCGACTTTCATGTAACCTGTCCCTAAACTGTTTAGGGCTTTAAAAGTCAACACTAGCACTTTCAATTGATCCAGAAACACACAGGCAGCCAATGCAACTGGTACAATAAAGACGTAATGTCTGCAAAGTCTCACTTCATAGCAGAGACACAATTCCTTCCCTCATCCTGTTTACATCTGGCTTTCATCCCACAAACAGAGGACAATTGGCTAAAAACAACATGATTGATGTAGCTTTTTTTTTTTTTTGAGATGAGATTTTACACCAGCAGTCAGACAACTGATTCAGTAAGACAAAGTTGAGTCTTTAAATCCATGGCTGCCTCTTTAAGACTTGAGGCAGTTAGCAAAGCTTTCACTGGGGAGAAGAGAAACCTGTTAAACAAGTTTAATGAAGTGGAGCTCCTGAATGTAGGGTTACCTGCAGCTGGTTCATTGCCTATAACTCTTCTCTAATAACACGAGGTAAAATTTTACTGGTATTCCCTTAGAGAAATAAAGCACAAAACTGATTTTCCACATGGCTGTATTCATCTTGTGTGTCCTCACTTAGGTCAACCCTTCTTGTTAGGGAGCTCCAGTTAGACTAGAGTGCCTCTCGTAACTGAGATATATGTTGGAATTGCTTCCTAGAGGAGAGCTGCTTTTAAGCCCTGACACTAATCCAGATGATTCCATGGCATAGCCTTTTACAGGGTGTTGTACCAGAATGCAGTTCCCAGGAGAACTCCTGTACAGTGAATGGCTATATAAAAAACAAATTACAGCAGTTAATTAAGATTTTCCTTTTACAGAAACCTCTTCATATTAGATCTGAGGAAATGATGTTTGTCTTTATTGTACAGAGTTCATGTTTATCTTGTGCTCTTTTTTTAAAAAAAAAGAATGAGAATTGTGTTTAGTGCCTGGAAGGACAAATATGTATATCGTTTTTATAGTTTTAGGAGCTTTAAGCCCACATGCTCAAAACTGAATTCTGATGTTTTATTTGCTTCTGAGATTTTAGTCCTTCATCATTCAACAAAGTCCATTATAAATGAAGTAATATAAAAATACAATAATTAGCTTTAATAATAGCAAGTGTAAAAGAGCCAAGTACATTACAGGTATTGATAAACAAACTAGCAGTTACAAGACAGTGAAGAGTCATATACACCAGCAGATTCTTTCAGGTGTTACAGAAAAATATCCCAGACAAGGTCAGAGTATATCACAATGTCTAAAAGTTATGTTCTGCCATCTGTTCAAAAAATTGTGGTGAGCAATTATTGAAATGAATGGGACTTGCTTTTGAGCAGAAGTGTTTTGAAGGCAGTCTTTATTAGCTAATAGCCATTGTTTAACTGGCAATAGGTACCATTAGTGGCAAGAGAGGGACAGTTTTGAGACTTACAGTTCTTTGTTCTCTGCTGCCAGTGATAGAAAGATAGAAGCCATGGTGAACAGTTGATTGATACAAAAGACATAATCTCATTGATCTCCGTGGAGTAAATTAATTAATTCTGGTATTGGCAGCTTTGGAGAACTGCATTTAAACGAGATAAAGCTATTTGTGATTAACACCCTGCTTCTAAACACTTTATGCAGAAGGACTGTTGAGTTTAGCTCAACAGTTGCAAATAATGGGCTTAGGGTAGGGCTTTGACCCAGTTTGCTGTCCATTCCCATTCACGCCTAAGCGCTAAACAACTTCTCCCACTGATTTCATTAGAAGTCTGTTTAAGATTATGACCTGAGATCTCGTAATACACAGCAGATTTTAAAAGGTTTATGAATAGCAATATACAAAAGTGCATAAGCTGCTGCTGTGCAATCAAACTGGCTGACAACCTGTTTTAAACACCAGCATATTTCGGATGAGGCACGTCAGCTGGTGCTGCTGATTAGGCCCCATGTAGGTTTGGGCTTTGCAGGACTGCCTCTAGATGGCACAACTGTTAAATAGAGTCAGTAGTATGTGTTTCCCAGAAGTTGTGAACTGCCCTGTGATCTTCAGATGAAGGGTGGTATACAAATTCAAAAAATCATCATCATCTGACAAGTTTGTCTGGTGCAGTATTGCTGAAAGTGACAGATAGTGACTCTCCAGGGCTTCAGACAGGAATCTTTCTGAGTCATACCTTGGAGACAGCAGGGATTGAACCTGTGTCCTTTTGGTATGCAGAACATGTATTTTACCCCTGAGCTATGGCATCCTAAAGTTGTTTCTAGGGAGCCACACAGCTGCAGTAGTGCAGTTTCAGTTGGGAAATAACCTTGTTGCTGTTTGGTTGTGTATAAAACTGAAAAAATCTAAGAAATAGAGCTAAACTTTCTTTCTCCTTTAAGATTTGAAATTGAAATAGAGCCGATTTTTGCAAGTTTGGCATTGTACGACGTTAAGGAAAAGAAAAAGGTGAGTTATCTGCTTGATGCTTGCTTCCTTTGCATGGTGTTTGAGCAGCATGCAGTAAGACGTAGGTGGTAACAGCAGCTCTCTGCTTAACAGCACCTGAAGTCTTCACTGGAATACTGCGTTTTTTCAAAATTACATTGAGAAATAGAAAGTAGAACAGAAGGAACTGAAAGTACTATAAAAAGCAAACCCTGTAAAGAATGGTGGAGGTTGCTGGATAAAATAAACTATTTTACAGGTTGCCTGATTATTTTGTTTATTTATTCACAGTATTTAGGATATTTCTAGAATGCCCTTTTTTGAAAAGAGCTCAGGATGGTGTACATCAGCCCAAATAGGCAAAACACAGTGAACATAACTAAAAACATCTGATTCCAGCAGGGAGAGTGAAACTTGATGGGCCCTTGAGTTTGTTCCACTTCTATATATTTTTTTTATTGCAATAGAAAAATAAATGAAATAAAACCGAATAAAGTTTAGGAAGCAATGTAAAACAGCAAGGAAGTGAAGAAATAATGAGAAGCAGCAAGCGGAGAGGGTGGGCTTGTGTTTTTGTTTTTTTCAATGCCTCAGTGGAGGAAAAGAAAACATGAAGAGAGTGAAAGCAAATGAAGACAACACAATGCAAAGAAGGAGGAGTACAAAGAGAAAAGAAAACCTAACTGAATATAAGGGAAACAGTGAGGGGGGGGGGAGTGAACTGCTCTGTCAAGGCAGGAGGGAAAATCTGAGGAGATTCAGCCAGCTTCCCACAATTCTTTGCTCCTGCCTCAGTCACGTGCAGAGGAACTACACTATCATTTTAAGAAGCTAGAATTATGGATGGAAAGTTCCCACTTCAATCCAAATTATATTTCCTTATGAGAGGGCTTCATTGACATGCCTGACAGCTGTTGGGTACTAGTATCTGTATTTTGGGCCTGAGGTGAGAAGGGTGTTGGAGCAGGACCATTCATCCTTGCCAAAAAAGAGGATCTATCTATCTATCTATCTATCTATCTGGAAAATCCAAATCCCCTAAAGTATATTTTCAGATTATCAGGTCTCTGATCAGTTGGAAATTATCATCTGAAGGAGAGGGGAAATTGGCAAGCCCCATGATAACTAAAACCTCTGCTATCAAAACACTTCAGCTGCCCGCTACCAAACTTTATCCCTGTCTTCCTCTCTAGGTTGCCTCTAGAGGGGGATGGTGATGTTCCCCATGCACTGAGCTATCACAAATTAGCAAAGCTATACTGGAATGCTTTCCACTCTGTATCCAGGTCCAAGTTAGGGAGGGAGGCTGGGGCTCTGTTGTCATTCTTGGTGGAGGGCAATGAAGCATGTACCAAGGAGAGGGTGATGAGTGGAGAAGTGGATCCCTGGTTGTTCATGCTGTTTTGAGTACATTGCTTTCAAAGCCATTGCCTTGCTTATTTGTTTGAAAAGTTATACTTCTCTACAGTATCATTGTTGGGCTGCAGAGGGTTTTTTTGGTGGTGGTGGTTTATTTTTAAATAAGCCCAAATCATATTGGGACAAATAGATACATTGCCTGTTAAGAAATGAACAATTCAGCTAGCTAACAGGTTTTTTTTGTCTGCTGTTAAAAGCTAACCACAGTTGGCATGAAAGTGAAATTAACATAGGTGCGCTAACATTATTTTTTTAAACATTTTGTATTATGGTAAAGCCTTTGGATATATTTCAGTGTAATAAGCTATTTTTTTCTTTTAGATTTCAGAGAACTTCTATTTTGATTTAAACTCTGAACAAATGAAAGGGATGCTGCGTCCTCATGTTCCACCTGCTGCCATAACCACTCTGGCCCGGTCAGCCATTTTTTCTATTACATATCCCTCTCAGGATGTCTTTCTGGTAATAAAGGTAAGAAATATTTTTTCCCCCTTTATGAATCTTTCCCTCAGAAAAGTGTATTATCTCCTGGCACGGGTAAGCTAAAGTTTCTGTGCCCATATAACAATATATTAAGAAAAAATATCACCTGGTTGCATTTTGCTGGTACTGTACTGTGTTTGTTTATTTTAGCCTTCCTCAATAGGGAAAACTGAAAGGAAAACTACAAATCTTGTGAAAATCAGATTACAGAATGACCCTGCTTAGTGTTGTCATTTCCTTTTGCTGACTGAATTTAGTCATTCTCAAATTGAAGAGTTCAATCTCCAGAAGTTTGGTTTTTGATATTAAGATATAAACTCTGTCCGAAGACAATTCTTGCTTTGACTTTTTTGCCTTAGACTTGTAACATTACTGAACTCTGAAAGCAGATAGGGCAATATAGAGCAATGCCTTATCCTGGGGGAGGCACTTAAGATAGTCACTATGCAATAGAATTTTTGAAGAAGAAGAAAAAAGCTTCCTAATGCCATGGGAAATATGTTAAGATTGAGATTCACGTTGCGTTTTCCCAAATTGCCGAAGCAAGAGGGAAGCCTCATTGACAGCAGCTTTAAGAGGAGATTCTGTTCTCAAATTTTGCACACGTCTCATTGCATACCTTCTGAAGCCAGAATCTGCATATATTCACAGTAGTTGATTTTTACAAGAAAAGAGAAAAAGATTAACACCATGCAATCTACCTCAAAGAGCTTGCACTTGCACATTAATGCTTGTAAACTTAATGAGATGAGCCTAGCTAGCAGTCATTTGTTGAAAATAGTGCTAAGTTTTTGGTCTGTGAGAAGGAAAAGGACATGAGCAAGATAAATAAGCCAGAAAAATAGCTTGTCATATGTCACAGGCCAGGTGCCGTCATATATTGTGCTCCTTTTTAGATCATTCCCCTGCCAGTTAGTTTGTAAAATGGCTGTTTGCAATGTAATCTGGGCCCAAGTGAGATTTGGGCAGTGTGAGAAGAATTATTTTATAGAAAACTTCCTGCTTCCAAAACCTAACCACACTAGCTATGACATCCTATGCAACCTTCCTCAACCCATTTCCCTGGTTCCTAGGGATAATGGGAATTGCAGTCCAGAACACCTGAAGGATACCAGGTTGAGGTTAGCTGATCTGCATACAGTGGTACCTCAGGTTAAGAACTTAATTCCTTCTGGAGGTCCGTTCTTAACCTGAAACCATTCTTAACCTGAGGCGCGCTTTCACTAATGGGGCTTCCCACTGCTGCCGGCCCGCGATTTCTGTTCTCATCCTGGGGCAGAGTTCTCAACCTGAGGTACTACTACTGGGTTAGCGGAGTTTGTAACCCAAAGTGTAACCCAAAGTGTTTGTAACCCGAGGTACCACTGTACTTAGTTGCCCAGCAAATGTTTGGAACTGTCAGCCTTGGCAGTGCCATTTGTGCTTTTGAAAGAGTGGGAGGAGGGACTTTGGTTCCAAGCCAACCTTAACCCCACCCCCCACCCCAATTGAGAAGATGTAGAACCTGGGCTGAATTTAGCACCTTCCACCTCCTCACAGATTATTAGTATTGTCCAAACCGATGGTGCTGACCATCTGTTTTGATGCTTTTTGGAGTCATAGAAACATGCCTGTGTGCTAGGTGAAGACATCCAGTATTATAAATTGCTCATGCAGCAACCTTTTGCATAAGTATTTCCAGATCCAGCAAGAGGAGCACATGCAAAAACCTGTTTCCGTGGCCATATCATTGTATCAGATTAGGGTGAATGAATATATGAATATGGTTAGTTGCTGGGAACAAGTGTGTTTCCTAAATGTTGTCCTCCCCCCCCCCCCCGCCTCCTCCTCCAGCTTGTTTGCTTGCTTCATCCACATAGGATATCTATGAGGGAGTGAACTTTTCTTGTTTATAGCAGAGCCTGGGTTTCCCCACCAGCAATGCGATAAGAAAACCTCTCTAAATGAATGCCATGTTATTAACCTCTCTCGGTGACATTTGAATTGAGCTGTGCAAAAGGATCTTTAGAAATATAAATGCCAAAAGATAAGAAACAATCTGGGTAAAACTGTCCATCATAAACTCTGCCTTGCTTCAAGGCTTGATTCTTTCTCTAAGAGAGAGACAGCTAAATAAAACATTTATGGAGAATGTTCACAGCTCTCCTACACATTTTCCCCAAAATTCTCCTTGAAGAAAGTAATAATACTTTCAGAAAGTCTTGCTTAGCTGTGTCTCCTTTTTAAATTTCCACATATATTTAACAGTAAATTAGTTAGGTAACGATATGTAGCCACAATGGTAGCATCCACACAGAAGATGTAGGCTTTGGGGAAATATCAATGTTTGCAGAAGTACAAAAATGGGGGGGGGGGGTTGGACCAATGAGAATTGAGCATGCTCAGTGGCTGCGGAGTGCTGGCCAACGGCTCGGTGGGGAGAATGGAATGGAGTGGCAGGAAAACCAAACAGGAAGACTCCACACTGCATTTTTCTTCTTCCCCTGTCTGGTCTCACTTGTAACTAGATGTTCCAGAGCATGGCACATCCAACAAAAATGCCTTGGTTTGGCTCTCAACCAATCAAAGCCCCAAAGCCAAAACTTTAGGCAGGGGTTCCTCTGTGACTTCTTCAGGGGCATTGACTATGCAGTTGAAATTGCTTGCACATACATAGCTGAAGCCTCTCTTTACCTTTTATAGTTGCAGTTTATATTGCTGGTTCAAAAGAGGAAGGGCAGTCTACCTGATTGGGTGGGTGGGTGTCTGGGTGGGAAAGAGGAAGGGCAGTCTACCTGATTGGGTGGGTGGGTGTCTGGGTGGGTAGCTTAAACTGTGCTGGCTAGTCAGTTCATTGTGTATATGTGTGGTGTACGTATCTCAAACATCATGCTTGCCTCTTCCTTTCCTTCTTCAATCCCATCCCACTTCCCATCCCCACAGCTGGAAAAGGTACTACAACAGGGAGATATTGGGGAGTGTGCAGAGCCATATATGATTTTAAAAGAAGCAGATGCTGCAAAGGTAAGCAGTTTTCAATGGGTTTCGCCCTAAATGCAGGTGGTGTCTTTTTTTAAATAGTTCTGTAGCCCTTAAAACATTTGCAAGTTTCTCATATTTTAAAAAAATCATACATTATTGAAACAGTACTTCCTTCTGTTGAAAACACAGCATTTATTTATAGCAGAGGCAGTATGAAAAAATTCAGAAATGTTTCAATTTTTTAAGTTTTGTGGTTTTACCTCTGCAGAACAAGGAAAAGCTAGAAAAACTGAAAAGTCAATCAGAACAATTTTGCCAAAGGCTTGGCAGATATCGCATGCCTTTTGCATGGACGGCCATTCATTTAATGAACATAGTCAGCAGTGCTGGAAGTTTGGAGAGGGACTCTACAGAAGTGGAAATTGCTGCAGGAGGTAGGTATCTAGATAATTACAAAGTGATTCTTAATCTTAACACAAACTGAATCATGTCATTTACGCTTTTGAAACGGCGTGCTTAAATGGCTATTTCTATTTTGAAGAAAAACCAGCTGCAAGGCCTTGATCCAGAACATCTTTCTGTTTTGAACTGGGGCTTTCTAGCAGCTTTTCCTTTGAAATAAAAGTGACCCATTCCAGGGGGTGTTACAGTTCTATAGAAGTTGGTAGTATGTGCGTCATTCCTAACTTTTTAGTCTTCTCTAATTGAATGTCAGGGGCTAACGTTCTCTGCTGCTTTCAGCGCCTCTCCTTCCTTGTCCCATTCTTCTGCTGTGCTGCTCTATGTATCTTCTACAACCTTCTCTTATTTATCCATCATGCTTTCTTGCTATCTCTTTTAAAGTTTTGTTTAAAGCTTCTTCAGTAAAAGCTTTTCCTGGGTTGCCATTAGCCTCCCCTATTTTGCCCCATCTTTGTGGCACCTTGAATTTCACTCAGTCCTTGGAGAAAAGACGCCACATTTTCAATGGATCACTACTCTGATCCAACAAAATAGTTATTTTGTTGTTGCTGTTTTTTTAACGCCTCAGGGTTTGCTTTTGGGCCTGGTGCACAATATGTGTTTATCAGCTTGCTTTGCCTATTTTTTCCCTTGCCCAAGCCTCGGTAATGGGGTGAAAGGAAAAAGGACAAGCCTGTAATAACAAATAGGTTTATCTTTCAAGGATTTTCCTCGTAAACCATCTGTTATGCTCTCTAGAACTAAGTCTAAGAGAGTGTTTCAGGCTGATGAGCATTTTCCAAAGGAGTGGATTAATCGTTATGAGCCGCTCAGCTCATCTGAAACCACTGTTCAGCATCTTCCTCATCCCCTCCACCCTCCCAAAACTGTCAGCTTCATCATTTTTTGCAGTAGGAGAAAAACATAATTCTCCACATGATAAAGACTTTCATAATAGGCACAAGGCACTGGGGTATGGTTGATGTGAGAGGAGCAGAGGTATTCAGCTGTGCTTCATTGTTTCCTAATGCCTCAGGAGTGCGATTGTCTTAGCATTAACCACCCATTCCCTCTTTCCTTTCTCATGATTTCAAGCAACTGCCGTTCTCTTCACATGCTGGCTCCTAAAACAAATGTAGTTATTTGACTTTATTTTGGCTCTGGTTTTTTCCTGCTTTCTTTCTTAAAGAACGCAAAGGGTCGTGGTCAGAGAGGAGGAATTCTAGCATTGTCGGCAGGCGTTCCTTGGAAAGGACAACGAGTGGGGATGAGGCCTGCAACCTGACTAACTTTAGACCAGCTACCCTCACGGTGACAAACTTCTTTAAACAGGTATTACATGATTCATTCTCTTGGTAACATTACATCCCTGTCTTCACACTTTAGGGATTGGCACGGGGGTTTTTAGCCCTAGGCCAGTGGTTCCCAAACTTTTCACTTTGTGAACCACTTGAAAATTGCTGATGGAATACCATTTATTTATTTTTCTCCTGGTTGTAGAAGTTGTAATGCTCTATGCTAGATGCAGTATGCTTTTAAATTGCAATTTTATTGCATCTCGCATTGTATTACAATTCAGCTATTTTAAAGCAATACGTTTAGTGACACTGAGCTTTCAGAATGGGCAAGCTAAAAATACAAAATAAATAAGAGAAGTTTATGACCAGGGTCAGTGAATCCCTTAGTCGGGTTCTTGGGCTGGTGCAAAGTAGTGCTTGAAACTCCCATTGTTCTAGGTGCATTTTGCGACAGAGAATTTCATTAGCGCAAGCAGTTTCTGATCTCTGGGTG